TTTCCTAATTGAAGTAACGAAAGAAAGCGTTTCGTCTCAGTGTTAGCGCAAAATAAAAAAAAAAAGTCAGGAGAATAGAGTGGAAACGACAGTGTGTAAAAATAGAACTTTTTTTTTCTCAAGCAGGCAGTAATTTTTAAAATCGCAGTATTAAGAGAGAGTAAAGAAATTTTCATCTACATTGATAGTTGTCACAGGATTGCCTCGTTGCCAGAATTGTCTCGATGTGTACATAAAAAAAAATTCGAGGGCGAGAAAACGAGAAGTGAGACGTAAAATTATCGGTAAAAAGTTTATAATTGAATAAAATTGTTTTTAATAATTTTTTATGGCTCTTGAAAATTGAATTGAGTTTGTTTTTTTGGGGGGAGGAATTGTAAGCTCCCAAATGAGTTTTGTGAGTGGCTTTTAATTCGAAAAATTAAGAGATTAGTTTGTAATCTACATTAAATATGCATAAATGATGAGCTCAGACCTCCCTACTGAATATTAAAAAAAAAGTTGGAAACAGCCCCAAGAATATGAAATATTGTACATCTTCAGACTCATACAACTAGTGAGAAAAGTCGTCATAAAACAGCAAATGTGAGACTGCTCGGGATTTTTGCGACATTACTAAGCTTATGTGTCATGTTGATTTATTATTGGAAAAATATTTAAAAGAAAATATCAGTTCGAAGTTACTCGTGATGCATTCTTTTTACCATTTTTTATCGTGAGTCGGTTCATTATCTCATGGCGCTGCTATTTTTGATAAAAATGACGATGTAGTTTAAATTTAGAACAAAAATTCTGTGGAGTTTTTTTTTAAATATATATTTTATTCATATTCGACCTCCTGCATGACCTGAAGGTAGATTTTCTTGCATTATATGTGCAAAAGTATTATTCAAGAGACTACGTCAGCTATAAAAATTATTTAGTCCATTCAAACAACTAGATAAGAATGTCGTGAGGAAGTTCTAGGTTATTTAAATTTCAATTTTAATATCAACGTTCAGACTATAATTTGCGTTAATTAATTGAATTAATTTTTTTCTGAATACAAAGTAAACATAGAGGAAAAGAAGCACGTGCTAGCTATTAAGCTAGTTTGTTGTAAGTGTCATTGTTCAGTATTAGGAAAATTGAATTGGAAAATCGTGAACATTTTTATATTTTATGAAAACTCTAGAATTTGCTTTTCGAAATAAAAGTTTTTTACTTTCGAAAATCAGTTTTCAAATTTTAAAATTTAGTTTTCACTTTCGAAAATCTTTTTTTCACTTTCGAAAATTAACTTTTAACTTTCAAAATCTAATTTTTTCACTTTCGAACATCAATTTTTCACTTTCGAAAATCAGCTCTTAACTTTTGAAATTTAGTTTTCACTTTCGAAAGTCTTTTTTCACTTTCAAAAATAACTTTTAACTTTCGAAATCTAATTTTCACTTTCGAATATCTTTTTTTCACTTTCAAACAACAACTTTTTACTTTAAAACATCAAATTTTTCTTACTTACGAATATCAAAATTTGCACAATCTTAAAATTATTTAATTGATCATCCAAGTAGATATTAATTTCTGAGATACAAGAACATTTTAATTGTTTGAAAATTTTCAATCCAAAAAAAAAATTCAATCCAAACCTTTAACCACAAACCATAAAAGCAATATTTCATCAAAGCTTAATTCAAGGCTTTAAGATCTTTAATCATTTTTAATAAAATGTCTAATTAGATCCTACTCATTACCATTTTCCTTATTCTTCTTCCATAAAAGCTAAAACAATATTCAAAAACAGTCTTTCCTAGAAGGACCAATCTCATTGCCATTTCAGGCTTCCACGTGCACAAGCAAATGTAATTCTCAACTTGATGAGCATGAACAAATTTATAGAAAAGCATAATTATGTGATTAAAATTAAAAAAAGCAGCTGAGATCATTAATTTTATCGTAGGGATTATTAATTCCTTCTGAAAATATTCTGTGAGCGAGTGAATTTTTATGGCAATCAAATTTGTTTTTGATTAAATTTCTTATCGGATATTTTGTTATTTTTTTTTTGACGACGTGATTGTTGTTGATTATTAGGGTCTGTGTTTGTTGAAGTTCGGTGACTTTTAATTTGGCTTTTGAGCTTTTGATTATTTGGTGTTGCAGACTGAAGTATCGAGTCTTGTATAGAGGAATTCGTCAATTTAGTAGTGCAACAATACTGGCTTCTATGGTCAATAGTTTAAAACAGCTTAGGCTTCACTTCTTTTAAGGATGGGAGTTCAAATCCTAAAATAATGACCTTTGTGAACCTAATAATGATTCTTGAACGACACAAACCTCCAAGCAACCCGTTCCATCCCACAAATGTCACAATAACATTTAACATAGTGCAATTTAACTATAGACGCACTCCACTACACTTAATGTTAATGAATATTAGCAAACTCCCTCAAAAGTAAATTCTATTAAACATTTTCCGACATTTTAATTACACAAATAGAGAATTTACAATTTCTTCTTGGAATATCTACTACAGTGATATTAATTTCATTGAAAATATCTCAAAGGTGGCAAAATAAGAAAAATCCTCCTTTGAGAAATTTCACGCCAACAGGTTTCTTTTACTTTCTGATTGAAAAATCTCACTTTCTCGAGAAAAAACTGGAGGAACATTGCATTTACTTCCATTATCTCATTCCTATCATTTCTGTGTTTAAAATTGAATGTGCTAAGTTTATTTAAAAGAATTTCAAAAGTCTTTTTAAGATTGAATCATTTTCATCGTAGATTAATCTTACTTACATTTTATTTTTAAAAGAATTATATCAAGGAAAAGCCTGTTACCGAGAAGATTTATTTCATCAGAAAAAAAGTTTTTCCTTGACTGACAAAATTTACAAGACAATCAATTTTTCATTTTACGATGATGAAATTGCATTAAATGTCAATTTTTGAGATGATAAATTCCTTTCTAAGATGATTGATTCATGATAACAAAGTTGTCAAAAGATCGATTGTTTTTCTCTTCTTTTTTTGAAGAATTAAACAATTTGCTTCATAAATGAAATTTTTCAAGAATTTATTCAAGTATTTTCAAAACATATCTGCTGAGTAAATTCAATAAAATATTCTATTGAGTTAATTGAAAGCAGAATATTATGTTTCAAAAAGGCATTTTGAATTGAGTTTCTCAGAGATGAATGAGCTAGAGATTCTATTTTCTCTTTGTGTGATGAGTTGAATAGCATTTGATTTGCTTTGAGAATGATAGAGTTAGTTTAAGAGATGAATGAATTCTTATGAGATGGTAGAATTTGTTATTAGAAGATAGATTTCAATCTAAAAAAATTGAGTTTAGCTTTAGTTGATCAAATAAAGCCTGCAAGAATCTTAAAGAATCGAACTTAGTCTCAAATGATTGAATTCAATCTTAAAGGATCGAACTTAGTCTCAAATGATTGAATTCAATTTTAAAGGATCGAACTTAGTCTCAAATGATTGAATTCAATCTTAAAGGATCGAACTTAGTCTCAAATGATTGAATTCAATCTGAAATGTTCAAACTTAGTCTCAAATGATTGAACTCAATTTTAAAGGATCGAACTTAGTCTCAAATGATTGAATTCAATCTTAAAGGATCGAACTTAGTCTCAAATGATTGAACTCAATTTTAAAGGATCGAACTTAGTCTCAAATGATTGAATTCAATCTTAAATGTTCGAAATTAGTCTCAAATGATTGAATTCAATCTTAAAGGATCGAACTTAGTCTCAAATGATTGAATTCAATCTGAAATGTTCGAACTTAGTCTCAAATGATTGAATTCAGTCTTAAAGGATCGAACTTAGTCTCAAATGATTGAACTCAATTTTAAAGGATCGAACTTAGTCTCAAATGATTGAATTCAATCTTAAAAGATCGAACTTAGTCTCAAATGTTTGAATTCAATCTTAAAGGATCCAACTTAGTCTCAAATGATTGAATTCAAATTTAAAGGATCGAACTTAGTCTCAAATGATTGAACTCAATCTTAAAAGATCGAACTTAGTCTCAAATGATTGAATTCAATCTTAAAGGATCGAACTTAGTCTCAAATGATTGAATTCAATCTGAAATGTTCGAACTTAGTCTCAAATGATTGAACTCAATCTTAAAGGATCGAACTTAGTCTCAAATGATTGAACTCAATTTTAAAGGATCGAACTTAGTCTCAAATGATTGAATTCAATCTTAAAAGATCGAACTTAGTCTCAAATGTTTGAATTCAATCTTAAAGGATCCAACTTAGTCTCAAATGATTGAATTCAAATTTAAAGGATCGAACTTAGTCTCAAATGATTGAATTCAATCTTAAAGGATCAAAATTAGTCGCAAAATGATTGAACTCAATCTTAAAAGATCGAACTTAGTCTCAAATGATTGAACTCAATCTTAAAGGATCGAACTTAGTCTCAAATGATTGAATTCAATCTTAAAGGATCAAAATTAGTCGCAAAATGATTGAACTCAATCTGATTTGATCAAACAAAGTTTCAAATGATTAAGGATTGTATGAAAACACAAAATTTCTTCTTAAACTCCTAAACTTAGACCCAAAACCACAACGTCTTCCAGAAATCCACAAAAACTGTTCTCACTCATCAAAATCATGCCCACAGAGAGAAATTCAGACCCAAATACTACGCTAATTTCTCTAGAAAGAAGAAAAACAAGAAATAGGAAAGAAGAAATTGTGTGTGGATGATTTGGCAGAGCAATGAAAAAAAAAATACGAACAAAGCAGTTGTCATGAGGTTGAGTTTTAATTTTAAATTTACAAAAAAGGCACATGATTTAATAAATGAGAAACAAGCTCAATGAGAGCAAAACTCGATCAATTCCTCAATATACACTTGCCAATTTTTTTTATAAACATTAAGAATTGAAATTTTTTTTTGAAAATTGTTTTAATAATTATAGTAATTTCTTTTCATATTTTGCTGCCTCATTGCTACACGATCTTCAACTATCCAAATAATTAGATTATAAGTAAAGAAAGAAGGCAAAAATGGTAGTCGGCGAAACACAAAACGGCAATCTTGCCGTTGATGATATGGACGAGAATGATGATCAAAAGCAACAATCGACACAACAAATTTCGGGTATAAATCAGGCCACAATAGACAATATAATGAGCGGAATAGAGAATACGGGAGCTGTAAAAATGAACAACCATAGGAAAAAATTAAGACAGAGGTAAATAAAAGCATGTGCACATGTGCCATTGACACAATTGACATTCATAAATTATCTCTTTGCTCTTCATTCGCAGATTTGACATAATAAAAAAATTAGGTCAAGGAACATATGGAAAAGTGCAATTAGGAATCAATAAAGAAACAGGTCAAGAGGTTGCCATTAAAACAATTAAAAAGAGTAAAATTGAAACTGAAGCTGATCTCATAAGAATTCGACGTGAAGTTCAAATTATGAGCTCTGTACAGCATCCGAATATTATTCATATTTACGAAGGTAATTATTATCATATCAATCAATAATGTTGTTGCGTGATGAGATGGAAGGAATTTTAATGTGTGGATTATTATTTTTGGAGAAAACATTGCGGACGGTTTGTAGATTTTAATGGAAATTGAAGTGAAACTAATTCTTCAGTCTTGTTTGCGATAATAGGTTGACTTATGACTAGATTTAAGCACTTTCTCAAGCGACACTTAATTTCAGTTTCAAGGCAAACTGAGCCGCAAGTCCGTAAGGATTTGATATAGATTCTTTCAACTATTCTGTTTCAATAAGGTTCGAGATTTTCTAGGTTTAAAGATCTAATATATAAGGATAGTCAACTATACTTGCATGACCGCCTCTTTAAAATGTCCAAGATTATCTTTAGATAGCTAAATATTTAAAATTTATGTTAATCTTCACGTTTGAGCAATTTAAGAGTTCAAAATGTTCAGATTTATGTGTAGAAGATTTTGTCAAGATCTTATCAGAATTGTTAAATCACTAAAAGTTCCAGAATCTTAGAAATACATTGGAACGAGGTTCGATTCCGAGCAAGTGTTAATATATAAGTTTATTAATGAATTGATAATAAAGTTTTTTTGCGAAAAATCTGCTGCTTTTTCCAACAAGACTTAACATAACTGTGAATATCCAAAAAAAGCTTTCATGTCTTCAATTATTTTTTTTTTCATCTTATTTTCCGCAATATTTCACATCCGAAAAAAAATCCAATCTTCAATCTCATATAAAATTCATTCACCTTCCCATACTTTTTTTATGACAAATCTACCGTGAAATGCGCGATAATCCTTCACATTTTCATCTTCTTCCCAGTCGTTCTTATATATCTAATATAAATACCAATTTTTCATCCATTATTAGTATTCGAGAATCGTGAAAAAATGGTGCTTGTCATGGAATTTGCTGCCGGCGGTGAGCTTTATGATTATTTATCCGACAGAAAAGTACTTGGTGAGGAGGAGGCGAGAAGAATTTTTCGACAAGTATCGACGGCAATCTATTATTGTCATAAGCATAAAATCTGTCATCGAGATTTAAAATTGGAAAATATTTTACTTGATGAGCATGGAAATGCAAAAATAGCCGATTTTGGATTGTCAAATGTTTTCGATGAGCAGAGACTTTTAGCGACATTTTGTGGATCGCCACTTTATGCATCGCCAGAAATTGTTAAGGGAACTCCATATCATGGTCCCGAAGTAGATTGTTGGTCATTAGGTGTTTTATTATATACGTTAGTGTACGGTGCAATGCCATTTGATGGTGCCAATTTTAAGAGACTTGTTAAGCAAATCAGTCAAGGTGATTATTTTGAGCCAAAAAGTCCGTCGCGTGCGTCACCACTCATACGTGAAATGTTGACATGCTGTCCAATCAGACGAGCAAATATTGAACAAATTTGTAGTCATTGGTGGGTGAATGAGGAATACAATGAAAATTGTCTGGATCTCGCTGAGGAATTAGCAAATCAAACGCCTGTTAGACTTGATGTTTTGTTGTCACTTGCGCCGCCAGTTACATCAGAGCAGGTTGTCGTACCGAGTCATGAGGAGAACAATAAAGAGAGAATACAGAAAAGTCATTCAGTTGGATCGATAATTGATATTCCTGAAACTGAGGCTGAAAGACGAATATTGGATATGGTTGCAGGTAAGGAGTCGTTCGTTAATGACGTTCATTAACGTATTGGAGCTATAGACTGTCTATTTAATGTTCAAGTGTCTAATACTATGTTAATTAAAATATATGACTCTTGTTAATGTCATGGATTGTCTCATAGCTCTATCTTCTTTGAAATTTGGACGTCATCCATGAACAACCCCCCAAAAATTCATTTAGTCTTACCACAATATGTTCCACATCCTTTATGAATTTCTGAATAATTAAAATTTAATTTACAGCCGGTGGCGAGAAAGCATTGATGCCATCACCAACGAGAACAATGACACCACAAGAAAGTCCAATGCAACAGTCAAAGAGGAAGCTCGAGTCAACCGTATCAACCGAGAATGCAACTGGTGGTGCAAAGAAAAAGGAAAAACCAATCAGTAGTAGTAATGACATTAGTATGGATTCATCCAAGTCAAAGTTATCGATACCAGAAGTTATGGAAATAGATATTGAGAACTCATCATCACCCAATGTCGTAGATGATGAGAAGAAGCAAGAAGAGGAAATTAAGCAAGAAAATACCGAGGATGTGCAAGAAAGTTTAAAGAAAATTGAGGAATTATGTGACGAGTTGATGGAGAAGACCGATAAGACTAAAGCTGATGAGAAACCCCCAAAGCAAACTGAAGCTCCCACACCCAAACCTGAAGAGGTCAAGAAGGAAGCTATCAAGAAAATTTCTAGTCCAGTAAAACGTGATATGGTGAAGCATAAAACTTTAGACTTGTCAAGTGCATTATCGTCTATATCAAAGGATGCTGAAAATTCCACATCATCCTCAACATCAACGCCCTCAAGCACTGCTGTCACTCCACCACAGCAGACAAAGTCAGTCCAACAAATGTCGTCAGTTGAAAGGCAAAATAGTCTTCCAGATGATGGTGCAGCTACTCCAACAAAACCAGTTGCTGAGAAGCGTCGTTCGAGAATTTTAGAGACTGCCGAGAAGTTCCAAAACATGAATAATCAAAATAATGAGAAATATAAGAAATTTTCAATACCCGGCGTAAGTGTTGGGAATTTTAAGAAAGAATTTGAACGTAAAGCTTCCATAACCGATGCCAAGAAGACGAGTGTCGAAAAACGTGATCTTAATGAGAACAATAATGAGAGTAAGAAGCCAATTCAAGATAATAGCACGCATAGTGAGAAAATTAAGGATGCAGCATCATCAGCCAAAATAAATAGCATTGTAAAGCAGAGTTCAACAGCATCAACATTATCAAGAACAGATGACGATATTAATCAAAGTGATTCAAAGAGTTCCGTAGCAAGTTTCTCAATTGAGGATGCAAAGCGCAGCATGGAAAATTCAATCAAATTATTGCAGAAGGCAAAGAATGAATCTCAATCAAAGGATGTGGACAATTTATGTGCCAAAACTGAAAGCTTCAACATACAGCCCTCATCGACACCATCACCAGTCAACGACATGGACATTGATCGTCAGAGAAAATTGCAAGCAGCTAGAGAAATTATTGGTAATGCGATTCCGCCAAGTCGTTTAATTGGAATTCGAAAACCCCCGCTCTATGGCTTAAATGGTCGTTCCGTTTCAGGAGGTGTAATTCAAAGTCCATTTAAATCAAATTCAAATGTCGAACAGCAACAACAGCGTTCAACATTTGGCCGATACTCATCCATGGATGCATCTAATCAAGTGGTTCCGGAAAAGAGTAAGTTTGTTGTGCTTTTTGATGTTTTTTTTTTTCTTTATTTTATCAATGCACAAGTTTAGTTGCCATAAATACCGTAGAAAAAATTGCTTTCTTAACAACTATTTCTCGCTTTCAGTTAAACAAAATTTACCGGAACCACCGGAAACCACTAAAACTTCACATGCTGAAATCACACTCAAGTCAGCAACATTACCGCGTCGAAAGCCAACTAAAATGGAAATACAGGTTGAAATAAAGCCTAAAGTAAGACAACATCATTAATTTTTCATCTCATTTTTCATAAAACAAACAAAAAATATCCATTTCCTTGCCTTCCTCTTTTTTTTTCTCTATGTGCTCTCGACACAAAACATAAAAAACTTTTAGATGGATCAATCACAGTCAACGAGATTTACAACGGAGGTTCATCATCAAGTGCCTGACACTTTACAAAGTGCTCCGATCCGTGAGACACCCACAACGTATGCGTCATTTACAGTCCAGAATCGCTCAAATAGTCTCGAGCCAAAGGAACATTTGATAAATATTCAGAAGCCACCAACATATCAAAGAAATGCTTCGAATGCATATAGGTAAATACATTGAATGTTGTGTGGGATGATATGGCTATTGTTGTGTAGGATAAGATTTGATGGACAGATAGATTCTTAGGATTATGATTCAATTGAGTATTGTGGGCGATGAGAAAAATTGTTTTTGAGATGAAAATCTTTAAGGATGCTTCTAGACAATTGGGATAATCATAAAATAATGGACATTTCACTTTAAACTGTTCATGTCTTTGTTGCTGCTGTGTTGTATTGTTGGTAGAGTTGAAAGTTAAATCAAATCGATTAGGAAGTTAAAGCAGAGTAAGATTTTGAGTGACAAAACTCCTTCTGTGATGTAAAAATCAAAAGGTTGTCATATTCAATGCTTGTTTCGAAAGAGTTTCTCTATTTGACACATTTAAATGTTGTCCATAAGACTATGATGCAGGTTTGATACTAAAAACCAAGCTTCACTCCTTTGACAATCATTTTCAAGTGTCTACAGCTTGATTTTAGCTAAACTTTCCAATTAATCGAATTGTGGACAACATTAAATGTGTGTCAATTGTGATTGAAGCTCTGGATCATCATTTTCCGTAACTAAATACCCAAACTTACTGACCTAGATCAATACTTGAGTTTCAAACCACCCAACAACTAAAATTCTTAAAGATCAGAACAAAACTCAATGCAACTCCCAAGAAAGAACCTCTCAGTCAACAGTCACTCATCTGACAACTCTGTCAGTCAATGATATACTCAACAAGAAAAAGTTTATCGTCTACAATAAAAAAAAATACCTGATAGAAAAAACTCTATCTTTAATACAAATTACCTTTCTATAAATTTTTCATATGTGAAACTTTGGGTATTTGCCTAGAGAGTTGGTTTCCCAGATAATGAACCCGAGTAGCACCAACAACAACAACTGGTTTTACGTCGACGTCAAGGCACCATCAAGTAGAAAAAAGCACGTTACGCCGCAAATTTACCGTTGTGGCAACGCTAAGGCATCTACACGCACGATTTCGCCCCATTTGAACAATGAAATAATGGGGCGAAATCGTGTGTGAAGAAGCCTTAGCGTTGCCACAACGGTAAATTTGCGGCGTGACGTGCTTTTTTCTACTTGATGGTGCCTTGACGTCGACGTAAAACCAGTTGTTGTTGTTGGTGCTCCTCGGGGAAAGTTTGTGACTACATGTGTAATCACTCAAAGCAATTTATAAACAGATTCTTGGAAGGATTCTTGTTCATGAGTTTCTTTAAGTATAAATACATCAATCGGATCAGCAAAGATTGAAGTCTAACCCAATCATCCAATAAAAATCATGTCTGACATTTAATATGAGGGTTCTTTCATAAATGACGTCACTTGGCAGGCAAATTTGGGTTTAATACAATTGCTGTCAAAAAGCTTTTTGATAAAATTTGCTGTTTTTCTCACGTCATTTATGAATGACCCCAAACTTTAATAATAATTTATCTGACATATTTTTTTTTATTTATTTTCTCTTCCTTCTCATTCTCACGTCCACAAAAACAGAAATACGTTATCACGTCAATCAACAAATGAATCAAATGATTCGGATACAACGCCCACACAATCATTCATTCAGTCATCATCGACGATTAATTCATCTGGTGATAAGCAGCCGATCAAAAAATCACCAAGAGAATTTATCATACCAATTTCGATTGAAGGTGGTGGAATTGTAAGTTGGACATGAATTTTTTTTTTTTTCGTTTAAATATTATGAATTCCAACTGAGTTGAGCGCATTTTTCAAGAAAAATATTTTTTTCATTTGGTCTTTATGAGTTTGAACTTTTGTTTATATATTCTCACCTACCTCAAGCCGATGATATCATGATATAGTCTGCCGTTTACGTAGCGCGATGTGTTTACGCAAAATATGTGTGATTCATCCCACTTGAGACACCCACTCACGTGGAAATTTGTAGTGTAGAATTTATAATGCTTAAAGTTATGGATTTTTGTAGTAAAAATAGTCTAGAGTAGTTGAATGTAGTCATAGTAATTAGAACTAGTGACAAATGCTAGGGAAATGTCATCAAACTTGTGAGAATTCTTGCCAGATTCAATGGATTTATGTAATGATTCTAGAATTCTTTTTTTAAATGAGACTGGGTCAGTTGCTCAGTTAAACAAAAAAAGGATCAGTTGCTTAGCAATACAGTGGACTAAGTTAGGGGTCGTTCAGTTATAACGTCAGATATTAACGGTCATTTTTAAAAAAAGAACTTTGGAATTATAGAAATTCTATTGATTTTTCCTGCTGACCCTCCCCCCCCCCCCCCCCCCCCTTGAACGTCATAAGTGAACGTCATCTTAGTTATTCGGTAATACAAAGAAGTTGCTGAGTTTGCTGAGTAGTACAAAGAAGTTGCTCAGTTTGTTCAGTAATAGAAACAAGTTGCTGAGTTTGCTCAGTAATACAAAAAAGTTGCTGAGTTTGCTCAGTAATACAAAGAAGTTGCTCAGTTTGCTCAGTAATAGAAACAAGTTGCTGAGTTTGCTCAGTAATACAAAGGAGTTGCTCAGTTTGCTCAGTAATACAAAGAAGTTGCTCAGTTTTCTTAGTAATACAAAAAAGTTGCCCAATTTGCTTAGTAATACAAAAAACTAGGTTAGTTGATTGGTAATAATACATTAAAGTAATCGCAGCTAAAACTCTGGTAGACATCAAACACATGTTTTGAATAATTTTAAAACATTTTGGCGCCAAAACTATTCAAAATTCAAGTAAAGCTTTAAAAAACTTTGTCAATAAATTGCACAACAATAAAAATCGCTGACCAAACTATTCGAAAAGCATACAATGAACCCATTCATCATTAAAAGTACAAAGCAAGCTTGCAAACCAAACGGAAAAAGAATGTGCTCAACTGAAAATTTATTGTACAAATAAAAAAGAAAACACAATATTTTTTCATGACCTAATCGAATTTTAAAATAATCATTTAGGTTACCCCAAAGCTTGACAGCACAGAACAAGGAGAAGCACAACGCATGAGTCGAACAAAACGCATTAGTTCTATATTTAGTGAACGAGATGTTGAGGAAGACACAAATTCAACAGTTTTTCCTAAACTTCATCGACATACGTCACTCAATCGTGAGAGCGATACGGAAGAACCAAGATTTCATTCAATGCATCGTTTACGGTAAATATATAGCTCACCATCATCATATAATATAAATTGATAGACATTATCGTTATGTACAATGTATAAACTTTCTTTTATGTGTTCAATAGGAGCTCAAAACCAACGAAACGTTCAAATGTATTTTCGCAAGATCCTAATGAGTCCGACTCAGGCGATGAGGATGATGACGATGATGGATTTGAATTGCTTACTGCTGAAAATCTTTTCTCGACGCTTTTATCACGCGTTCGTGCCTTAACGCATCGATTGAATGTGAATAATGAAACAACATCCAATTTCCCAAGCACACGATTCATGAACAATATTAGACAATCTCAAAGTCCATTTTGGAATAATGATCCGTTTGGAAGGTATTATTAATTTTCTCTCAATATTTTGGATATAAATTGGCTTACATATCATAACGCTTGAGTCTAATTTTCATTTATAATCCCATTTTCTCTTCTTGATTTGAATTTTATTGAGTGATTCTCTAATCTCCATCCCAAACATTTTCGAGACTTATTTAAAACATTTTCTGGTTTGTGTGTGGTTTGGGTCGTACTAACATAGTCATTATTGTATCTTTTATGCATTAACAGTAAATGTACAAGTTATAAATCCGAAACTATAACTGAGACTATTAAAATGTAAGTACTACTTTTTTGGGGCTTCTTTATGAATGAGGGTTGTGCTGATGTTATGTAACGATAGGAATAGAGGGGCTATCAAAATGTAGCTACACTTTTAAAGAAATGAGAGGGACTCCTTAAAAGTTTCCAATCCAAAACAATTTTGTAGACATAAACCCGATCAAGGCACTGACGAGTCAGTGAATTGACGACAAAACTCAAAAGAGACTTGCTAATGTCTTGACGATTGTTTTAAAGCATAAAATAAAGAATTGAGGGGGAAACCATTCTAATTAACCCCCGCTAAACTTAATAAATCTGAATATGTTCCTAGTTTAGACAAAGGAAGGGGAGAACAACCTAATGGGAAAAAGTTTCGGTGGAAAATTGTGGGAAACTATCTAACGTGGTGGAAAAATGATTAAAGTTCCCATCAAAACGTTTTCCACCATGTTGTTACCCCCTTGGTTGTAACCAGAAAAATACCGATTTCTAATCGTGACATAACATCCGAACAACCCCACACTGAAAAAATTTTTATAAGCGTTTTTATCTTTTTTCTCTCATTCTGTTTCGTAATAAAACATTCTGTGCATTTTTTGGTCGAAGAAGATAATTAGATTTTATACAAAGTTTCAGTAATTTAATCTGAATTAAAAAACTGTTTTAAAGATTAATCTGAACAGTAAAAGGCAAAAGCTCGAAAGACTTTTACAACTTTTGAAGTGAAACAGCTTCTTGTCTTGACATTGATCCTTTTTACATGAATTTTTACTTAATGATCTTTGTTGAGATTTTCGAAACTTTCTTTAATTGTTGAGATTTTAAAATATTTTTTTAATTTTTGAGTAGTTTAAAGCTAGGAATTAACATGATGATAATGAACCGACGAGACTCTGGCATGGTGCTGGATTTAAATCTAAGGCAGCATTATGCTAAAGCAGCGTTGTGCTAGAGAAAAGCTGGCATTGATATCGATTAACCGACTTGTGCTATCCGGAATAAGGACTCTAAAAGGTTTCAAGTACACCCCCCACACCCCCCCCCCACTCGGTTGAAATGAGAAAGTTGTCAAAATATTAAAAATAATTTACTACAAAATAAAGCTTCAACTTTTAATTCAAGCTGTAGTACAGACAAAAGCTTTTACAGCAAAACTTTTGCATAGCTACATACAAGCATTTCTCAACAATGCACATAAACTTCCATTCTCATTCACATGATGAATTATTACAGATTTAAAACTTCTCTATGCCACCCAAAAAAATTTCTACATTTTAAATACCAAAAAAATGCACAGAAACCACCTATTTTGAGGTGAAATATTTTCCTCTACTAATTTTCGTTTTTTTACCACAGACATTTTTGCAAGCCACTAAAATTTTCTCTTGTTTTTCCATTTTTTTCTCTTGTAATATTTTTGCAGTAGTCGCACGAATTTAAATCCATGGCGAACAAATAATTTAGCTCGTGATCTCCACAGCGATTTTGACTCAATGTTCTCAAGATCTGGAGCGACACTTCCCAGAGGTGAATACTTTAATCATTAAGCAAGCAACAAGTGATTTTTTTTTCTTAGTTTTTTTCATACATTTTTTTGAAATATTAATTATTATTTTTTTTTGTGTATTAATAAATTTTTTTAATTGTTTTAATGATAATATATTCATTTTTAAACAAAATTGATGAATAATTATTTAAACTGTTGTCGTTTAGTATTTTTTTTCTGTCATTATTATGTGGTAAATTTACTTAAGTGTTCAAGTGTAATTTTATAATGGACTTGATTGTGGTTAGAACTATAGAATCAGTTGTAGAGCTTCCACAGTTTTGTGTTTTTGGCTACTAACGTTTTATGATATGAATAAATTTATATGAATAAACTTATATGAATTTATGTAGATTGAAAGACGTCAGCGATTAATTTTTGTAGATTTTTGATGACAAGCGATTGCGAAATGCTACAAAAATTAAATTGAGTTCTGCTTTGATCTTTTTCATTTCATTTCGAACTTCATCTTTGAGTTTTTAGCTTAATCTTTGATTTTAGAACTCAATTTTTAAGTTTTTAACTTAATCTTTGATTTTAGAACTTAATCATTAAGATTTGAACTTAAGTTGAACTTGAGTTTTCAACTTAGTCGTTAAGTTTTGAACTTAGTCGTTAAGTTTTGAACTTAGTAGTTAAGTTTTGAACTTAGTCATTAAGTTTTGATCTCAGTTGTTAAGTTTTAAACTTAGTTGTCAAGTTTTGATCTTAATCGATTAGTTTTAAACTGAATAGCTGAGTTTTGAACTTCATTCGTGAGTTTTGATCTTAATCATTTAATTTTGAACTTGATCACTGAGTTTTGAACTTAAACAATGAGAACAAAATTTCACCATTAAGTTTTCAAAATGTTATTAACTTTTGAAAGCTAGAAAATTAAATCTTTATCTTCCTCCTCATAGCATCGCTCGCTGACTGATGATGTAAAGGACGAAATGATTAATTATGCATTACATTAAATTTTCCCTATAAAAATCAAGCTGAGTAAAAGATATTTGAGACTTTTTTCCCATGACAAAATATACAAAATCCGTTGTTTCAAAACAAATTAGGCAGAAAATATATTATACTAATTGGATTGACTCTGTCATTATGCAAGAGCAACGTTGAAGCTTTATTTAGGCTATTTATTTAGGCATAACATAAATACATCAAGTCCAAATTCAATGAATAAAATAAGCTAACAGAATTCATTGGAATTCTCAAGGCAGCTTTAGTGAATCTTCTTAAAAAATGTATAAAAGATTCTGTATATTTAGAAGAAGTAATTTCCTGTGGAACCTCAACTTATCACCTTAGTTACATAGAAAATTCATTGAAATGAATATTTTAAGTAAATTTACCACATTAATGACTTTACTTCTTTTTTACTATGATGGCTACTGTAACAGTTTATTTTATACAACAATACTTTTTCATTTTTATTAAAAAATAAACTACGACAAGTTTATATCTTTCTAATTCTCTTTAAACAAAAAAAAGTAAATATATAATAATTATATTTTTTTTGTGCTGCGAATGTTTTTTAATTAAGTAAAATAAAAGAAAAACTTATTTGTAGCTTTTAACACATTATAACGCATGAAAATAAATGAATAAAATTTAAATATTATTATAGAACATGAGAATAAACAGATTTACAAAACATCTGTACTTATTAATGTTTTTTTGAATTTAATTATGTAATAATTAATTAATAAATTAACGACTGTGAAGTTTTATTCTTTCAAAATTAACTAAACCTTTTTTTTATTTGTTTTATTTTGCGCAAAATTTTATTTTTAAATAGTTTTTAGTTTTTTGTTTAAAAAATGTACTTTTTTTGTAGAAAAATTTTTAAATGACAAATTTTTGAGAAGAAAAAAAGTGTGAAATATTTTTGGAAGAACTTTTTGTAAGAAGATGAATAATAAAGGCTTCTTTAAAAAGTTCTCAAATGAACAATTTCCTCAAAGAACATAAAAGTTTCAACCAACAGATAAAGTAAATTCACCAAAATTAAAACCTTTTTAATAGCAATTGATGCTTTTGACAGAACCATTAATGATATTCTTTCATTAAAAAGGTATTAAATGCCTACCTGATTCGCTAGAAAGCTCCCTCATTGTTATTTTAATTCATTTACATCAACGATTGAGCAACGAAGCCTTCTGTAAAGTTTCAAGTACTTGATTATGCTCAACAATACATAATAGAAAATAAATAAGAATAATTTTCAATAATAATGGTATTTTGTCAGCTTGAAAAGAAATACTCGATTTATTTAATGAGTTTGTAATTTAAATTCACGTGACTAGCTGCTTAAGAGGCAATAATGGATGATTTTGAAGAATATAAATACGAATTCAGCTTTGTAATCAATGCAATAAATATTCTAGTGAATGGAAATAGATCTTGAAGTTGAATGAGGTTAAAGAGATGTGGAAAGAGCTTTGTGATTACTGTTTGGATGATGAATTGAAGGAGAAGTTGGTTGGAAATTTAAATTTGAAGTTCTTCCAAAAAAAATTCATAATCCATGTTTTATGTTTAAATTGATATAAAATTTATACTTAATTATTATGTTTTACAAATTTATATGACATAAACTTAACCTGAGTTTTAAATAGTTTAATTATGATTTTTTTTGTATTTTACCCCTTTTTTTGATTTTGTTTATTAAAAAAAATCCGTTTAAATCAAAAAATAAAATGAGTTATTTGAATATATTTTTTTGTAGTTTCTATTATTATTACTATTCGATTTTTAAATATGAATAATTTTTTAATTTAAAATGAATGAATATAAAAAAATTAAATCATTGGATTTGGACGCAGCAATTTTTTTTTCTTTAGTTTTTATTTTGAAAATTTGATTTAAAAAAGAAATAAATAAATTAAATGCTAACAATTGTTGGATAAACAAAATTTGTAATTTAAATATGCTTAAAATATTTTAATTAATAATAAACGAGAGTGATTCAAACTTGTAAGGGCTGGAAATTTAAATGCTTGACTCAATCAGGCATTGAATAACATCATTAATTTAGAAATATTTATTCAAAATAGATAAGATGATGATTTTTCATAAAAAAAGATAGTTGAACAACAAAAGAGCCTGAAGATAGATCGTAACTTTATATTAAGAAAGTTTCAGTATGAAAATTGAGGTATTTCCTATCTTTTATCATCATTCCTCTTAAAATGAACACTTTAAGCAAAAATATTTTGTCGATAACGTTTACTTACTCAAACAACTACCTTAAATTATGCGGAAAACTTTGCTCTTTTGAGTCGATTTAAAGCTTTTGAAAATCATGCATAGCTTATTTTCAGACTAGATTTAGAAAATTAAATCAAAATAAATTGAATAAACTCTAGTATGAATACATAGTAGCTAGGTTAAGCTTATAAAGTTCTTATCTCAATTTTAATACTCGTTTAGACATGAAGAATTGAATTAGTTTACTGCTGTTTTGAAATAAATGCAGCAACAATTGCGATTTTTGATTAAGGAAGCTCAATAAAGCATTGTGGATTATCAAGAGCTTTATTTGATCAAATCGAGAACTTAATGAATTGTGGATTTACTGCTTTCGATAGTTTTTGATGAGATTTTAGGACAAATGAGATATTTGTTGGTTATAAAACATAAAACGTATTATCGAAGCTTAAAATGGAGATTTAGGATGAATTCTTCGTAATAAACTAGAATAGATTATTCCAGAATTCTGTTTTGAAACAAAATTTAAGAATTTAGGTTTCTGCAAACTTTAAAACAAGGTTGCGAGTTAGAATTGAGAGTTAATATTAACAAATGTTAAGCTTTATTCGAATTCTTATATATTCTTTAGAAAATTAATTCAAATTAAGTCGACTCAAGTTGATTCCATTTTTTAAATTTAAATTCTAGGTTATTCAAAGAAATCTCTAAAATTTAGATTGAAAAAATAAAATCGACTTGATTTTGGTTCCTTTATAGTTAATTAATAATTATATGATCTTAACTATGCTTAAAAGATTAAACGAATGTAAATTTCGCTAAGAGAATCAACAACCTTTCAAACTCACCAGCTAAACTATTATAGAATCAGATATTAAGAATCATATCTGCTCAAGAACGAGATTTAATAAAAATTCAAACAGAAATCACAATTTTTGCATTTATGCACATATCAAAAAATTCAATTGATTATGAATTTTTATTGCAATAAAAAGAATCAAAATTGCTCAAATAGAAGAAAAATCAGTGAAATAGAAACTCAATCTAAATTCCACACGAAAAGAGAATATTTGCTTGCCTTTAGTAGCGATAAGGAAGATTTTTCCAGCCTTTAAAGATTTGAATCACTCGTACAACCAGCATGAGAGTTTTTTTGATCGATTAATTGAATTTTCTTCTAAAAAAATATAATTTTTGTGTGTTTCATTTTGAACATTTTTTAAGTTTAATCTTTTTTTTTGATGATAAATTTCATATTTTTTTAAATTGCTAACGGATATTAAATAATAATTTTTATTTTACTAATTTCATCATTAAAAAAATTTATTGAAAATGAAAAAAAAATTAAATTATTGTCATTGATTAACACAACCAATATCTGATGATTTAATTTTATTATTTTAGACAAATTAATGGGACACAAAAAATTTTTTGACAATTTCTAAATAAAACAAAAAAAAATCGAAAAAGTCGAAAATTAGAATTACATTTTTCATTAAAAATAAAGTCCAAACTATTGAGGTAAGTTATGGCGTCAAATTAGAAAAAACAAACTTTTTTTCTCTCTTATTTTTTGAATAAACCTTGTTTTTTTTGCATGCAAATTTGTGCGTGACGTGTTATATCAGCAACTAATCAATAAATAAAAATCTCTAATCCACACTTATCGATTGAAATTTTTTTATATATTATGTATTTTAAAAAAATCACTCAAATAATCGTATTTGGAAAAAAAATTGTGTTGTTTGTTGTTGATATATATTTTTTTATATATTTGGAATATGCATGAATGTGCACAAAATTTCTCTCTCTTTTTATTTCATTTTTTTCTTTTTCAATTTTATTTTTTTTCTCGTCTATTTATTTATGCTTTTTGAGGTGTAAAAATAATTGTCATTGCAATTTGCAACACTCGGAATTTATTCACAGAATAAATCATTCTTGATTATCAAGCTTTTCATTCAAGCAGACAGCATTAAAATTTTTTTTTGAAAATATTTATTCATTTATAATACACACATAAACATAAACACATTCATAATATTGCATACCTGACACATTTTGTAGTTGCATTAGTTTCCAAACTTTGGGGGTTCTAAAGTTGCCAGGCTGTGTTTTTAAAATTGGTTTTGTAACAAAAATTATGAGTTGCTCAAAACTTAGCAAAAAATGAACCAAGACTGCTTCAAATTGAGCAAAAGTTGAACCAAGTAGCTCAAAATTGAGCAACTTAAACAAAAACTGAAATTAGGTTACTCAAATTGAGCAAACAATACAAAAATTAACTAAAATTGCTTAAAATTGAGCGAACTGAGCAAATATTGAACAAAATTTGCTCGAATTTGATCAAATTGAGAAAAAAAATTGAACAAACGTTGTTAAAAATAGAATAAACTGCCCAAAAGTTGCTCAAAATTGAACTTAGAAATTACCAAACACTAAAACAGACCAAAAACACATTCTAATTCTAATTAAAAGCTCTACTTTTCTCAAAGAACATCACAAAACTCTCTCAAATTCAAATGTCCCTAAAAGCTTGCACATAATATACGAACTATAGACATGTAAAACTGCATACAAATCAGAATAGACAAGCTGATTGAAAACGTGCAGATGGGCTGTTGTACAAACATACTGATAGATCAATGTACGAATGGTCTGACATGCCTAAACCGGTTAACATGCAGAAGGACTTACAGATAAATAAGTGGGCGTGTAAAGGAACTGACAAACAGAATGTCTGGAGATGAAAATAAATCAATATGCAGATGATGTTGAAAATAGACATGCTTTAGATGTTTTGAGTAATAGACAATTTTTAAATTGGATTGAATTTTGTTCAAAATTAAGGATAATTGTTGATAATTGTCAAAGATATTCTAAAAACCTGTAATTTTTATTAACACTGAGTGAAAGGTTCAAAAACTGAGCAAAAGTTGAAAAACTGAGCAAATGGTTCAAAATCTGAGCAAATGGTTCAAAATCTGAGCAAAAAGTTCAAAACTGAGCAACAGATTCAAAATCTGAGCAAAAGTTCAAAAACTTGAGCAAAAAGTTCAAAATTGAGCAATAGGTTCAAAAACTGAGCAAAAGTTCAAAAACTGAGCAAAAGGTTTAAAAACTGAACAATAGATTCAAAATCAGAGCAAAAGATTTAAAAACTGAGCAAAAAATTCAATATCTAGGCAACGGTTCAAAAGCTGAGCGAGTCTTAAATTTAAGCGAAAAGTTTCAAAATTAACGAAATTCAATAAAAATTTAACACTTTAGAACCCCCAAAATAGTGAATGCACATAGTAAAACTCAAATAAACAAACTTATTTCTCTCTATCACACTCTATTGCTTCATTATTCCTCTTTTTTACTTTTATTTACACAATTTATATTTTTCATGATGAGTGTAAAACTTTTCATTTCAACAAAATACTTGATTTGATTTTTTTTTTTTTATAAAATTGAAAAGGAGAAAAAACTCGATTGCATTTCAAAAAAAAAAACCAGAAAAAAAATATAATTGAATGAATATTTTACTGATGAGATTCTTTTGAATTTCTTTCTTTTTTTCTCTCTTTTTCCCCATCTCTTCCTTGTGCAATCTCATTCCGTTCCATATGTCTGTGTATCATGATGTAGGAAAAACCCCGACCAATAATTCATCAAAAGATACAAATGACAGAAACAATAACAATTTTAAACATGAAATATTAGACTTGGGCGATTTGGATCTTTCACAATTACGACTAACCAAAAAAGATTTAGAAACTTTATCGAGCATCACACCGAGTTTATCAAAGAACATTCAGGATCAACTTTTAGCACAATTGCCACCAAATCAGGCGAAAAAATTATCCCGAACCTTATCACAAAATCAAACTACAAATAGTAATAATATTAATGGAAAGAAGTCAGAGACAACACAAATTTATCGACGTAGCGTGAGCAGCGGTGCAAAAAGTCAAAATGAACGTCATAATCGTGACAGTGTGACACCAACGAATGAAGTATTCGATAATATTAACAATAATACTATCCGTAATGCTTCACAGCATAGAAAAAGTGCAAGTCGTGAGGATAAATTGTTTGATGACTCGGTAAATAACAATAATAACAATAATGGAAGTATATTTCGTGAACGGACATTGTCGCCGGATGGATATCGTTATCAGAAAAACTTAAATCGTACATCAAGTCCAAGTGAGGATATAGAACGAGCTTGTTTCTCACCACCACCATTGGAAGAGAAAAAGACAAAAAGATATTCAAGGTCGATGGCTATTTATGATGAACCACGAAAACCAGAACTCGCAACACATAAAATTTTGCGTGAAATGCGTGAAAAAAGTCATGAAACGGATAAAGATGATAGCAATAAAAATTCGTACTACCAAAATAAATACACGCCATATAATAGCGATGTACAGACCAGAAGTTTTAATGCCAAAGAGTCCACAATTTCCGGTAATTCGCAGTCACAGTCGTCGTCTGTGTCGTCGTCAATTAATAATAAAATTTTAGATGAATTAAATTCAATTAGTTTACTTAATAATCAGCTGGAGAAATTCGACCAACTTGAGATCCAAAATAAGGAAAAACTAGTGAAAAAGAAAATTTCTACAAAAATCAGCGATGAAACTTCCAAAAAATCAACAAAATTAAAAGAAAAAGTCGAAGAAATAAAGCCAACAGAAACCAAACTCGTTCGTCCAAAGTCATTCATTAAGGATGTCCCACTTAAGCCAATTACTCAAGAATTCACAACCGATAAACTTCCATTAGACACAAATAAGCTCGAAAGACCAAAAAGTTTTCCAAATTCAAAATTAACGCCGCCAAAAGAACTCAAAAAGTTACCAGACATCGATCCAAAACCTGAGGAACCAAAGAGTGTTGAAGAACCTCCACAAATTGAACCAAAGAAAGTCAAAAAAGTCATTAAAGTTGTAAAAAAATCAACGAAAAAGTCATCACCTCCAATATCCGTGCCAATAGAAGCTCTACCCGAGCCAGAAGTCACGATTGTGAAAAAAGAGAAGGAAAAGTCTCCTGAAAAGAAAGGTGGAAAAGGCTTATTGTATACGATTGGGCAAAAGTTTGAGAAACTTCGTGATACAAAGGCAAAGAAATCAGATGAAGTTAAGGATGAAAAGAAAATTGAATCATCCACGTTGGACTTGAAGGAAAAGAAAAAGAAAATAAAGGCAATGTTGAATGAAGATGTTGATGAAATAACAAGACAAGAAAGGAAGTCCAAAATTGATGCATTAATAAAGAATTTAAAAGATAAAACTGTACCAAATGTTGAATTAACTGAATCCGGACTGATAAAACGTGCTGTTAGCGTTGAAGAAATGCCAAATACATTTAATAAGAATGCTGTGAATAAAGTTCTTGGATTATTTAAGCGAATCGAGAAGGAGAATGAGAATAAAACGAATCGAGTTCAAAATACAAAATCCACAAGTTTTCTAAGCTCAATGGATCCACCGACGACATTAGACTACTATGCAAACCATATTACAAAGGAGAGACCGAAATCCAGTGGATTTGTCAACAATAAGCATCATAAAAATTGTAGCGCAAGCTTTGAACCATTAGCAAATATTTGTGAAAGTAAAATACCTGTTAAATATTCATGTCCTGATTGTAAAACAAATCCATCGATCGATACTATTAATCCACAATCCGCAAATGTTGTGACAAAGCGACATTCCAATGATGACAAGCAGCAGCAGACGAGTGAGGAGAAAGAGCGCTTAAAAAACAATCGAAAAGGATTAATGTTGGATTTTTCACGATTTAAATCTCCTGAACCAGAAGTGAAGGATAAAAAGCCAGCAAACTATAGCTTCCCACCGCCCCTGCCCGAAGTCAATAGGAATGTCGTCACTCCAACATATGATAATCTCGCAAATTATTCATCATCTGCATTTGATGCATCGATAAGCTCCTCATTATCGCCAAATGATGAAATCTGTAATGATGGATGGTCGACATGTTCAGATGACCATACAATCTCATCACATCATCCATTAGGTAGTGCATCACTTTCGCGTTTATCAAAAAGTAATTATATTGATGAGCCTGAATCACCGCCAGAATCTGTTGTCGATAGAATTAGACGTAAAAGCTTTTACAGTAGATTTAATGAGAAGAAGACCAAACGAGTCTCAAATATTGTTGGACCAGCTGCTAAAGATTATTATCGTGAACGTTCAAAACCATTGGAATATACAAGATCAGCAACAAGCGTTATACCTGACATTCTATCATCGACACGTGCATCGAGTGTTGAGGCTGCACCATCACATCATTCGCGTGCATCAAGCATAAGTCGTTACATACCCACATCGTCAGCGGCAAATCGCTCATTAAGTCAAACACGCTCATCCACAAAATATACAAATGACAGTGATCCAATATCAAGTTCTAGTTCGTCATACAGACGAAATGAAAGCAATCATTTAGCAACTTTACCGCCACCATATCACGTACATCATTCACATCATCATCATGAATTATCACATAAAGCATCACCCGATGATGTATCAAAAATTAAAAGCAATAGAAATACAATGTACGACTCATCGTCATCATCATCAAATACACCATCGTCATTATCGTCACTTTATACTAAACGACGTTCTTATGTCTCATCATCGCCATCATCTGTGACTACAAATTCAACTTCTTATTATACATCATCAAAACCGCCACTAACATTTGTCGATGGCTATGCAACAATTGGACGTAAAATGCGACAATATAATACTAGAAGTGTCTCGTTATTAGATCCTAATATTATCAATTCCTCACATAATAATTATGATCATTATCGTGTTAATGGAAATACTGAATCAAATGGAAATTCTACAAGGTTTGTATCATATATGCGTAGTTATAAATGAAAATTCAGATGTCGGTGAATGTGGTTGGATTATGTAGTAATTTGATTGAGGTTTTAGAGGCATTACCGATGAAATTTATTCTGATTAGCTGTGTTGTTGATGATTTATTTGGAATTTTAGTAATAAGGGCGTTTTTGTGGATAGTTTTAAAGATACTGAATTAGTTGTTGGGGAATAATTTTACAATTGATAGCCTTTTTAGTATAAATATTTGAGAAGTATTGAGTTATGTCTGCTAGAATTCGGTTACATAAGATTAAACTATTGGAATTTAATCAAACTGGTCAGAATTATGGTCAAGTTTGATTGCATTTAAGTTTAAAGTATAATGTTGAGAATATAGTAACGTTTATTTATTTTTTAAATTATATAAGCAACTTTAATGGGTTTGTTTCCCCTTGTATAGTTCTCAATCCCTTCATATGAATATTAAGTCTCTTTCTGATCATGGAACAATAAAGATCATTGTGAATATATATAGAGACAGTAACGTCTCTTTGATTAAGTTTATTAATACATAAACATTGTGTTCATTATATCCAACATATATTTTAAAAGAATATAGCTCTGGATTTAGCAGAATTAAGTTAAATTTATCTTTTCTTATTCGGATTTGATATAATTCAATTAAATTTTGGATAATCAATTCAGTTTTAACAGATCGGATCAAGTAAAACAACCAAGGCGTGGACACTCATAAATACGCTGGGATTATTCAGGATTATTGGGATTATTGGAAAAAAATTATTCAAATATTTTGAATTTTTTGAGAAAATGAACTGTAAATAATATGTTATTTGAAGCCATTGTGACTTGTAAAGTTTAAACAATGTGAAAATATATCATTTTGAAGTGTTTACACTATGGGGCAAAATGAAAAAAAAAATCGATGATTCAAAATTTTTTTTGACTTTTTCGAGTTACGATCTTTAGGTGATTTTTTCTTGTAAAGGACATCAAAACTGGATTATGTTCCAAATTTCAGGTCATTTGGTGCTGTTTTTGCGATTCTGTGGCTGTTTGAAGTTGGAAAATGACGAAAATTTGAATTTTTTCATGCATTACTTAAACTGCAATTTCTCTACAATGGCTAAAGAAATTGAAAAAAGGTTTTCAGTTCCTAATAGTAACATATAAGAGCTTTATTTTGATGTAGCACAAAGTTTGGAAATATGTAGTTGTGGTTCCGATATAGTACAAAGTATATGAAAATCCTTTGAAAAATATCTTTAAACGTGCCGCAACTGTCCAAAACGACCTAAAGATCGTAACTCGAAAAAGTCAAAAAAAATTTTGAATCATCGATTTTTTTTTCATTTTGCCCCATAACATGTTTTTCGATTACCAAAATATAAATTTGATAAAATACAATAATTTTTCACAGAATTTTGACTGATTTATTTAAACAATCGGTTTCTGGAATAGGAATAGACATTTACTCAGAGTTTTTAGTTGTATTTACTAGTGTCCTAAGAAATAAGTCAAGGGTGTGGACCTAAAGAATTACATTTTGATAATTTTTGATCAATTTTGATCATTTTTGATAATTTTTTCATCATTTCATCAGTACCACACCCTTGGTTGGAGTTTGAAGGCTCCTGTACTAAGTATTTCAGACAAAAACCTTGCTTTGAAGAATCTTAAGGTTATTTTAGTAGATTGCTTGTCTAAGAATGTAATAAGTTTTTATATGATTATATGTTACAATTTGTTATAGTCTTGTTTTAATTAAAATTTCCAGTATTTTCCCAAACAAGTTCTACAAAATGGACCATGTTTTCGATATTATATACATACTTCTAATTGCTGTAGTATTTAAGTTACTGGGACATTTTCATAAATGACTTAAAAAGATTAAAATTTCAATTTTTATCATGCGAAAAAATATTTAAGCCACTTAACTTTCTTTTTGTTCTTTCTCTTCCTGAGAAATATATTTTTGAACATAATTTTCTCAATTTTTTCACTTAATTTCGTTGAGTTGCTCTATTTTTTAAGATCATTTTAAAAAAGTCAAAAGTGTTGTATGGCCAAGTAAATTTTGGGTTTTTATCCTTCACAGTTAAATATATTCAATATAGAATTTTCCTAGGCCATGTCCTTTTTCAAAATGGTCGTTCGTTTTTTTAACCTTAGATCTGAATATTTTTAAACAATAACAATGATCTTGTTCATTCCACTAATATAAGTCCTGCTGATCTAGATTCATTCCAGTTCAATGCTTTCTCAATTATGCTTTCTCGAAATTCCGGTACCGAAAATTTTCGGGATCGGGATCGGGATTGTAATTTTTTGGTCAGCGTTTACTGATACAACTACGATTAAAAATCTTTAAAAGTTTCAGTGAGATTCATTGAGTATAACAAATAATAAAGTCAAAAATGCAAAAAATTTAAAATAAGCTCGCACCTTTTTTGGTGTGGAAGTCCAACGTTATATACCATTGAAAAGGGTATTAGGAAAACTTTAATTTATAAAGTTTTATACTTTTGAGTATTCTATAACGTGGTGCTTTAGCTAGATCACAAAAACATTTTTTTAAAAAAAGCTGTTAATTTTTTCCCCTTATAAATTTGTAATCAGGATTTTCAATTTCGATCCCGATGGCGAGAATTTCGGGATCCCGGGAAATGTTGACAGTAAATTGAAGATTTAATAATGCTATATTTGGTATTCATTGGATCTTATTTTTTCTAAATTCATTTTTTTAAGTGTTTATCCCAGAGATCGAAGCCGATTTTTTCGGCTTAACTCAATTTTTGAATTTTTTGATAGAAAAATCGGCAGAAACTTAAAATTCTGAGCTTACTTTAGCTACATGCTGACAAAATATTACACAAAATCATAGTAAAGCATGTAAAATTCAATTTAAATACTTGAAATGGGTGTCAAATGGCTTTTTATTTTACCACGTTTTTCTTAACTTGCTTTCTTGTCTTTCTGTCTTTCTGTCTTTCTGTTTGTCTTGGTCAAATCTTGCAATCAATTTTTCGACCACTTCTACTGCTCCAATCGAGCTGAAATTTTGCATGCACTTATATTTCCGATGACAATACAATATTTTAATACTTTGGAAACACAAAAATGCTTAATTATAGTACAATTTATGTAAAAGTTTTTTATATGGGAAAAAATCCAATGTCAATGATATAAAATTTTGATTTGTATTAAATATTATACATGTGATGCTCTAAAGTCATTTATATGATTCATTATAGTTTAATTAATATTACTAATTATTAATTATACCATAAATTTGAGCAGCTAAAGATATTCTGGTAAGACAAAAAAATTGACATGTAATTTTTTCATGAATATTCGTAAGTGAAAATTTGAATTTTCAAAAAAACCGTTAAGCACAAGTCCGTTACGAATTAATGCAAAATAACTATTAATATGCGATGTGCATTTAACACACATAATTTGAGCATAAATTTATGCTGTTTTAAATGTATTGCATTATTTATAACACTTCACCAACTTAATTAAATTGACTTTTCTTTTTATTAACGGCTTGACGTATTTTTGCATAACATATAAATGATATTCATTGAATTTAAATTTGAAAATCCGTTATAAATACGTTACATATGTGATTTGCATCTTTATAGTAAGAATCCACACGTTATGAAGTAGAAATGGTACAGATAAACACAAAATCTTTACGAGTGATTTTTAATGTACTTTACTAATGAATGCTTTAAAAAAATTAAATTTTATAAAACGAATGAAAAATTTTGAAAGTCGTTACTAATTTCCCATTGAAAACTGGTAATTTATAAACAGTTGAACGTAACGGAGTGAAACGAAGTGGAGTTCAACACACCTGTAACCTATAAACCTACTGTAATCTATAAACAGTTGAACGTAACGAAGTGAAACGAAGTGGAGTTCAACACACCTGTAACCTATGAACCTACTGTAATCTATAAACAGTTGAACGTAACGAAGTGCAACGAAGTGAAGTTCAACACACCTGTAACCTATAAACCTACTGTAATCTATAAACAGTTGAACGTAACGAAGTGCAACGAAGTGGAGTTCAACGCACCTGTAACCTATGAACCTACTGTAATCTATAAACAGTTGAACGTAACGAAGTGCAACGAAGTGAAGTTCAACACACCTGTAACCTATGAACCTACTGTAATCTATAAACAGTTGAACGTAACGAAGTGAAGTTCAACACACCTGTAACCTATGAACCTACTGTAATCTATAAACAGTTGAACGTAACGAAGTGCAACGAAGTGGAGTTCAACACACCTGTAACCTATGAACCTACTGTAATCTATAAACAGTTGAACGTAACGAAGTGCAACGAAGTGAAGTTCAACACACCTGTAACCTATAAACCTACTGTAATCTATAAACAGTTGAACGTAACGAAGTGCAACGAAGTGAAGTTCAACACACCTGTAACCTATAAACCTACTGTAATCTATAAACAGTTGAACGTAACGAAGTGTAACGAAGTGAAGTTCAACACACCTGTAACCTATAAACCTACTGTAATCTATAAACAGTTGAACGTAACGAAGTGCAACGAAGTGAAGTTCAACACACCTGTAACCTATAAACCTACTGTAATCTATAAACAGTTGAACGTAACGAAGTGCAACGAAGTGAAGTTCAACACACCTGTAACCTATAAACCTACTGTAATCTATAAACAGTTGAACGTAACGAGGTGTAACGAAGTGAAGTTCAACACACCTGTAACCTATAAACCTACTGTAATCTATAAACAGTTGAACGTAACGAAGTGAAGTTCAACACACCTGTAACCTATAAACCTACTGTAATCTATAAACAGTTGAACGTAACGAAGTGCAACGAAGTGGAGTTCAACGCACCTGTAACCTATGAACCTACTGTAATCTATAAACAGTTGAACGTAACGAAGTGCAACGAAGTGAAGTTCAACACACCTGTAACCTATGAACCCCCTATAATCTTTATTTCTCAATTTCATTAGAATAAGACTAAAAAGTTGAAAATAAAATACTTTATAAAAAAAACTTTTTAAAAAAACTACGTTTTTCGCGTAGACTAAAAAGTAGAAAATAACTTTTATTCTTGGTTGTAAAGAATTTGGTTTTTAAATTTTCAGATTATATTTAATAAATTTTTATATCCTAGTCAATATTGTTCACAAAGTTTCGAATAAGTGCATTTTGATCTTATCGTATAACTCAACAACTTAAAAACGTGGGCGCATTATAAGAGGAGAAATAAGTTTATGTGAAATCAATACTTTATGATAAACTTAAATTAATGCGCCCACGTTTTTAAGTTGTTGAGTTATACGATAAGATCAAAATGCACTTATTCGAAACTTTGTGAACAATATTGACTAGGATATAAAAATTTATTAAATATAATCTGAAAATTTAAAAACCAAATTCTTTACAACCAAGAATAAAAGTTATTTTCTACTTTTTAGTCTACGCGAAAAACGTAGTTTTTTTAAAAAGTTTTTTTTATAAAGTATTTTTTTCTATCAAAAAATCAAAATTGAGTTAAGCCGAAAAAATCGGCTTCGATCTCTGGTTTATCCCCATGAAAGCCAAAAAGTCAATAATTTAACCATAGCTATAATTATCATCGAGGACACCCCTAGCTTTACTAGGTTTGTCGAATCAAAAACTTAGTTCGAAGAAATTTTTTTGAGGAAATATGTATCGTTTAATTGATTTTTGGGCTAATATACGATTATTTTAATTAGAGCACATAGTAAATCGATCAAATATAGCATTTAAAAGACATTTTAAATTGATTTTTGTAAATGTTTGACTAGTGCACTAGATTTTGTTGGTAAAAAATCACTTTTTGACGTTTTAAGGCTAGTTCATTACTTTAGATAATTTTTATATTAATATTCTGTACTTAAAATGTATCCAAAGATTTTTGGGGACATCATTCTCTTCATTCCTAGTCAAAATTTTAACATTTAATAAATTTTAAATTTGAAAAATTTTAAAATTATTTTAATAATCCCAAAAATCCCAATAATCCCAAACCTGTGATTATTGGGATTATTTGAGATTATTGGGATTTATTGGGATTATTTGGGATTATTGGGATTAATCCCAGTGTCCACGCCTTGAAAACAACTTTAAATCCTACAAAGATCAGCATTTTCACATCAACCACCCCAAACCTCATCTCACTCTCTTCAAATCTTTAATTTCGCAGTAATGTAATCCACCCACATTCAAACCTACGTAAACATCATCTCAGATATTAACCATAAGCAGTAATTAACAAATATCTTCATTTTCGTTCACAGATCTTTAAGATCATCTGTTCCAAGAAATGACAACATTTGATGTTTAAATACAACTCATTACCATTATGTTTTTTAAAAGTCTCAACTGTTTATCTTCTCATTTTTTTAATGAGTTTAACTAAAATTGTTGATTTGTGCAATTTATCATATCATTTTGGGATGGAATGCTCGATGAACATGGTTGGGAGTTGGAAGATTTCCATCAATAAACTTTACTGTAGCTGACTCACGTATTTTGAAATAACTTTTTCAAGAAAAAAACAAAAGTTTAAAATTTATTGCAAAAGTTTAGAGAAATGACAAAGAATCAATTAATGCAGCATCTCGTTCAGACATTTTAGAACAATTTTTTTTTTACCTATTATAATGATATGTTTCTGAATAAAATTTTGAAATTACTGTGGAGATGTTTTGAAAATGATGTCTATCAAATATTGAGGATCTTCTGAAATTAAGAGACTAGCTTTGATCTAATCTAAAAACGCATAGAAGTAAATACACTGAGAAACTAGCTCCTGAAGCTTTTTAAGAGAGATAAGTTTTTAAAGTGAATCAATTATTCATTGAACCGTTCAACTTCCATATCCCCACCATAAATCGAACTTTTCATTCCGAAAACCCAAACTTTTTCTATTTGTTCTTTGAAAAAAAAAAATGTGAATAATTTTAAGTGACAACATCTCATTCTTATTAATTTTTATCGCAATGTACTAACCATAATGCACTGTCTTGAGAAGGGAACCTCATGAGATGTTATAAACCTTTTTTTTAAATATATTTTACACATTATTTCTAATTCTATTGTTGAAAAAAATGAAGAAAAATTAGAATCAAAAATTATGGGAAAAAATGTTTTTAATAATAAAAATAATATTAGAAGACGCACAGTTAATGGCAGTCAAAGGCTGCCTGTAGCAGGAATAAAAAAATGATGAATTTTAATCTCAAAATGATGACTAGTTATTGTGTAGTTAAAGTAAAACTTTTAGAGCAATATATTTCATTTTGAAATACTTATTCTCAATGGAAATAAATAAAATAATAAAAAATTTGTTTGAAAAACTTTTTAATAATGAATCATTTCATTAATTATATCAACACTTTGCATTAAAACATGAATAAATAAAGAAAAAATTTGGTAGAAAAAAACTCTCGTGTTTACTTACCTTTTAATTTGTTTATTTGCCGAACTTCTTATTTTTTTGCTTTACTTTTTAAATAAATTTCAGAACTTTTTTTTACAGAATTCTTCACATCTTCTTTTAAATAAACAACGTTCTTTGTAATTAAAAGCATCTTCGCAAATTTGAATTACAAGAAAAAACACTTTAAGACTCATTAATTGAGGAAGAATTTAATTAAAATTTCACTTGAATTTTATTTCAGAATTTTTCTTGTTAAGAAAATTTCAATTTTACTGACTACTGAGGTAAGCGTTGAATTATGATTTAATGATTATTTTATGAATTCAAACCAAATTAAACATCCAACGGTAATAAAATATTCAAAAACGTTTTCAAATTTGTATTCAAATTTTGAACTTACATTAAAAATCTCAAACGTTTTCAAAACTTTAAATTCAATAAATTCATTATACTTTAAGCTTGATTTAATCATTGATTCAATAAAAGAATTAAAATACAAAATAACTTACAAATTTTAAGCAAGTTTCTTCAAAATAAACACAAATTCTCAACGATCAATAACAATTCAAATCTCAGTTTAACTCTTTATTACAAAACACAAAAGTTTGTTTTGCTCGATTTTTTCCCTCAAAATTACGATTAATTAAGCGATTATCACATCCACAGAATCATTTATCATTATAGAATTCCAATATCAATTTACAGCTTTCTAGTCTCTCCACTTGTTGAGATATAATAACTGTCATAAAATATTCAAAAATTCCAGTAGCGTCGTAAAATTCATAGTGACAACCCTGCAAATCAAAAGATATAAATAAAAACTTAAATTCAACAAAATTAAAGGAATTAGCCATTATGGAGGAGATTAATTGCTTTGTGCTGCAACAAAATGTCATGGTAAGCTAGTAAATATCAATAAAAAATCATTACACTAATTAATTCACACGTGTTTTAGAATATTTTGAAAAATGCCGAAACTGAAGATTTTGAATCCAAAATAAAGCTTCAATTTGACAATACAGAAGCAAATATCGAGATTAGTGACAAGAAGTCAGCAGTTGAACATGCATTAAGGGATATCCTGATCAAGAATTGCGTCGAAAACATTGAAACAGTTGAGAAAATTGTCGATTTATCAATGAAATTAGCAAGACAGGACATTATATCAGCATTCTTTCCAGTTTCACTTCTTGTGGATGTATTTGATGTCAAAACATTGGATTTCTGTGAGAATTTATTCACATTTGTGGAGCAAAATGTTAATGTTTTTAAGGAACCGCACTTTTTTACACCATGTAAAAATTCATTATTAAGGATGTGCAATGACTTGCTCAGAAGATTATCAAGATCCCAAAATACTGTCTTTTGTGGACGAATTCTTATGTTCCTGGCTAAATTCTTCCCATTTTCTGAACGTTCTGGACTTAATATTGTATCAGAATTCAATGTCGAAAATATCACAGAATTTGAGTTCTCATCAAATGTTGAAGGAACTGACGAAATTCCACAAGAACCAGAATCAATGGCTGTTGAAGATCCATCAACATTAAAAGTCGATAAACATTTATATTTAAAGTTTTGGGCATTACAGGAATTCTTTAGATGTCCATATACATGCTATGATAAAGAAAAATTCAAGAAATTCGCTGGATATACAAAAGATGTCCTCGCAGCATTTAAAAGCTTCAAATTAGAAGAAACTGGAGAACTTTCATCAAAATCAGTCAATGAAATAATTCAAAGCACAAAAGATTCTGAACAATTTTTTGCTAAATTCCTCACAAATCCAAAACTTTTGTCACTTCAACTTGGCGATTCCAATTTCCGTCGTACGATTCTCGTTCAATATTTGATTCTATTTCAATATTTGGTGTCAACAATTAAGTTTAAAGGTGAAAATGACAAGTTAAATAATACACAACAAGATTATGTCAAGGAAACGGAATCTTTGGTCTATAAACTGCTGAATGAGACACCGCCAAGAGGTAAAGAATTCTCAGAAGCTATAAAGCACATCCTTAAACGTGAGGAAATGTGGAATAATTGGAAAAATGATGGATGTAAGGAGATTAAACGTCCAGAAGGACATGAAAAGGAAGTTCCAGAATCCAGAAAGAGGAAATTATTAGGTGAAGAAATCTGTACAGCTAATAAGCTTGGAAAATTTGATCTTGGAAATCCAGAATTAACTAGATTATGGAATTTATGTCCAGATAATCTACAAGCATGTAAAGGCTTAGACAGAAACTTTTTACCGCCATTAGAAACATATCTTGAGAATAAGGAAATGAGTTCCGATGATCCAACATATTTATGGCGTGCATTACGTCTTGTGTCCAAACAAAGTTCACATTTCTTTACGCTGTTGGCACCGCCAAATGAGAAAATTGAAAAAATTGCCGATTACTTAAAACTTTTCAGTCAAAAAATCCAAAAAGATAAAATTGAAATAAAGCAAGAAGCAGGCACAGGAATTGATATAGAACAAGCTGAAGCATTTGTGGAAGAGCATGTAAATTCAGAGCAGATTGATGATGTTGAGCCTGAAGATGAGAATCCACATAAAGCTAAGAAAGCAACGCCCGAACAAATTGTTGAAATTGCAAAGGCAATTGGTGATGATTGGCAGAAACTAGGGAAAAAGTTGGGTCTGGAAAAGGATGTGATTGAATATTTTGTTGTTAAGAAGCCAGATGCACCATGTGAATTGTTGCTGACACAATTATTTGAGGAAAATGACGATGAAGATCTGGAAAGTTTGGCTTACACACTTGAAGGCATGAAAGTCATTAAAGCTGCAAATTTGGTCAAGAAAATGTGCGAATCGGAAGAGACAATGCAAGTTGAATAAAAAAATGCAAATTTAAACTTTTTTTAAACATTAATTAATATCACTTAAAAGGAAATAAATATGAAATTCTTTTTTATACAAATTTTAAAGTTTAATTAATTCCTCGTTCAACGTCTCTGGATTTTCCTCTCGTTATTGGAGGCTTTGGCATGACACCGGCTTTTTCTGCAGCCATTGCTGCTTCTCGTTCGATGTCTTCTGCTCGTAGCTTATCAGCTTTCTTAATTTTACGGTAGCGTTCTAGAAGAGTTGAGATTTGTAATTTAATTAATGCTTCAGCCGTGAATATAAATTTTTGAGATATAAATCTTACTTGATAAGTTAATCATGATTGTTCCCCACCATATTGACCAACCCTGAAATTATAAATGAGCGTGTAAAGTGCATGAGGAATTTTAAATACAATAAGAAGGTCTTTTTAATGCAATTAAGACTTGAAACAATTTCAATTTAGCTTTTATCGATTGAAAAAGGTTCAAATTTGAACGGTCCATAATATTTTGAATTTCAACTGTCAAATAATTTTCAAATTTTGCTCAGTTTTGTAAAAAAAAACTTGCACAGTGAACGAATTGTGTAGAAAATTTGATCTCAGTAGACAAATTTTATAACAGTTGTAGAAAAAGTGTGAATCAGTGTGAATGTTAAAAATATTAAGTTTAATTACCAGGAATAAAAGCATCCTTAATCTAAAGTGTCTTATAAACAGTAAGTCTCATGAAATTGTGCAAAATTATTAACGTAAGTTTTAAATTTCTCAAAAAAATTCTTTTGTACTGGATCTTGAACCAAATCCTTTAATGTGTCTGAATCCATGCCTTTATTGGTTCAAATCTAAATAATTCAAGTCAGTAAAACTGAATCTTAAATGTTAAACACATCCATAACAGTAAAATATGGAAATAATGAAATTTTCCTCGATTTTGGGATTCATTTACTTGAGACGTCCATTGATTTTATGTCTGAGGTTTTGTGACACATCATTACATCTGTTTGAGGTTGCTGGGTTATAAGTCCAGATACAAAAATCGTGCACAGAAAATTATGAGTCCAGAAAATCAAAGTCAATAAAGGTTTATAAGTCCAGATACAAATTGCACCTGGACTTAAAAACCTCACGTGCAGTTTATAAGTCCAGGGGCAAATAGAGCTGGAATTATAAACTGCTTGAGAGGTTTTTAAGTCCAGGTACATTTTATATCTGGACTTATAAACCTCACGTGTGGTTTATAATTCCAGAAAATTTATAAATTTTACTTATAAACTTCTAGTGCGATTATAAGTCCAGATACATTTTTCTGGACTTATAATCCTTGAAAATTATTTTTGAAACTTTTTCAATTTTTTCCTTTAAAGCAATTCTACAAATTAACTTTTCTGATTTTTCTTCCTCTAAAGTACCTTATATATTCTTTTAAGCTGTTGTATTTCATTAAAATCATTATAATAAATTAAACGTTTTATCTTCCAAATAATTGCTTAAATTGAATTTTAAGGAAGTTTTAGAAGATAAATCAATTTTTCTGATGAAAATTTACGTCTCTGAAAAACTTCAGCTTTTATTTTCCTAATACGTTTTAAAAAATTATTTTTTAAAATTAAAATTTAGCATATGGTTGAGATTTAAAGCTTAACAAACATTCTATAATGTCTTTTTAAAAAAATTTTATTAACCAAACTTTAATTTTATAAACTTTTATAAACGACATTCTAATCAAAGTAATTATTGGTAATTAAAGTAAAACTTGATTTTTTAATATCATTTTCCCACGGATTTGGCTTAACATTGGTATATTACATTGGTTGCAATAAAATTATTCATTTTTCTGTTAATTGGGTGTCTTTCAAGACAATTTAAGTATGCAGAATCATAGAAAATGATAGAATTTCGTTTATTTGTTTGCCATGAAGTCAAAAAAATATCATCCATCTTGGATTTTCTACATTTGGGCGAATCTCCAGAACGGTGGAATTTTTCAAAATGAGCTTTTATAATCCGTTGTCAATTATGCTTACATCATAAATATACTGCTTGAAAGTTCAGAATTACAATATTTTCGATCAAAAAATTTTGTAATTTTTTAACGGATTAGGAAAATTTAAGCTCTTGCGTTGCTTTTTGACAAAAAATTAACGTTCGGATAATAGATTTATCTCGATAATTAAGCTTTATTACTGGAGTTTGGAGCATTTACATTTCTAAACAGATCTTAATCTATCATTAAGTGTACATTTAATGCTGCAAAGATGAGGATTTGATATGAAATTTTTGATTACCCTGTTGAAACTTTTACAAAATTCTATTTTTGGTCACAAAGCAACGGGCCGAAGAATTTAAATATCTTAATAATTAGGACAATTCATGCTTGGACAAATCTGATACGAAAAATTCAAGAGTTTCGACCGTTACAGTTTCCAAGAAAACTTGTGAAAATGTCTTATTTGTCTGTCTTGCCATACAAAATTCGAAGCTTCATACCCTGCAGTTCGAAATTTTCGAAATTTACAAAAAAATAAAAACTTAAATTAAACAAGTTATATATGAAATCTAGATGAAACTTTTATGTGGTCGTTTAATGATAAGTAAAACATAGCTATATCTTTTTTAAAACAATCAAAAACTCCAATAAAATCACTAAAATTGTAACGGTTTATTTTCAAATTTAAACTTTTCGAACGTGTATATTATAACTCCCCTAGACTTTCGATAAGTTTGTCGAACATGAATTGTTCGTATCAGGGACAAATAACTAAATAGATAGGAAATAAAAAATTACATCAGATAAACTGAAATGCTTGTAAGGTTTAATGAAAAATTTCGACAAAAAATTCATTTGAAGTCAAAATTTTTGCAATTTACCCTACTGGAATCGCCTATTGTCAAATGCATAATTTTTCATAATTAATAGGGCAATTCCACGAGTAAAGGGAACTGAGGAAAAGCAAGTTGTAATATTTTTCTACTTGTAGTAATTTGAATTTTTTTTACCGTTACAAATTTTCAAAAGATTCAAACCAATTTTCATTGCCTTGATTACGATTATTACACAAAATTATGATGTTAACATGAAAAAAAAACAAATTAAATTCATTATTAACCCAATAAAATGTTATTTTTCGAAGAGAAATTATTCTTAGCAATAAATAAATTTAACGGAAATTCAAAATTCAAATTTTCTGTTTTTTGTTGGTTTTGGATAAAGCGCTGAAAACTTAACCGATTAACGCAGTATTTTTTAATTTTCTCTGTGAATAAAGCATTTAAGAACAGAAAAAGTGTACAAATAAGTAGAAAAAGTGAATATTTATGGCTTAAAAATATACTTGAGCACAAAAAATGGTTATTTGAAGACTTTTTTAAGGATATAAGAAGCGAAATTTTCGTAAACTTAACCGATTAACGATGAAAAAACTAAATTATTTCAGTAAATAGACCTTTAAACGTTTAGTTACCTATTTTAAAATAAATATCTTGAGTTATTACTAATTATAAATTTTTAAAAGAACGGAAAAAGAAGTTATTTTAAGAGTATTTTGATAAAAAAAGAATTTTACTTGCATTTTTTCACTCATAGAATTGCCCAATAAAGAAAAAAAAAATCGAAATAGTTTCACAAATAATTTTCAAGGATTATAAGTCTAGGTGCAATTTGTATCTGGACTTATAAACCTTTATTGACTTTGTTTTTTTGGACTTATAATCTCTGGACTTATAACCCAGCATCCTGTTTGAGGTCTGAAAATCTCATTTTTGATGAAGGTTATAAGCAAATGATTACTTAGTTTAGGATTCTCAGTTTATGATCTCCATAACATTTTACAGAGCCATTTATAACACAAAACACACCTATTTCTCAAGTTTATAAACCTAATCACATTAAACCTCCATAAAATATATAATATCTTACCCATCCAACGAGACAAAAAATAATCGTAAAAGCTTGGGAAGCACCAACAATACAGTTTATAATAAAAGATCCGATTCTCCCGCGAGCACCATCGTGTTGTGAAAATCTTGGTATACCAATGCAAAGACAGAACAAGCCACTAAATATTGTGCCTATAAAATAATAAACATTAAAACGTTGATGGAATAGTTAAGAAATAAATAAGGACATTACCACTTCCAGGGATTATAACATTACAGACTAGACAAAAGTAGGCGAGAAAAAGAGGCATGACTGGAATTGCTCCTTTCATTAGTGATGCATGCTCCACTAAAACCATATCTAGCTTTGGCTTTTGATCCTGAAAATGATCATTAATTAGGTTAATAAACTGTAAACACAATATATATAGTAACGTACCTCTGGAGGAGGAAGAGTTGGTGCCAAACTCTGCTTTTTACTCAACATGCTTGTCCTGCGACTATCTTTCTTAACTTTCTTCTTACAACAACCACAGAAAAGTGTCGTACACATTCGTGAACAGCAATTACTAGATGTAAGTTAAGCATATGGAAATGAAAAATATTAATATGGTAATTTCCAAGGATAATTTGAATTTCTCCTCGATAAAAAAAATACACTTACCCATTTTGTTGACTTTCTTCACTTGTCATACTAATCCGCTTTTCTTGCTCGGACGGAGCTGGACTCTTTCGGCAACACAAACAGCAGAAGCAAAAAAATCTCGTGCACGAACTTGGCGTTTGGTTTGGCTTTGAATCGGTCGATTCCATTGATGCCATGGAATCTTGTCTTTTACGGCAGCATTTTGAACAGCAGCAATCAGTAATTCTACTGCAGCATGGCTTACAAGACTTGAAGCAGTTCATTCGATTCCAATATGATGGTGGCTTATCCTTTTGCGACATTTTCTGTTTCATCACTTTCTTCTGTCGTAAACAAAACATTTAATGGAAATAAGAAGGTGTTAGAAATTCTATAGTACTATAAAAAAACACATTAAGGACCTTGTACGCGTTTTATATTGTGTATAAAAGATTCTATTAATCTCAAATGCTAATTTGTGCATTTAGAATACAACGTAGAAATATGTTATAGGCGTACTGGAGGAATGACATGAAGAATAAAGCATTGTACTACATATTGAGCATATCTGGGAGTTGAAGGAACAAGTTTTTATGGATTTAAATTTTCAAGGATAGATTTCAATATGTTTTTGTTTTAAAAACTTGATATGGTGCATGGAATATTTCGCAAAAGTCAATTTTTTAATTTTTGAGGCTTGATTCTTAAGCTAGGAACTTCAAATTACTTTATGCTCACGTATTTTAAACAAGATAAGATCAAAATTAATTTTATTAAGCCTTAGTTTAAAGATATATTAACAAATTGAAACTCGATGTGGAAAATCCACGAAAAAATAAAAAGTTGATTCAACGTCAATGATTACAACTTACAAGTTACAAGATTCACAAAATTAAAGCAAGAAATATTCACACAATTCCCTTAACAACATTAAAGTAGAACAACACACCAGACAGAAAATGCAGACGAATTAAGAATACAAAATCGCTAGCCCACCAAAAAAAAATTAACATTATTATTCGATTTTAACTACGATAACTTTCATTCAAGTCTTGCGCTTTTAAGCTTTTTCCTTACCTTTTTCATTTTCTCCTCTTCCATATTTCCACTTTTGCAACATTTGCAGCACGTACTACAACAGCAAATTCTTTTCCACCACGAAAGCTTTTCCTCCTCCATTTCCATTCCTTCCACTTTTCGTCTTTTAAATGGATAGCACATACAGGACTTGAATTTTTCACATTTTGTTGGTGGACTTGACATGTTGGACTTTCCAGCAATCATTTGGGCACTTTCGGATCGTTCACGGGCACAGCATGATGAAAGACCCCAACATCTTTTTCTTTTGCGATTTATTTCGTCCATACTGGAACTAAATTAAAAAGAAAATTTATTTATTTAAAGAATTATGCGACGCAAATTTTCAAAAAACCTATTCATAATTGTTATTTCTTCATTAGATTCATCCGTTAGTGTAATAATATTGACTACTTTTTCACGTTTACTTTCCATAATTTGTCCGAAAATATTTTAATACTTTCCCACTTGAGCTTCATTGACCAAATGAACATTAAAACTAAACCAAGTACGTGAATATTCAATAAAGAAAAGAATGCCTCGCATGAAGGAATTTCTTATTCCTTTACTTTACTTTTCTTTTTATTGTATTAGTAGTTTGTAACGTAATGGACTCAATAAAGAAATTAATAACTCCCCACTAAGAAATCTGGCACACGAAAGGTAAGTTGCAAATAACAGAAATAGAGGGTTGTGATGGTGTTAGAAAATTGGGTGCTTTTGGCGCATTTTGACGACAAGCTTTCAGAGGCAACCAGTTAGAATGGCAGGTAAGTTACTAATATTCTTAAAATCTAGAAACTTATTCTAGAAGTCAGCGAAAGAAACAACTATTGGCAACGATTTAATTTCTACAGCCAGCAAAGCAAGTAAGTAATTTGAATTTGAAGGTAATCGATTCGAATCAAGGATGTCGAACTGATCAAATATGATCAAAAATCTGTAGTTCAGTTCAACATCCTTGGTTTAAATCTAGCTTTGAAAGAGCTTGGTTCAAGCCTAATTAGAGCTTAGCTCAATGCAATGTTGATCTAAGGAACGAATAAAGAAATAGAATTGAATCTGGAGAAATTGGAACAAGAGTTGAAACATGCTACTTTGAATGAAATGTTGATAGACTAGATCTTAATGAACTACATGGCTGGACCAAGCAGTCATCAATATTCTACACTATTTTATGCTCAGTCCAATGAAAATCTTAAAAAAGCTCATTCTTCTTTGTAGCTTTATATCTATTTATTCAATTGTAGAATTGCTAAGGAACCTCCACAATACCCAGCCCAAAGTGATCACCGCAAAAACTCTTGACCAAAAAGAATTCTCCTTCAAATTACGTGGCTATCATATGTAAGTTGTGTTTGTAAATTTTCCACTACGACTCATTGAATGACTTGACTGACTCAGTGGATGTAAGAAATTTTTCAGTCTCTTTTTATTCCTTTTCGGCCTTTTTTTCTTTCCTTTTATTCGCTTTATACATGTGATTTGTGTGGCGAACGATGGTAATGTAATTTATCATGATCATAACTTGTTTATAATCGAATGAAATAATGCTCCGTAAAATTGGGCGAAGAGAATTTTTATGTTTTTAATATGTAGCTTTTAAAAGCTTTTAGGATTTATTTTTTTTAAGTTAATTGGTTTTTAATTAAATGGTTATCGGTTTTTTTTTGAAAATGGAAGATTTTTTGATGATTGTGCAGAATACAATGGAAAGTTTGGTGAACTAAGAAGCTTCCCGCAACAGAAATTTACTAGTAATTTACTGGATAACTTTCCATTTGCTACTTGCTATTTACTAGTCAAAATCCAAGTTCAAATTATCGCCAAAGACCCGCATTTTCACTTGCTAATTGACTAGTCAATTCGCTTACAATTTAACTAGTAATTTACTAGCAAATTTTTAAAAAATTAAATGAATATAACCGTTGATTTCCACGTGTTTTTTTGATTTTTCTTATTTGTGTAAATTATTGTAAAAGTATTAGTCAAGGGGAAAGAACTCGTAAATCTTCCCGTATTTTCCTGTATATCCCCATATATTCCCGTTTATCTTCGTATATTATCACATTTACTCCATTAATGATTAACTTTGTTTCCTTGTCTGTTTTTTATGTGTAAAATCAATAATTTGAAACGGATTTATCTGTTTTAAACGTAATTTTATTTTATGAAGTGAAGACCACTGAATATTGTTTACATCATTATCAATGTATTTTTTTGGACTCTTTTGTGGTTTAACTTTAAAAAAAGATTAAAATCTGTGTAATAGTTTAATTTACGTTAGTTTATGTTGAAAGAATCATAATACGATAATGGTAAGAACTGAAATAATATCAAGATAACTGTTTTTCTCTAATGGTTCAACATTAATTTCAGGAATTTTTAAATTCAATCGAGCAACAGACGAAGAAAAAACTTCCAAACATAGTTCTTGTGGCTTTAAAGGCAATAGGAGTAACTCAATCCGAAGATTTTACTGACCTTAAGGACGTTGAAATTCCAAACTTAGTGAATAGCTTATCAAAAAAAGTTGTATTTAGTAGAATACTAAAATTTTCATTATTTAACAAATTTAAAATATTTCAGATAATACAAATATCTGCAGGGGGACCAGTGCTTTTGCAATGTTCAGAATTTCGAGATCCCGTTTATGGTTGTTGGAAAAATAAAGTCAATTGCAAATCACTATCGTTCTGCTGCTGGAGAACGAGGAAATCAAAGCATTAATTCCAGTAATATGCAAAACACTGGAGATGCTATTTAACGTCGTGTCGCTAAATGGAGTGGATCTTTAACGGTAGAGTTTGAAAAACTGTTTCCAAACCAATTGAATGGTGCAATTATTGTGATTGATGAAAAAAACTTTCTTGCTACCTGTCCAATATGCCGCTTATCTTATTCAATCATTAGTCCTTGTCGTAACAATTCATTTTATAAGCGTAACTTTGTTGACCACTTAAATCGTGAACACTTACAAACTAGAAATCCTTTGCGTCGCTCAGTTCCTTTAAATAATTCTCATTCAAATGCTGACATTTTTAGATAAATGACAGTGAACAAGTATCAAGATTTGTTTGGAAAACGTACAAAAAAATAAACTACATTTCAAAGGCAACCGCTACAGTCATGTCGTGAAAATCATTTCCGCTTTTATTTATATGCGAGGAGGAAAATCTCTGTATAACTTTCTACACGTTGATATGATTTTGCCTGAGTTAAGTAGTCTCAAAAGTTTTATGAATAATGAGCTGAGTGTTGTGAAAGAAAATCTTTTAAGATTTGATGAATTGCATCAGTATCTAGCAGCAATCGAATATCCTTTTGAAGTCCATGTTTTTGAAGATGGATCACGTATAACGAGTAAAGTGGAATATTGTCCAGACACTAATACACTCATAGGATTGAATGCACCGTTTGATCCTACCACTGGTTTACCATTCGTCAACTTTCATAAAGCTGCTTCTTGGCACTATGCCAAGAATATTTATGACTCGATTACAAAATTCGATAAGGCGTCCTACGTTCAAGTGTTGCTAGCACAACCAAATGTTCCTGGTGCAAAGGCTTTTCTTCTTGGAGTTTATTTCACTAGCAATACGTTTACAGAAATGAATGTCACAAGTCGACTAAATTATATGAAGGAAGAATTTTTGAATTATGGCATAAATTTTCTTGGATACGGAAGTGATGGCGATGTTAGACTATTTAAATCACAAAAGAAATTGATTAGTTTTGGTGAAGTGGAAATGTATGGATCAATTGAATTATGTGGCAATCTAATGGCAGAAAATCTTGGCACCCAGGATGCATTTCACATACTCAAACGTTGGAAGAATCTCATGAATTAGTTTTCACGACTTATGCGTATTGGAAATAACGTTGATACAGTCAATCATTTGATTATCATGTACAAAAAATTTGATAAAACCTTACATGGTATTGTTCAAAGTGATTTAGACGTGGCTGATTTCATGAACTATGACTGTATATACAAAATAACTAGTGAATGTGTGTTGGATCTGCTAAGAACAATGGAAGATACAAAAGGAACAGTTTTATATCTTGAGTTAATTCAGTGTGGTTTAAAGTCATATTTGGAACATGATACATCTATTTCTGACCGTTTATTTAATGCCGTCTATATGGTTAGTTTTTTAAGGCTATGGAAGACCTTTATTATTAAGAAAGGTATACAAAATAATAGTTTTATTTCTACTAGTTGTTACGAAGGACTCGAAATGAACTTACTGTGGCTATTACGATTGATAATTGACAAACGAGCTAACAATATATCCGAAAATTCTTCACAACAATGTGAAAGTGAGTTTCGTCATGTTCGTTCTTTAACTGGTGTACAAAGTACACAAATCAATTGCACTCCAAAAATATTTCTCTCTCATTTACACAAGATAGAACTATGTGAGCGAACAATGTTTGAGCTAAAAGTTGAAATTTCATTTCCTGCTATTGAGCAACGAGAGGAAAGACACAGGCGCGTAAACGAAGACATTAACTCCAACGATATTAATATTATCATCGAGAGTGGAATTTTTGCAGCAATTGAAAAGGCAAAGGAACTTGGAATTTATCATGAAGAAACTTCATAAAAGGATTTGTTAAGTGCTTTAATGATCAATCTGAAACACAATTTATTACCAATCGTATTTTTTTGGATTGGTATAATGAAGATCTTGAGCCGATCGACGAGACAATTACTTTTCAAAATGTTGAATTTCTTAGGACTAGATCAAACAATAGATCAATTAAAGAGGGTAATGCTATAAAAATCGTTAAGAAAGATCAGTTAATATGGATGTTAGAAAATAACAAAATTCATGTCAATACAGATCTTAGACAGCGCTTTGTACCTCGTAGAACAATACATGTAACTCCAGAAGAAAATCAAGCTGTTGATTATTGGATAGCGACAAAAGTTTCGAAAGGTGATAATGTTGTTCTATTTGATGAGGGAAATATACTTTTTGGTAGGGTTTTAAACTTCAAGCGAATTCATATTCGATCAAACATAAAGTCAATATACTATCAGGACTGTAAAGTTTATGGCCAATGCCGAATTTAGAACAAATTTTTTATGACGCAAAAAATTCTTTTTTTGATGATTTTTCGTAGGATTCGAACTTAAGCAGATTTGATCAAACATTTTACATGGTAATTTGCTAGTAAATAGCAAGTGTAATTTATTACCAGTAAGTTGTTTTAATAATAACTAGTAAATTGCAAGTTGTAGAATAGAAAGACTAGCAATTTGCTAGTTAGTCTCGCTAGGATTCTTGAAGTTTTAGTGATTTTTAAGGGAACTGTAGCTTTAAAAGAAGTCTACAAAAGGAGCTTCGTTAGATGACAACACTATCTTTATGGCTAAACCGGTGAAATAAACCAACTTTTAACTTAAAAACAGAGCTCGAAGTCGACTCGAGATTTTCATCGATTTTGTATGGTGGAGTCGACTCGAATCCATACGAACCATCGATTCGAGCTCTGCTTAAACATAAGTTAGAAAAATTCAAAATCTAACCTTTCTGTATAGATAAAAATCAAATATCATCCTCAACCCATCTAGTGGCTTAAAGTAAAGATCAAAGCACACAATCAGTTCCATTTACTATACCGGTGAGTACCTCTTAATGGTACGTACTTTTTCATGCATAATTAATCACTTCTAGTCGTCATTTTATGCAAAAAAGTAAATTCAGCCACAATCTACACTGCAATTGCTTCAAGAAAATAAAATTCACATGACATTTGCATTTTCCACGAATTTTGCGTCCTTCTTACGCTTTTCACAATCGCTTTAATTATTCTTAAAGTTGTCGTGATTTAACAAAAAATTTATAATTCATAAAAAAATCAATTTCCATGCCCTGAAAATACCTTTTTTTTTCGTTTTGTTTATTCCTTTTTCCTTCATTGATTGTCAAGGAATATTGCGAAGAGTACAATAAAGCAATTAAAAAAGGAAGGCCGAATGTGTGTCAGCAATATGCCACCCAACGGTAATGTTTACACACTTATGTATATTGGAAGGAGGCGAAATATAAAAAAAATTAGTCCGTAGTGAAAAAAATATTTCCGGCAAGCTAGTTATTTGATTTGCATAAAATCGCCGGCAACAGTGGAAAGGAAGAAAAGAATTTTTCAGATCTGACCTAAAATTTCGAGCCTTATCTTTGATAAGAAATCTAAAATCATATAGCATTGGCTCTACTTTTTTTTCTTTATAGGAAAATGAGTGAATTTTTATAGCTTTTGTTTACTCGAATGAAAAAGAAAGCAATGAAATTGAAAAGAATGTAATCTCTTGCGTGACTTCAATTAACAGTCAAGTGTGTTCTTAAAAAAAATATTTCGTTATTTTTGCTAAAGTTTTTGTTTGTCGAGTCAAACTTTTCTCTCTTTTTTATATCAAAGTGCTATTTTGTATCAGAAACACTTTTAATTTTAAATAAATCTACTTAATTTATGGATTGATATGGTGTGGATTGCTGCAGACTGTCTGATTTGAATGTGTCTAGGTCAGTTTTATGATGTCTTGGTATCATAAACTAGATTGAATGTGTTTAGCGCCTAGCAGAAATTTACTAGTAATTTACTGGATAACTTTCCATTTGCTACTTGCTATTTACTAGTCAAAATCCAAGTTCAAATCTTCGCCAAAGACCCGCATTTTGCCTTGACTAGTCAATTCGCTTGCAATTTAACTAGTAATTTACTAGCAAATTTGTAAAAAAATTAAATGAATATAACCGTTGATTTCCATGTGTTGTTTTGATTTTCTTATTTGTGTAAATTATTGTAAAAGTATTAGTGTGCACTTAGTTTAATTAATTAAAGTACACTAACAATATGAAAAAAATAAAAGACTTAATTTAATTGAGTCGAACACTGATGAACGCCCATGACTCGCACGCAAACCTGAGGAAGATAAATAATTAAATTGAATGTCTCATACAAATTTGGATCGACCTTATAAAGGTGATTTCTGCGTGCTCTTGTAAAGTATATGATAAAAGTGACACTTTGGCGTCGGATCTCCAAATATCCACCAAAAACAGAGTTTTATAAAATATTTAACAGCAATATTCAAAACATTAAGTTGCACTTACAAAATAATGAACTGGATGAGAATGAACTCAATGATTACTGAATGAATGGTATAATTTGATCTAAATTCGAAATGTTACAATCCGTTAATTATCAATCCTTAGTTTCAAATCCTCACGTTACATAAAAGGTTGTGTATAAAATGTCTCAGGGACTTGATCAAGCATCTACAAGGAAATTAATTAACGAAGCGGCAATTGATGCTGTAAAGACGATGACATCAAATCAACAGATGAAGGAGACTCACTTCTTTAGAATCGTGGATGTTCCAAATTGCATCAAATTAAGCGATGTGATGACGCATTTGCGCAAAAATTGCAAACTAAACTTCGTGACTTACATCCAAAATGCTCTCGGAAGCACCTGTGCGCAGCATTATTATTGCTTGTAGAAATACCACGGAATTTTAGGGTTTCATCAGGAGTCATAAGAGAGTGACTATAAAAGGATTTAACCTGCATGTGGAAAATTCGACGCGACCTTTATCAATTAATCATGTGAAATTTCCAAAGGAATTGGAATATTGCGTGAAAGAATTGTCGAGAGTTATTTCCTTCAAGGCATCAGAAGGATACACAAAAGTGTTCCCATCTGAAAGGATGCTAGAGATATTACTGGAAATTAGAGCTGAGGACTGGATGACAAACGGAATAGATGGGATTATACTGAAATATAATCATCATAAGAGGGAATTAGCTGAAAATGTGAACTTATTGGTGTCGAATATAATAAGTTTCAAGCAAGCATCATTTTTAAGAGAATATGGGAATCGAGACATTGAGAAAAGAACGACCAGAACTTTAGTTATATTCAGGAACTTGTGGAAACGAGAAGAGATTGTGGAGATTAATGATTCAGAGGAATCTGTCTACAAACTTAGGAGAGAATTATTGTCAAGAGATATGATAACTAAAATATTTAATTTTAACAACATTAGAAGCTTACTTATTTAAAAAAATGTAAAAAATAATGTTGCTCCCCATTCAATAAAATCATATTGAATTACTGAGAAAAAAATATGGCAAATGCCAAACTTAGAACAAATTTTTTTATGATGCAAAAAATTCTTTTTCTGATGATTTTTCGTAAGATTCGAACTTAAGCAGATTTGATCAAACATTTCACATGGTAATTTGCTAGTAATTTGCAATTAAATAGCAGGTGTAATTTAATAACAGTAAGTTGTTTTAATAATAACTAGTAAATTACAAGTTGTAGAATAGAAAGACTAGCAATTTTCTAGTTAGTCTCGCTAAGGTATGTATCTCTAGGATAGCTTCTCGGGTAAACTTCTCATATTTTCAAACATTCTCAAGGAATACTAAGGTTAAACTGAGAAAGCTAGCCCAAAAGCAGTCAAATACACCCAGTCCAGACTATGATAACAAAACAACTTGATTAATGCATATTGCACCCATCCTGGCTTTGGGCCAGTTAATCAGTAATTTATTCCTGGTCTAAAGACTAGACTTGACCTAAGGTCAAGTTTGGATCAATTTTTATCAGTCCTAGGGAAATAGCTTGTGCAAAAAACAGTAATCTGCATCGAAATCTAAGGACCCCATTGGCAATTGCTCAATCTAAAGCAGTTCTTAAATTCCTGCTCAAGTTTAAACTGTCGATGCTGTTGATCACTGCTTTCAGTTTTTAAACTTCCTCTCTTTAAACAAAAATGCGCCACAATCAGCACATCCATCACATAATTACACTTAACACTTGACATGTTTGACTAACGTCGCCGTCACACAAATGAGTCATAAGGGTATTTTCCCGTTAATTTACGTTTTTCTGAGCTAATCTGACTGGCGGCAATTAACTCCCATCATTAGGTTCAAGGTACAACAGAAACGGAAATTTCTTACCATATACTTAATGGACTAAAATGGTTGAGTATGGAAAATTAATGGAAGTTGCATGATGAGTAAGGAATTTTTTTCAGAAACGATTTGTGCCAATAAATCGTAAAGACCCCGTATCGTACATAAAATGTGCTTATTTGGCGCTCCTTAAGTGAAATTAAAAATCCATTAAATTTACCTTGTACTAGAATTCATTTGATTAGATGCATCAGAGTCTTGATGTTGAAGGTCAGGTCGCGCCATACTTCTTGAATCATCATTATTATCATCATCACCGTCAGGGGCAACTGAAATGGCATTAACACTGATTCTATCCTTATCCAACATTGTGCTTTGCTTTAAACTATTATTATTATTATTATTGCTTTTATCTGTTGCTGTTGTTGTGCCAGTTGTGAGAGAAGTGCTTGTATCTGTTTTCATGTCAATCTTTGTGCTATGTCTCGAAAGACCTTTCGTGGATTTTTTCTCAACATCATTATTATTTGCATCGTGTTCAAGCAAATTGCTCTTACTTAGCTTCTTCTCAAGTGTCTTAAGATCCGAAAGCTTTTCATTTATTGATTGGTGTATTTCATGTGTTGCTTTATCTACGGTTTTCTGTACATTTTCAAGCGAACGCTGTGAATGTTCCAAAATCTTACCAGCTATGGGACCAATGTCTTTATTGTCTACTCCAGCACCTAAATATTTTTTTTTTATAGCAATTAAAAGAAAAGAATTTTTATGGATGTTGAATTTCGTGCCAATTGGAATTTTCAGATTTAATTTAGTACACTTTTGTCTTAATTGCCTTTTGGGGCTTTATTTTATGTACGGACTTAACACGCTCTGCGAGCATGTAAGGAGTTGATTTTTTTGTGATAAAACTTGCTGTGTTTAGCAAATCTTACAGTTAATATTTAAGATTCGGTAAAGCACAGAAAATTTTATAGTTTTTAACATTAATTCTAATTTAACGAACGTTTCCTCAAATGTGTTTAACTTATTTTGAGATCGATAACCTATCAAACTATCCGAGCATATTAAAATGTTATCCGTAAGGCGAATAAGTAGACAGTACACTTAGAATTAAGCGATATTCAGTAAGCAAGTCGCTATGATGCATTGTCCGTTTATTCATGATGTGGACAACATTTCAACATGCCTTAGTCTGTTCAATACCAGACAAAAATGCACTTGACGTCACCAACACTCCCAAATAGCACAAAGTTGAATAACCCTGGCTTAGGGTCGGTTTGCTACCAGATTAGCTCAAATTAGACGCAAATTAGCCAACCCCATGCCACATTATTCACCTACTTAGAGCTATGTGCCATTCAAGACATGTCAGTGACTGCTAATTTTAAACAAATTTTGATATGAACCTGGACCAATCGTGATTTGCGTCGCATCACTCTTTTCACTTTTGATTGATTCCGGAGAATGCTTTCTTGCCAATTTTCTAACAGCATGATGAGCATGCACAATTGCTCCAAGAAATGATCCTGACTTTGATTTCTGACCTGCAGAGCCTTTCCTTGATTCTGAATCTGAGCTTCCACTTTTTTTTACCTTAGCAGAAGTCTTACGAGATCCAGCCTTTGACATTGAGGTTTTTTGTGACGATATTGTCTGTTGTGATGCCATTGATATTTTATCGACGTCTGGATGCGATGCAACTGCTGGATTTACAACACTTGGTGCCATACTTACGTCATCACCTCCAGCATGATGTTTTTTCTCTAAAAATTCAGCACCTTGAGTAGCTAATTGATTAGTAATTGTTAACGTAGTATTTAATGGATTGGCAGTGATCGCTGCAGTCGTCATTGACATGACTGATGTTGCTGATGGAGCTCGTATGACATCACTTTTTCTCGATGGCGTGTCAGCCTTTCCATCAACATCCATTGGAGCTTTTGACACTGATGAGTGGCTGAGAATTGAAGTCTTTGAAGCTGTCCGACTTGGCGGTGGTGCTGATTCCTTTTGAGATTTTGATGATGATCCGGATGAAGCGCGTCCTAAAGATAAAATTTTAATGCCACCTTTAATTTTGCTTTTTGTATCTTTTTTGGCTTCCTTAAGGTTTTTAAGTTTGGTGATTTCATCGCCGGCTTCTGCTTCTTCGTCGTCTTGTGAGGCTGAAGATCTGTTTGTTTTCACAGATCCAATTGTTCTTATTGATGATGTTAGTGACTTTAGAGATGTGTAACTTGATTTCTTCTTTAATGGAGCTGGTTTATCTTGCATTATTGATTCTATTGACTGTTTTGATGGCTGTCTCGTTAGTGGTGCTGGCTTTTTAGCATCCATTCTTGCCTTTAAAGTTCTCCCAAGAATATTTTTGGCTTGCAATTGCTGCATGAAGTTTATTGCTTTTTGGTCTCTTTCGTCATCTTCTTTGGCTCTTGATTCTTCCTCATCAAATGTCACGTCACCTTTCTTTTTCTTCCCAGCTGACTTTGCAGACTTCCTAAAGTCTGGAAGTGCGGCCTTTTTTGGAGTTATTAGCCTACCAAATTTATCTTTCTTCAGTCTCTCTTCTAGCTTTGCCATTGGTGTGTCAAGCTTCTTCTTTTTGGGGGTTTTGAGTTCTTTTTCTTCCCTTCTTTTCCTCTGAAATTCTGTTTCTTTGTTTGGAGTTCCAGCAATTGGCGATAATCGACGTCTCCGCAGCACTTTTTCCTTCTTTTTCTGTAACTTTAATTGCTGTTTGCTGAGCTTTTCTGATATCTTTTCTTCATTGTTAATTGGCATTGTCGTTAAGAGATTCGGATCAACTTTTCCATTCGGAAGGAAAATGTCCATATTGTCAAGGCTGAATGTCTTTTTCTGAATGTTTGTGTTGTTAAAAACCTTAAGAACTCCTTTAAGACTCCGATGAAGGATAAATCTAGGATTAATTTTCTCCATTGGCTGACTTTGAATGACTGCTCGTTTGTTTATTTTCAAAAAGTTCGGCGTTGACACAAATTTCGGACCAGTTTTCATGTTCATTTGTAGCTCACTTTGTGGTCTTCTCTTTGCTAAATTCGACATTGAGGATGAAAGTCGGTTCTTTTTATGTACAAATCCAATCGATGTCTTTCTCCCACTTTCCTCATCACCATCATCTTCAAAATAATAGTAAAATTCTCCATTATCTTCGCTTTCAAAGCTTTCAAGACGATTCAATGCTGGAGCTGAAAGCTCTCTTTGCAGGCAGTATCGAGTGTAAGGCGAAAATCGTCCATCCAAATTCATATTATCCTCACTATGTCGATGCTGAAGCAATCTTGTCCGTCGATTTTTATAGTCATTAACGATTGCAAAAGCTAGCTTTTTGTGGGTATTAAATGTACCGGCTGAAACACTAAAATATTTCAGGAAATGAGAAGAAAAATTAGTAAAAATGAAAGAAACAAAAAGAATTATTGACTTTTGTGAAGGCTGTTGAATATTTACTTGTGAATGTAATGGTAGCATTCGAGGTCTCAAAGCAAACATTAAGAACCCCCTCAATTAAAATCCAGCACCACAAAAGTCAAAACAATTCTAAAACTCATCCTTACCGATGACTAGATCCAACCATAACTTTATCAGTCAATATTGGTGTAGTTGGCCTCGATACGTGCTGTCCAAAAATATCAACAACAAAAGGTGGATCTTCAATATTATCTACAGAGTCAGCTGCTTGAGCTGCTTCGTACAATTTCGCTGCCGGTGGTTTAACCCATTCATATTCCATCATTTCATCATCGTCATCATCATTATTGCTCCGTCCACCAATTTTTCTTCTTTTACTTTCACAATATCCAGCAGATGGAGAGCGTCGAGGGGAAGTGATAATAGTAAAGGCTTCTGGATAGCTATTTAAGCTCATCAAGTCACTTTTACTCTTGACCATCAGTGGAACATCCTTTTTACAATCTTTTGTTTTTCGCGCAGGTGGTTTCGTATTTTTGAGAACCACATGTGAAACTGTATGATTTAATTTTGATGATGATGAAGTCGATGCTGAATTTATAGCTATCGAGCTCATTGTCTTGTTTCTCTTGGACAGAAATGGAACACGAGGTGGTTTTTTTGCATTGGAAGGTTTCGTGCTGCTTGATTTACTAATCGTTACCGTTACGGGCTTCTTATTGTTATTATTGTCGGAAGAAGATGTTGATTCTGTTGATATTTGATGAAAACTCCTGGAAAATCCACAAAAATATTTTAATCAATAAATTTTGCACTTGAAAAATTTTCATAATTTTTTTTTGAAATTCCAAGCATAGTTTTTCAAAAGTATTTCAACCTTTTAAAGTTCAGATATAATGTTCCACGACATTCACACATTTTGACAAGAAATATGAGGAAAAGTTTCTTTAAGCCTTATCGGCAGCGATCAAATCTACCCTCGAAAAAACATGAACACTGAATGAGAATGAAAAACGGCTACAACAATAGCCTAATTAAGACCTTACTCATAATTATTGAATTACTAGTAGAGTGAAAATTAGATTTTTTGCTTAATTTATGTCACATTTACTCTTTTTATTTGTATAAGGGAAATGCAGGAGAGCTTTAGCCGGTAAAGCTATGAATTAGATTTCATTTGTTTATATTTAGTTCCTAAATAGATTCACATAATTTGTAAATACTATCTGAAGTGGTTTATGGTAAGGAAATGATTCTTAAAAATAGAACAATAAATTTATACGAACTGTTAAAGTTAAGGACATTTAACGGGCATTTGCAATTCTAATTTTTTGATATAGCTTTGAGCCCTGGAATTTTACAGTTTTTTTTTCTAGACGCACTTCAGAAAAATGCATCAATTTAGACAAAGTATCAATAATTTAGGGCCTCGACATTTTTAAGGATTTTTGCTTAACGGAAAAAAAATAATTTGAATTTTTCACTAACACTATCATACAAAACATCAAAAATTAAATTCTCAAAATTCTTAATTATTCAATCATTAATCCCAAGTTTTATGACTTGAATACGAAAAGTAGATGATGCATTAGCTGTTCCGACTATTTTAAGACCTTTTACACCATTATTGAGTGATATTTTCGTGACTTTTCAAATTTCATTTTCGATTTACAAAAATAAATAAATAAATTACAACCGAAAAAATTCAAAAAAGTTAAAACCGTTAAAACTTTTTATTCTTCATTTTGTCCATTTGGGTATGTTAATGCAGCAATTTTAAATTTTTTGTAAACTCAAAAAGAACGGAATTAAATTACGGATCTAAAAAAATACATTTGGAGATATATCAATAAACAATAATGAAGATATAGCGAAATTCCCAGAAATTGTATGTGAGTGACGCTTAGTTAAAGTGATTTTAGCGAGTAACTGTAAACATTAATGAAGTGAATTGTACAACAATAGATGGGGATTTTAATTCTCTTTTCAAAAAGGTAACTCTTAAATTTATCACTTTTAAGGATAAGGAGATAATCAAGAATAACAAAGCGTCACTCACGTACAATTTTTTTGTGACGAGGCCCTTTAGTTTTCAAGCTATTTTTTTAGATTTTAGCCTGTGTACTGAGAAGGATTAACATTAAAATATAATGAATTAACAGCAGGAAGTGAAACACATTTTAATTTGAAGCTTTCTAAAGGTAAATTACGATTATTTGTAAAAATCAAAGTTATTAATCCAAACATTTGTTTTCTAAGCTATAAATCAACTAATACTTCAGTACTGAATCTTCATTTAACCATAAATCTACATATACATCATGTCCACATGCAATAAAAGCGTTTGGACAAAAATATTTCCATACAATCAAATCTATTTTAAACCAGACACAACTCTAGAACGCCTCAAAAAAATAGAATAGGTCACACACTGTGAACACAAATATTTAGCATAGTAAGATTGAAAATTTATGTAATCATTTAGCGGTTGTCCAATCTTTTTGTTATCCGCGTAATATTAACATAATTTTTTTCCTATTCACGTCATAGGAACAATCACAGTCTATATAAATCATTTAGCTGTAATGTATCAGCAGTAAAAATAAGTAGATCCTTGCCTTTAGTAGTAATTTATAAAGGACCCGACTTAAATTGAATGTTTTTATAGATTGTGTCAATTTTGGCAAATACTTTAAATAATGCGTTGGAATCAAGTAATCAAAAAACTCACCTCATATCTCCATGAGCTGACGATATCCTAAATTTATTTGTTAAAACATCACCGTTTTCGCATGGCTTGTAATTATCAAAAGACGTTGCCGCTCTTTTTCCTACATCTTCACTGTAATTATCATCACTACCTTGTTGTGGCGGAGACGTCGTTGACGATGATGAATGTTGTGTCCAAATTTTATGCTTGGAAAGATCATTCGTGTGAGCTTCATTATTATTATGTTTATCTAAAATGTTTTTCCTAATAGACTCATACAAATGATTATCAAAATTCTCAATTAATGATGAATGAACATCGGATGTAGCGAAATTCGTACGAGTATCAGCTGATGAGATTGATGATGATACATGAGTGGTAAATGGCGTTAATGGATTCGCAATGGGTTGCACCGATGGTGATCTTTGCATTGGAGCCGGTAAAAGTGGCGCAACTGGCTCGCCAAAAAGACTAGCCTGTTTATCATAGTAATTTCTGGCTTGTGATAACGATGGTGAGGATATTGAGTAGTAATAGTCATATCTTGATCGAACTGTACTTGAGTCAAATCCATGCATCTTATCTGTTTGTTTTAATTAGAAGATTAGAGGAGAATTGAGGCCTTTGCGAGGGGTTAAGGTTTGGGGGAAGTCTATAGACAGTCTACAGAATCTATTGCAAGGAGGATGAGGCTTAATACACAAAATAAATCCACAAATGCGACACGTTATATAATTTTCGGTTTTTCCTTTTCGGATTTCATTTAAGCAATTTTTGTTTCTTCGCCTTTTGTGTTTCTTTTCCTTTTCATTTAAATGTCGGCCATTTGAATTTTTATAGTGACCCGATTTGAGGACAAAATTTACATATTTGTGTATACAGTTCGGTTATAGAAATGAGAAAAGAAATACGGAGAGAGTATGAGAATAAAAATTTGGTGCAATGAACCATTGAACTTTTCAAAGGACTGTCAAATAGGAAAATTCGCGGGGATTTCTTTTTTTGAAGAACTGTTTCTTCTTGGTTCGGTCTGATGGTAAATTTCTGTGTCAATATTTACACATTTTCTGTTACAACGCTTATCACTGGAACTAATTTTATGCGTTTATGAACGGATTTTAGGCTGGATTCGAAAGTATGTCAGAATAATTAATCATTTTTCGATTCGCGTTAATTTTTATTGGATATTTTAACGATTTTTTTTTGATGGATTATTTTCACTTTATCACTGATTTATTCACTTAATATTCCTTGATCTTCACATTTTTGTGGGATTATTTTTATAAATTGATTATCTAATTTCTTTAATATTTTTTCAACTCTTCAATTTTGTATGATATATTTTTTTAATTATTCAACTTTTTATCCAAAATTCCTATTTTTCACAATTTAATTTCATATAATTTTGAAATTTTGTAATTATTTGAACACAATCTTTATGATCCACAAAGATTTCCTTGGTTATCCAGCAGAAGATCTGATATTTTCAAATTTTTCATCAAAATTACAAAACTTTTTTTCACTTTTATTTCAAATTATCATTTTAATATTATTTGATCTGATCTAAATTTATTAATTTGCTCTACTTTTTAACTTCCAAATATTTTTTAAGAATTATTTCACTAATTCCAAACTTTTCCGATTTTCTCAAAAAATTTCACTACAAATTTCACAGAAATTCCTTCGAAGTAACAAAAATTTATTCAAATTTATTTTAAACTAATTTAAAATTGAGTACAAAAAATGGAATCACAGAAATTTTCCTAGGACCGCTTACAAAGATAGACTAGTTTCGACTGACGCATGCTTTCGACTAAAGCGTAATGCTAATGGAAAATGAATGAAAATGTATACAAAAAAAATTGAGGAAAACTAAAAGGCAGTAGAATTACACTACTGGCATGTTGGTATGCTTTGTTTTATAGTGTGGCGTACATATATTAAAATACAAAACAGAGTAAAAAAAGCTAGCCAAAAAAATAAGTAGAAAGAAAATAAAAGAAAAATACTTTTGGGAGAATATGGCGCAGTTATCAATAGCTTAGCTTAAAGCATTGCTTCAAAAGCTCAGTTTACAAAAGCATCGCTTTAAAAACTCAACTTAATAAAGCGTTGTCTTAAAGGTTTTGCTTCAAAAGCTCAACTTACAAAAGCGTCGATTTGAAAGCTCGACTTTCAAAAGCGTTGCTTTAAAATCTTCACTTAAAAAGCGTTGATTTAAAAACTTAACATAAGAAACCGTCGCTTTTAAAATCTCAATTTTACAAAGCATTGCTTTGAAAGTTCAAACCCAAAAAAATTGCTCTTCGAAAGCTCAATTTTAAAAATTCCCAAAGTGAAGATTAAAAGCTCCAACCTAATCTCAGACATAGCGCGTACAAATGGAAACAAAATCAAAGAACATAAAATTCAAAAATGTGTTTGAGCATATTTTCTTGGAAACTTATAAAAAAATCACTTTATTCAGCCTGGAAAGACTTACTCAATATTCATATCATTTATTGGATATCACTTTGTTATATAGATACGATTTGTTGCGGTCTATCCAACTGACATCCTCAATACTATCTATGCAATGAGTCAGAAAAATTTGCAACAGGGAAAGAACCTTCAATCCTCACAGCACGTTAATAATACACTGAAATTCTGATTGTGTATGCTCGCATGATGAGCTGACTTGGATTTTGTAATTTAAATTTTTTTTACTATAATTGTGAGTGTGAATGACTCACGAGAGAAAAGAGACCCTCCCAACACCATCGTACGAAAATGCATGTTCTTAAGGAACAAAAAGAATGAAAATAGTCATACATAATAGCGGTAAACATATGATTCTTATCTCCGCATTTGCATTTTCGATTTTAGTACAAGTGTTGCTTCCACTTGAAGAATTTCAAGCATAAACATGAAAGGAGAATGGAAATGAGGTAAGAGGGACAAGTAGTAAAAAGTAAGTAAATGTTTTTGAGGTGTTTGTTGATGGAAGTACTAAGAATTGTGGAAAAGCTGACTTGTACAAGAATATTGTATGCAAGTTTGTTGGATGGGAAGTTAACGAAAAAGTTTAAAGATGCAAGATTTGAGCTTCTAGACAGGTTCATATACTATTTGATTCTCTATTCATATCTTACTATTTTTTCACCAAAAAGTGCTAGCTGAATACGGTGGAATTGACAGTTTTTGTAGAGTTGTAGATCATTAGTATAACAAATTGGTAGACTGTTAGCACAGACAGTTGTTGACGGTCATTATAAGCACGCAATACGCTGTCGCTATCAAATATATCAAACCTTTATACAGAAATACATTGTTGGTTAAATGTGGTGAGCAATGTGTGGATCTTAGTCATTACTCTGTCATGATTGAGAGGTCAAAAACTGTTGCAAATTGAACTTAAGTCCTCATAAAAGAAGATTATCAGTCAGTGGCTTAACAATTCAGCCAGAGAGTATTAGCATCGGCAGATTTGTATATATTTAGAACGATACTCTTGATTCCAGTTGCTAATCTGCTTACCTACCACAATTAGATACAAACCTGAACTAAATAGATGCAATCCTGAAAAATCTCTAAAATAACTCAAAAAAAAAAAATAAATAAAAAAATTCTCTTGAAAAATAAATTAAGGAATTAAGTTTTATTTAATTAACGAATCTTGTTCATTTTATGTACACTTTTTATGAGTTCTTTGAAAATTTAAGTATTATCCTCCGTTTCAAAGCACGGGAAGCTTCAGCTTTTGATATTCTTTTTTGTTCTAACAATCTTGTGTTTCTCTAATTTATCACGTTTCTAATATCTCGACTATTCATTATCCAAAGCTCATTACGTAGCCTGGGATTTTCGCCGTTACGGAATAAAGAGCATTAAATCTGTTTTGGAAATGAAAAGGAAAATAAGAAGAAAATTGAATTGGATTATTATGTGATTCATAGGTAATTAGTTGTTTTGAGGAACACAAGTTGTAGTTGGAAGTGAGTCAGATAAGGATACGCATGCAAGACCGATTTAAGAGTGGTTTTTCCTGATGTCCTGGAAATTTGCGAGCGGGATATGTCACAAGCTGTATCAGGAAAACTAAGCACGAACAAAGAGTTTTTATGAATGTTCTTAAATAACCTATATTAGGACAATATTCAGGATGAGTTTCTAGTCGATTGGACATATTCTACCCGCGTGTTTCTAGGACATATTTCACATTGGTTTGATAAAGAATACGTGATATTACGATTCTGAAGAACTCATAATAAGTTTTGAAAGTCCTGGTTCATTTGGCAAGTGTTATTGTATAAGTCTGACGTAGCATAGGCATAGTAAAGAACAAGAACCTTAGCATACCATGTTTTAATTAATGACAAGCCTGATAACGTCTTCTCGGGCCCCAAATCTTTATTTCATCACTAAGACATAAAGTCTATAAACAAACTTGATGAATATATTCTAGCCAGACCACATCTTTTCAATGTTTTGTAAACACAAGGCCTTTGCCAAGTCTCTTGGACGCTCAGATACTGTAAATAATCTAGACTTTTGATTGTCAATTATTCAAATGCCATTGAGTCATTAATAATGTCACATCTAGGATTTTTCATTAGAAACTTGAGCGTTAAGAAGAACTTAGTTTGAAAATAACTGGACTACACAAGCTCTACGATTCATTCTAGTGCGTTGAACCTATTTTAACTTACTTTTATCTATTGGCAATTTAATTAACCTAAATCCTTAATAAACTTCACACGAATCCTTCCAATCTTGTGTCACTCAATAAATTCACATAAAGTATTTAATTATTTTACCTCAAATGATCTTTTTTTTGCATTCCATTCCACCAAAAAAGCTTTTACATTAAATTTGCTGTCTTCCATTTCCAATATTTACAATTTTTTATGCTTATATTGCTGACTTAAAAATTATTTTAAATTTATTTTACTTTCTATTTACACATGATATATATTTTTTTGTAGGTGTCCACGCACATTTTTGTATATGAGATTCTGTATTTATGTTTCTGGTTCACCAACCTCATTAGTTAATAATTGATAAGCTGTTGTATTAGATATGGTTTTATTACTTTATGCATATATATATATATTTTTTAGAAATTTAAAATGTAAAAGAAATCAGAAAAGAAAGAAGAAGAAAATTGAGAAAATTTCGTGTTAATTTTAAACCATCACCAAAAGATTTTTAAAGCTACTTCCACAATTTTTTTCATGAAAGTTCAGCACCAATTTTCATTAAATATCCAAAAGATTAACATTTTTGGTACTCACGAAAAGCTAATTCCTCTATAAATCCACGATCGCCAGCTTCCATTTGAGGAATCAAGTTTTGCTTCCACTTCTGCACAGAAGAACTTTCTGTCATGCGATCGTCCACTTTTTGCATCGCACAATATCCGCTTTCTGCAGTCTGCATCACAACTTGGTCGCACTGGTGATGCCTTCCAGTAGTGTCTAGGAGATTTATTAGAATTTTGAAATTAAAAAATTGACTAATGTTTTGATAGCTTAGGGTTCGTTTATAAATGATGTCGAATTAAAATTGGAAATTCAAGCCACCCAACTAGAGCTGATTGTTCAGTTGATGATTAAATAAGCGAGAAACAAGAGCCAGCTCGATCATTAATCGAATAACTAGCTCAAACTATTTATTTAAAAACACATAGAAACCTAAGTTCCAATACTCACTTAAAATACTGATCAAATTTATCCTGATCATCTGTCAATGATGCTGTATATTCATCCCAATCTGTCGGTCTAAGTGCTTTAAGATTATATGCATTTCTAGCTGAGTATAATTTGTAATAAATTGGAAAATCATAAAGATTTGCTTCCTTGAGATTCATAATCCATGTCTCATGATCGACAACAAGCCGCGTTGTGGCATCATGATCACCATCTGTGTGAAAATATGGTTCAAATTTAGTTATGATGGACAATATTGTTGAGTTTAAGGCACTTAGGAATTGCTCTTTAAGGATAATCGAAGGTTTTTGCAGATTCATATCCAAAATGATGCCTTACTGTCTACACAAAATTCAAAACTATCCCGAGTGCTACATCAATGTCTCTAAGACATTACTCATGGAAATTAAAAGTTGCTGTGGGTTGTTACTGCTGTCTCAAACCAATTTGATGCCTAAAAATGTGATTTGCCACTTTGTGCCACTCAGAAGTAAGTCACAGCTTCAGATAAACCTCAACATTCACAAAATAAACTCACCAATATAATAAATTCTATATCCAGGATTCAAGTCATAATAAGGAGTCACACTTGGTCCGATGTATGCAATATTTGTTGGTCGGGAAATATCTTCTGTATCATAAAAGACTTCAAACTCATCAAAATGTGTGTGTCCAAAGAATTGTGCTGTCACTGTACTTTCGTACCTTTGAATGATTTTGTAATAATTCCTTGACCAGATTTTAAGGCAGTCAGGATGACCTGGTGGGATGTGTCTTAAAAAAATCAAGGAACAACTTAAAAATCTTACAATTGTAGAGAAAATATGAAGCTTCATACCCAATAATGTGAACCTTCTCATTGGAAAACTCAGCACTTTGTAGTTCATAGATGATCCATTGAAGTTGAGTTGCTGGATCTGTAGAATTGAGCAGCAGCCACCAATTTTTGTTGTTACAATAATTCATGTTGATTGAAATTATTCTAAATCCAGGACGTACAAGAACTGAATAGAAAGCCCCTCTTTTGATTGTATAAGACACAGATGGAGGCAGCCACTTCTGCCATTCCTCAGCCAAAGCATCATACAACCAATTTATTGAACTGTCAACTTGTTGCACATAAGGTGGTGGAAAGCTGTTGACTGGAGCACTTTCATGATTACCGAGAGCTGGAAAAATTGGAATTCCTGGAAAAACTTCTGCCATTTGTTTAACTGTTTCCTTTAAAACCTTCAAGTTTTCTTCCTTCGTCTGGTTCCAAATGTCATGTGGTGGCAAGTCACCAGTCCATAAAATATAATCAATATCTGGATGAACTTCAGCAATGTGCTTGTACATGTGATCTAGTGTTCTTTTTGGCATGTCACATTTTCTATAATCTCCCCACTTTCCAGCTGCAGCATTTACATGTCTTGGACGTCCATTAGTGATTCTACAACATAATGGCTCAGAACAGTCAGCATTACTTCCTTCAGCATAATATGGATCATAATGTGTGTCACTTAAATGAAGAACTTTAAATGACGGAGCATTTTCCTTTGGAATTGGAAGTTCGTGTGGTGTTGGTTTTGTTATAGCTGGCAACTCAATCTCCCACTCATGATAAGGATTATAAATATCACCGCATGCATCACCGATTATGAAACTGCAAATTTCATCCGCACCCAAATTCGTTCGCTTAAGCACGTAGATAACTTCATTACCGAACAGGCTACTAACACCTTCACAAACGCGAGACGACTGGATTTGTAGATTTGTACAGTATTGGAAGATCGTCTTGATGATTTCTTCTTTACTTTTACCGGATTTTATGTAATGTTGAAGAAGTGTTGCCCCCGCTTTACATGCTGTACAACTCATTTTACTCATGACTGAATTTTCAATCTCAAATGCAACTTGCTTGAGATTCATTAGTTTGAGGGCTTTGTCAAAGAATGGTGAGTAGTGATGATCTGATTCAGCCTTTGACCAAAGTGTTCTGGCAGTTTCGTTGTTCTGGAAGGATAGAATAGTTATTTTTATAATACTTTCAATAATGTGAAGCTATTTCTCACCTTAATCTCATGAAGTCTCTCCAACACCTTCTCATCATTGTCTAGTGTTTTATAAACAATATTTGCAGGTGCCGGTAACGTATGTATTGTACTTTTACTTGGTAAATGAGGTAATATACTTCTTGGAATATCTGTTATATTCCAATTATCTTCGGGTTGCTTCCATGGTACTGTCGTTCGAGTTCGACGTCTTTGTGTGTTAGATCCAGATGAGATGACAGGTGTGGCTGGATGAAGATGAGGGATAAGATTTTATTTTGTTTTGAGAAATTGATGTGAATTTTTTGAGATTTTGAATAAGCGTTTTTAAGTTGAAAGCTGATGAGCAGATTTTCGGGTTAACAGAAACAGAGCTAGAGTTTTGGGTCTGGCTAAATTTTTTTTTAAATCTAAAGTGCCACTACTTCTTGCAGTTAGGTTACACAGCATGTAATGGCATAAATATCAGCCACAAACTCAACAACCCATCCAAAAATCTCCAACTCAGCCTCTCTTTGACATAAATCCACATCTTTCCTTTCTCTAACTTACCAGACAAAAAGTTGAGGTAGAAAAGCAGAAGAATGCAAGCAATTTTGACATTATTACTCATTATTTTAATCGTAGAAGAGAAAACAGATGCACAGATAGAGATTCGATATTCTATAAATAAAATAAAAATTAATAATTAAGTCAATCTTAATAAGTATTGAATGTTGCTACAAGTCCAACACTATTTACGCTTCAAAGTCACTGTCATGATCATTAATTTGTTGTTGTTTACAAATGTGAGATAAATCGCTTAACGGTAAAGCTTGATACACATAAAAAACTAGTCAAACCCCCAAAAAAATCTCCATAAGCACCGAAAAGAAATTATGTTAAGCCATTTCCAGCTCAAATTCTTTTTCTTTTTAAATTAATTCTGATTAGCAACTTTGCGTTTTTTCACAGCTTGTTTATGTAAAAGAGTTTTTGACCTACATAGAGCCCGTCATATGTCTATGATGCCGTTTTGAGCCTTTGTATGTATTAATGTCCATATGATTTTCTTGTCCACTTTATTTACAGAAGCGCGCTTGTTTGCGTTTGGAATGAAAGAAAATTGGAGAAAAAAAATGTGCGTGAATAGCTTCGTTGAATGATTTTTTGCATGTCGAGCGCATTTTTTGTCAAATGATTTATTATTTTTGAGGAAGTTTCATTTGACAATTATTATATGTGGAAAGTTGTAATTGATTTTTCGAGAAATGACGAGTCTATGGGTCATTGTAACTGGAGTTGATTGAGGAAAAGTGAGATTTGGTTTGTAGAAAATTTGAAATCGTGATGTGAAGCTGTGATTGTTGATATAAATAGTGCCATTTATGATTTTATAGGTTTGAGACTATCCAAAGACTGGTTTCTTGAGTTCATTTTATTTTATACTCGAGCTATCTTTGCATTTTCATTAGGAGGGTGTACCCTAGGCATATTAGCTTAGTATACATTTCTACACTGTACCAGAAGGTGTACTTTATCCATTCGTTTGTTTATGACTAAAGTGGACCCTAGGATATGCCTGAAAAATCACTCTAATAGCCAAGAACTATTAGAATTACCGATCCAAACTTGAAAACTATCAACCAATCTCAAATTATCATCCAGACCAAATGACTCACAATCCATGATCCACAACAGGTTCATCCACAATTAAACAATCCATATTAATTAAAATTCCCATGACCTTTTTGTCTTTGTTCATTAAAATAATCACAGTTAATTCTCGAAAGTCGCAAAAACTCGATAATGAGTCACTCTTGAGTTCTGAACAAAAACATAACAAAGAATTATATACGCAAATGCAAATTGATGGTCTCGATAATAAATAGAACTGAATTCAGAACATGAAATACGAGACAATGTATTTTGAATTTATATAAACATTTCCAATTTGATTTATATTTACACAATCGATAAATTCCAAATTTCAAAATAAAATTGCATTAAATTAAGCATACGATTTGACAGATTGAATTACAATTTATTCAGCCAATCAGCAATGAAAATGAAATTATATACGCTATATATTCTAATCGCAGTTAAGCGGATATTTATGCTGATTTTTAAAGCAATAAATCTTCTTACAACTTATCAGAAAAGCTGAATATGTCACATTATGGAATTGTAATTGCTACATTCATAATTTTTAAGCGTTTTATGAATGATAAAGACTAATGAAGCAGTAGATTGGATATTTAAATTTGATGGATTTAAGCATTAAAGTTGCAATTGACGAATGGAGCTGGTTTTTAGGTTTTGGATCATGTATGTCATTTTGTACAGCCTAGTCTAGGTCTATACAAGATTAAGACCTCTCGATGAAAGATGAAATACAATTTCTCGGCACAAAATCATTAGCAAATCACCTCATAGACTAAAAATCCACAATAAATCACAAAACCTAATCATATATTTGCATTGTTTTCTTTTTTGCTATTTTTTTCATTATCACACAGCACCAAAGCTTTATTGTGTTGATAAATGAAACAGTAGATCTCATAATTCAGCCATAAAAATCTCAATTGTTCTTTTTTCTCATTAAAATCAGTTGGGAAAAGTCAATAAAGCATATTTTACGACTTAACACGTATTCTATGAATCAAGCTGATTGATGAAATTGAAAGTCTTTACATTTTATATTGTGAAAATAAGTTCATAAAGATGTTGAATTTATCACGTATCATTGATAATTTTAGAGACTTATTAGTACCTCGTTTGTATATGTTCAAATATTATGCATTTGTAGTTACGTCAACAATGAAAGCATGCAAGTTGACAGACCAGGAAGTGATTTAAGAAAAAAAAATGCATTTTATATTAAATCACAAAACACCCTTGTGAGATTTTAGTCAATAGAAATGTGCTGGGAAATTTCTTTGATTTTTTATTGTTTTTTTTTTGTGAAATTTTCTCCAGTTTTTTATGCAACTGACCACTGGTAATATTTATATATGACTCACAAGTGATATTTACTTATGACTCAATCGAAATATAAGATTTTTGACCCCAAAAAACTTCTTTCGTCAATCTTGATTCATTTTAGTTTAGGACCTATATTGTAAGTTGAATGATTTTTTAACTGAAAAGCTCTTATAACTGAAGGTAGTTTCTAAGAAAACTGGATTTAGATCTCCCTATAACTGCTATATGTGCATACTAATATAAAACAAGTCGGGTTCGATGGGAATCGAACCCAAGACCTCAAGAGAGGCTATCCCTGACCACTCGATCAGAGATCCCTGCCTCTCGGCCACCGAGATACTCATCTCACTTCGGCTATCAGCCATACAAATATAACCAGTTTAACGCGAGCCCTATGCTCAGGCCAATCTACAACAGATATGCTATTCGAGCCATATCCACTCTCAGATAACCAATCTTAGTCACAATAAAATTATAGGCAAATTAAGGGTAAGAAAAGTGGGATTTGAACATCACATCTCTCGATTGTCAAGCAGTTGCTCAACTCAGTAAGCTTTTGGGGTTTGATATCAGTATTTGCGGATTGTCAATGTGCATGAACCACTCAGCTCTTTAGAGTTGTCCAAGCCATATCTAAACCACACTTAATGTTGAGAGAATTTATTGTCTTTGAAAGACGAACGCTTGATTCTCATGATTTAGATCCACATAACAATATTGATAACGATGCAATCAATTCATGAGTCACTTTAGTGAATCAATTAACTCAAAATATGCATTTTAATCTCTAGACTCATATCTTCTACAGATTGCAATATCATTCTCAAAACATTTCCCACAAACTTTTTCTACAGGAACTGTTCAGTTAACTGGCAAATCGCAGTGCATGAAACATTTTAATTTTCATAGTTAATTCCAAGTTAATTCACATCAGCTCACAATACCATTAGTCAGATTATCGATTTTATTCACTTCGTTCTTAACATTTCAATCTTTACAGCTTTAAGAACAGAATTAATGTACAGCATACACAAAGAAGTACACGAAAATGTACTGTTAAGAACACTTCAAAACCAAAATAATTTATCAATCACAAAACGAAAGAAAACTTAGTTCAATGCACTTCATATAAAAAAAAGTTAAATTGATTATCTTCACATTTCTTTTCATTCATCTGTTAAAGCATCAGTTAACCAGAAAGTAAAAATTCTTTAGAGAAAGTGAGAAATCATTGCGCTATTTAATAATTTTGCTTTGGATGAATAAGCATAATTATTATGCTCTGCAGTGAAGAATGTAAGAAATCGAAATTAAGCACACGTGTTAAAAGTTGATTAATTTTTGTGGCTTTAGACCAAGAAAGTGAATTTTTAAATGCCATGTCCGACATCATCATTGTTTGAGTCCTTTAATAAATACACTTTACTTTCACTTTACATGTATGTATACAGTCAGTGCTTCTTTTCTATACGATATTGTATTGCGTCTTCGTCACTCAGTGACACATTTATTAAATTATCCCGTTTTTTTATCAGCCGTTAATGTTTTGCACTATTCTCTCTTTATTTTTTTGTTTTGGATGTGGATTACCATTTCTCGAACTTAGTCACAAATTAAATATTTTTGTAGATACACAACTCGACTTGAAGCGTTAAGCAGTAAACAAAAATTAATAATCAATCAGGAATGGACAAAAGAAATTTTTTTAATTAATATAGAAATTTCACCTAAAAATAAATTAAATTGTTGAGTGCAGAACCACGATTTAAATTTGAACTGCACACTCTCGCGGTCGAGCAGAAACTGAAAACTTAGGCGCGCGATGAAGACGAAATGATTTTCACTCTCTTTTTTTTGGGCTGTTGTGAAAAGAGAGTTGACTCGATTGTTGTGGAGAAGATTTGGAGAAATTTGAAGAAGATTCGAGAGTTGAAACTTGAAAATTTGGAAATTCTGACTTAAAGTTGCTCTAGATTTCAATATTTTACTAAATTACGCAGTTAATAATTAAAAGTCCTTCAAATAAAATTGAAAAATCTCACAAATCTTGAAACGGTTACCAAAAATTCAAATTAAGCTACAGAGCGAACCTTCTCACATTCAACCACTCAAAACTAACACATTCATAACTTTTTCTCCACAAAAATGTAACAATTTTCAATTTATTTAGTTTAATTCAGTAATTTTAAGTGATTTCTGGACATTTTTGCATTAAATCGTTAACACTTTTAGTCTACAATTCGGACATTTTGAATTCACAGCGATTTAAGTTCATTTTCATTCAGGAAAATTGTTGGAAAATAAAACTGCACCCAAAGAAATTTTAATTATTGGAAAACAATAACTTGGAAAGGAGAACGCTTATTTTACATTTGAAACAGAAAATATCAAATAAGAACGACAATAGAATGCTAAAGTGGTCTGATTTTGCAATAATTTTGATCTTTTTTGTCGTCCTTACTGTTCAACAACATATCGAAGATGACAACAAAGATCAACATCAGTTCAATGACTCGAATGATACTCAAATGTAAGTGGAGTGGATGTTTTTTTATAGACTGTTGATATCTTTACGTATTGAATGGAATATCGAGAATTTTTGAGGTTTTTGGGGCAAAGTTGAAAGGATTATTAAGAACGGAGAAAAATTTCCAAATCCGTTGCACGAAAAACTCATCATTTGTGTTTTACAAATTAATCTTCTAGAAGGAACAACCGAAAATTATTTTAAGAAACATGACAAACTTAATCAACACTTTAGGAAAATTATTTTGTTTATTTTGAAAAATCTCAAAATTATTTTTGTCTCAAATTTTCATTTTTCCTTGTTTTTCTCAATTTTTACATCCAATAAAACTCTTTCTCTTGTAGCTTTAGCATTGAAAATCCACAAGAAAGTCTCGAACTGGGAATTTGTCAAATCTATACCGGAAGAATTTGTGAGAAATACATGGGAAACATGTCAGTATTCATCACACCAGACAATACAATGGAATTGATTGAGAAAAAATTGGCAGCTGCAGCATCAGTCATTAAAATATCACCGGATATCTCATCATTATGTGCTAGATTCGTGTGGTATAGTTTGTGTGCTACAGTTCTTCCAGTATGTAAAACGCCAGAGGAAACAAATCATTCATACTTTTTAAACAAGAATAAAAGTAAAATGAAAGGCTATCAGCCACCGATTATAGCTAACAATAAAGCCAAAAAATCAAATTCGCCAAAAAATAAAAAGTCACAGAAAAATAAGTCAAATGGAATTAAAATTATTCCAACTGAATCGCCAGTTATTATTGAGCCACCAACGACTGTAAAGACGAGAATAATTGATCATTATGCTCATTCAAATTCTTATTATGAAGAGACTCACGGCAGTAGAAAGCGACGATATGTAGACATTCAGTTCATTAAAAATGGGTAAATATGACGCAATGTTTATTGCTATTTATGCTTCACATTTCTCTTCTTTGTCAGCTATCCACCAACAAAAGAAACTGAAAATTTACGCCTCATTTGCAAATCGGATTGCGAATTACTTGAAAATGAAATTTGCCAAAAGGAATATGCAATTGCAAAGAGACATCCAGTGATTGGTCAAATTTTACCGATTGAGGATTGTCGTGGGCTTGAGGATGACGATGACTGTCTCCATATGGGCATTGATGTTGGCGTACAGCCAGACGATACTTGCTTTTGGGATGATGGATTTAGATATCGAGGTGTTAAGGATAAGACTGCTACTAATAAGGTATGGCTTAGCATTTTATCAATTTCTGAAGTGGATAAAACTTTATTCCTCATTTCAGCCATGTATGAAATGGTCAAAAGTTCCAAAAGGCCTGACCCACATTGAACTAGCCGGCAACAGTTATTGCAGAAACGTTGATCACTCACAAAGTCAACCATGGTGTTATGTAGACAAACAAACAATAGAATTATGTGACATTCCAAAATGCTCTGATAAAATGTGGTTCATTATCATTGCTGTTCTTGGTATTTTCTTGTTCCTAACGTTCCTATTCACACTGCTTGTTTGCTGCAAGAAAATGAGAAAACAAGGCGTATCAAATATTCAAAATGTAAGTTTGCGTGTGTAGTCATGAATAATGCAAATGTTAACTTGAACTTTATTCCATAGATTGCAATGGCGAATGCTGATAAGACTAAAAATATTTACGGGAACTCAAGACATAGTTCACCGATTGAAATGACATCTTTGTTGACAACGAATGGATTAGCCGGTTCTAATCAGCATTCAAATCCAAGGGGCTCGTCTATTTTGAAAATTACTCAATATAAGTTGCAGGATGTGAGATTTGTGGAGGAACTGGGTAAGAATTTTTGTATATTCTTATTATTATTATTATTATTGTTTTATTCATTTAATATTAGAAGCTAGAGCCGTGTCATAGCTGTGATACATTACAATTGCTAGAACATTTAATTCCTCATATCGATTCTTATTGGATTATTGTTAACGATTTGATAAACTTTCAGGTGAAGGAGCATTTGGTAAAGTCTATAAAGGAGAACTGACACAGAAGAATGGAGAAAAAGTGATTGTAGCTGTAAAAGCACTCAAAGAAAACGCATCGCCAAAAACACAAACAGACTTCCGTCGAGAAATTGAACTAATTTCTGATCTTAAACATGACAATATTGTTTGTATACTTGGAGTTGTGCTAAAAGAGGAGCCGTTATGCATGTTATTTGGTGAGTTGCTGCAATTCTCTATAATTTGATCAACTTTTATTACCCAAAGATCTTAATTCGGGCTATATTAATTGACAAATGACTAATTTGATCATTCCAACATGACCAAAGTGACTAAGCTGATTAAATTCATCCATATGCTTGCAATTTGCTTAATTTATTCTAATCATTTCTCTTCATCTCCCCCTATTAACATTCAGAATACATGAGTCACGGTGACCTGCACGAATTCCTCATTTCAAATTCACCAAATGAGGGAAAATATCTTACACAACAGCAATTCTTATTTATTGCACTACAAATAGCCGAAGGAATGGAATATTTATCATCACATCATTATATTCACCGAGATTTAGCCTCTCGAAATTGCCTGGTTGGAGAGAATTTAGTTGTTAAAATTTCAGGTTTGTATTTTAATCTTTATAATGTCTTTAAATTATGCAATCGGATATTTTGAATATTAAGAGTGTTGTTGACTTTATTTTGCATAATTTTGAAATGTTTTATGCAAATTTTAATATTTTTATAATTCCTTATTAGATTTTGGGCTGTCACGAGACATTTATTCATCGGATTACTATCGAGTCCAATCAAAATCACTTTTACCAATCCGTTGGATGTCAAGTGAGGCGATTTTGTACGGAAAATTCACAACAGAGAGTGACGTTTGGTCGTACGGTGTTGTTCTTTGGGAGATATATAGCTATGGTACGTATTTTAAAATTCAAAATTCATTACAGCTGACTAATCTTTAACTTCTAGGTATCCAGCCATACTTCGGTTATAGTAATCAAGAAGTCATCAATATGGTGAGGGCAAGGCAGTTACTTCCTTGTCCAGATGCATGTCCCAGTGCAGTTTATGCCTTAATGATTGAATGCTGGCATGAACAGAGTGTGCGAAGGCCTAACTTTGCTGAGATTGTGCATAGGCTTAAGCTATGGTATCAGTCACAGAGGAGGCGTAAGTATTTAGTCTTTAGATGACAAATTAAATCATTAGGGACAGCAAAAATTTTACTGATTCCCGCCAAAATCTTCCAGGTGATCAAATGGATATGAATACCGGTAGTATGACTAGAGATATAAATATTCCCAGCATGAGTCGAGAAATGAATGTAAACAGTATGACAAGAGATATGAATATGTGCAGTATGTCAAGAGAGATGAATACAAACAGCATGTCAAGGGAAATGAACACAGGCAGTATGTCAAGGAATGAAGGATGTATGTCAAGGAATGAAGGATGTATGTCAAGAAATGACGGCTGCATGTCAAGAAACATGAACGATGGATGCATTTCTAGGAATACAAATGATGGCAGCATGACAAGAAAAACTTCAACCACCGGTTCTACAATTAGTGTTCGATCCTTTAAATAATTTTAAGTCTTTCCAAAGAGATTAATTTCTTTTATTATCAAATTGATGAGTGAAAATATTCGTGTTGACTTTTGACACGAATCAAGTTCCAAAACAAAAGTTTTTAAGCCCTAAAGTTATTTTAAAATGAGACGGAATTCGTACATATTTTATCCTATTGATTTAGTTTTTTTAAACCATAAATTGAATAATTCTATGTAGTTTAAGCAAAATTTATAAATAACCAAAAAAGTGAAAGTTTTATATATTGGGAATGAAGCAAATACTCAAAAGTGACTAGAACTGGGAAGATTTGAGAGACTTTTTACAATTTTTTAGCCTTTTTTCTATGAATCCCACCTCAAAAGACTATTTGTACATTTTTTGTATCTGATCATCAAAACCTCAAATTAGACCTTTGTCTTAGGCATAGATACGCACCTCAATATTAAATGAAACTCTTTAAATCTTCGCAGTTCAGCCACGAAAATACTCAAAAATGCCCCTTAAGTAAAAAAAATTAAATTTGATCGATCTTTTTGTGCCATAAATTCTAATGATGGATCTCGAACATTTTTTTTGTTGCAATTTTAGACCAAAGATATTAGAGAAAGTATTATTTTTTCACATATACCTAATACTGAGATGTTCTCTTGACCATATTTGACAGAAATGAATAAAGATCAATGATTATTTTGTTAAGAAAGCTGCAGCTTGATTTTAAGAGTGCGAAACTGATTAAAATTGATCGAAAAATCTTAATAGCTTGAAGATTATTCATAAGTATCTCAGCAACCTTCATTGACTGTCATGATTAAAAATGTTTTAATTCCAATAAATATGATTGTATTGCCCAGTGAACCTCAAGGTCGAGAGAATTTTTCAGTGCTTTTGAGTGAAGGAGATTCTTTGTCAATCAAACGACAAGCTAGTTCTAAAGTCGAAGACGACTAAGATTTTGCATAGATTAGTTATTTAAAATCAACTCGATTGTACACAAAATCTTAATCAGCTTCGCTCTCCGAGCTAGCTTTGGTTTACTTGATAGACAAAGAATTAATTTTTTAAGGATCTCGAAAAACAAAACTTGCATACTCATTAATATATCGAAATATAATTGAAAAATATGTGAACAGAAAATAAAACCACGTGTTGCATTTATCATCAAACAAACCAAAAAAGAAGAAAAACATACCGTAAAATCGTTGGGATTTGATGCTTTGCTAAATTTATATTAAAATAGCAAGAATCAGGGAGCGAAGTTGACTTAGTTTTTGTATGATTTCTAGATGTTTTACAAAATAACTTATACAAAACCTAAGTCAGCTTCATCCTCAAGATTGAATTAAAAATGAATGAAAATAAACTTTACAAAGCATCAACTTCTAACATTCATAATCTAATTTCTAAGAAGAATTGAAGAAACAAAATTTTATATATCATACATTAACCATTCTAGGATTAAATAATAAACAAAAAGTCATTTTTTTCAATGTTTTGCATAAATAAAGAAGACAAAGACATTTGGATTGAGTTTTTGAATGAGAAAATAAAAATTATTTGAGATTAATTTTGAGCATAAATAAAATTTACAGCATCAAGTGAGAGTCTTCAACCGCGAGAGATCGTCAAATTGTCTGATTCATAATTCAAGGGGGATATTCCCGCACACATATTTTTGTGGATTTGCCATGTGCGAGAGAGCTGACAATGCATTAAGGTCAATTTTTTGCTTTTGTATTGGGTGGCGCTTAACATTAGATTTACGGAACAGAAAAGCACAAAACGTAAACAAACAAGCATGCCGGTGACTCTCACATACGATCGTAAATTGACATACACTTATAAGATTCATTAACAAATACAATTTAATAGAAAAAAAAATTGAGAAGATATTTCAAACTGAGCACTTTGAGACTTATCAGGGAAAAATCATTCAGTTATCTTTTAGAGCTCGTCGTGTACGGTTGAAAAATAATAAAGAGCAGTAGTGCCTTTAAATTTGATCATATAAGTAGGTGGAAGAAGAAAAAATTAAATTGTTGAGAACTAAAATTGGTTCTTCCGATATAAAACTTAATCGTTGATGAAAGTTAACGCAATTTACGACAGTCATATGAGCTGTTTATAATGGAAGTGAATCATTCGTGAGAGTTTTTAAGGAAATTTCGGTACTTTTGTGGAAATTCGTTAAGAAATTTGAAAAAATTCTTCAAATTCTTCAAAAATTTCATCAAAAAACATTAAAATTGCTCCAAAAAATTTCAAATTAAACTCAAATTTTACATTTTACATCAAATTCTTTCAACTTTCAAGCAACTTTAAAGGCAAAAACTTTAGATTTTTTTTCTTTTCTCTCAATTGAATTAAATTAGGTATTTTTGATATATATCTACGGTGTACTTAATAAACCAGTAGCGGCATCAGTGAATCATAAATCATACATAGACTCTCGACGATATTTTGTTTTATGAATTTATTGTGGAATTAACGAAATTGAAAACTGGAAATGTATTTTGTAGATAAGATTGTGTCAGGTGGAACTTAATGGGAAAATTTTTTTGCTAAAAATTCGTCAATTTTGAAGGTGTGATGATGAATTTAAGTGTTGAACATAAATTGTTCGAGACATTTGAATAGAGTTTTGTAAAATTAGAATAAAATGAATATGAATTAAATTCCAAATAACTCGAAACTGCATCAAACTCTAAGTTGATGCAAATTTCAAGATGGACATCCATAAATTGAAGATTTTTATTCAATTTCTAGGAAGTTTCAACTAGTTGTGCTAAATTTCATGATATGGACACTCGCACATTGTAAAAAGCATCTATTAAAATACTGATTAGTCCCAAACGACTAAATTCTTCATTGTCATCCAACCAGAGTTCATATGGATTAGTTTTATGACTGCTTCGTTTTGATCGATGGTAAAGAGCAGAGCTCAAGATCAACTAGAGTTAACTCGGTTTCTTTCTAGTTGACCATTGTCACCATAGAACCTGAAGAGGTTCATCAAAAGAAATATAAATATTACTTCTATTTTTAAAACAAGTGGGAGAGCAATGCAAAGTCCTTTGAATTTTACCAAAAGTAACTGTTTACAAATAAGAATATGATGTGAATGATTAAACTTTGATAAAACTGTAGACGTCGAAGTTCGATTTCGTTACCAAACCAATAAATTAGCTTCATGCTAGATTTTTCACTTGATTGCCGTAATATGATCTTCGGAATAATTACCGAGTCTTGATCATACCCAGTTGCTGCACAATCCTAATGGAATATTGACAGGTATAAAGCAGACTGTAAAGCTTCATCTTTTGTTCTTCTGCTTCCTTCTCTAAAATCATCAAACCAGCTTAAATTAAGCTAAAATCCTTAGAGCAGAAAAAAGATTCCTTTTTTTCTAAAATAAATTCTGGAACTTAATTTCAAAACTATCTCTATAAAGAGCAGAGAGGTCAACTAGAGTTAACTCGATTTCTTTCTAGTTGTCCAATGTCACCATAGAACCTGAAGAGGTTCATCAAAAGAAATATAAATATTACTTCTATTTTTAAAACAAGTGGGAGAGCAATGCAAAGTCCTTTGAATTTTACCAAAAGTAGCTGTTTACAAATAAGAATATGATGTGAATGATTAAACTTTGATAAAACTGTAGACTTCGAAGTTCGATTTCGTTACCAAACCAATAAATTAGCTTCATACTAGATTTTTCACTTGCTTGCCGTAATATGATCTTCGGAATAATTTTCGAGTCTTGATCATACTCAGTTGCTGCACAATCCTAATGGAATATTGACAGGTATAAAGCAGGCTGTAAAGCTTCATCTTTTGTTCTTCTGCTTCCTTCTCTAAAATCATCAAACCAGCTTAAATTAAGCTAAAATCCTTAGAGCAGAAAAAGATTTCTTTTTTTCTAAAATAAATTCTGGAACTTAATTTCAAAACTATCTCCGCCACTGCCTTCAAATTGAGCGTCTACGGTGATTTTTCAATTGAAAACATTTTTTTTTTTCATATCACTTAATATGATTTTTAGTGCATCTTTGCTCGAGGTCTCTTTATTTTAAAAGAGAAGAAAATATTACGTGCATAATCAGCTCCAGCCAACTGTTTCCAATTACTATGTATCATTATCAGATTTTAATTAGTGGAACGATCTTAAATAAAATATTTGCGACATTGAAATTCCTTATTTTTATGAGCTTTATCATAATTAAACCCGATTAGAAGAAAAATATCGGACAGAAATATTAATTTTTTTAACCTTCACGCCATGCTAATTGCCATATGAACTTTCTTATTAATTTATTGTGAACACATTCATCGTTGTCGTCTGAAAACATCAGCAAAAATCGTGTGTTTTATGCATTGCAAATAGAAATTGAAAAAAATAAATAATAAATTTTTTATCTGTGCTGCTTATCTTATCTATCGTGTCAGTTATCATGTCGTTAAATATTTTATAATGTGTCTATGACGTAAGACTTTGTGTGAATGAATGAAGTCATGGCTCAATAATTGTATTATTGGATTTTTTTTTTTCTGGGTTAATCGAAGTTGAGCTTTAAAGAATTTTGAAGTTGCAATGAAAAATTGTATTTAGATCATTAGATGCCGCTATAGGATAGTTGTACTTACTTACTGTTGTTTCATGTTCCTATGTTGAGCTTAGTCTATCGCAAAAAGCTTAACATTTGACTATGTAGCTGGTTCTGTTCGCTCGTTCGTGACAATTTGTTTGTCTTCATGTGTTACTGACATTCTTTCATTACTGTTCTGCATCAAGTTGCTTTTGATTATTTATTGAATAGTAATTTAAATCAACAGAAGTGTAACAAACTAGTGTTTCTGTCCCAGAAATGACATTTTCCTTTCGAAGCCCTTGTTAAATAAACTATGGAGATAAAAGCTTGTTTAATCCAAACAATTTAAATTTCTGGTTGTTGAGGAATTCAGTCTTACCTCCATAACTTTAAATCATTACTAATAACTTGTTCAAGAGTTTTTTCTTTAAACCTTACATTTCATTTCCAATTTTCTTAATTCGTTGCGTTCTAGATCTTTAGAATTCGTCGGTTGAGGTAAATTTGAAGATTGAGTATACATTGAGACTCTTGTTTTAAACCAAGAGGATTTATACTAGGTTTTTTCATTTGGGAAATCCTGTTCTTTCTAGATTAGAATAGAATGTAATGTAAGATTTTGCTTAAAACAAAAATGGCACTGCAATATTCCAACTTCACGTTGATTATTTCTTTGAATCTGAAAATAATTTCATAGAAGCATCTTCATATCTCTCAGCACAAAAATTAGGTATTTATCGTTGAGTCTTTGGTCTGTTTGGCTTCAAGTTAGAGCTCAATTCCTGCTAGAAGCTGATCTTTCACGAATTGATTAAGTATTGTCTCCCTTGAGTAATCTAGAAAGCAAAGGAAATTCTCTACAATCAATTAAATTAATGAACTTAATTAATTCACAAAAGAATTCACTGATTATCTTTAAAACTCCTGTATTGAAAACACACATGCAGGAAGAAAATTGCACATTTGCTTCATTAAAAACTCAATAACAATTCATCAAAGAAATCGCTAATTACTACTTTCCTAGCTGACAATCGTGAATCTTTGCAAAATAAAAATGTCAATACAAAACACCTCAAAAAAAGACACTTACAACTTAAAGTAATCAAATTTCATAATAAAAAGTGCCCATATGACATGTCTGATAATAATCTTGTGAGCAATTTTGTGTAAAAAAAAAGCAATTGTGCTTGATTGTTGTCTATAGCGTATACGAGAGAGCATTCATAATGCTTATTCATTCACACAATCATCTTTGATTGGAATATATGCAAGCAATTTAATTTTTTGTTCATTCACCTTGACTTTGATAGCGCGAGTGCGATGATAAAATAACTCTACTTTTTTCAGTGAGTGAGATGGAGCTATAAATTGATAGTAACGATGATTATGATGAAAATTGTGTAACATGTGCTTATGAGTGATAACAATAAGAAATATTTAGCGAATTGAGTTGATTTGTGTGTAAATAAAAATAAGAAAATAAAATAAATCAAATGAGAGAAAACATGAAGGAAGTGTTTGTGTATAAAATATTAATATTTGCATTAGCTTTGCAAGTTTCTAGTGCAATGAATTCTGATCCAAATAGGCAAATAGTTTATGAAAAATGCAGGGGACCGGGTAAGCTAGTTTCTGTGATTCTTTGGAGTGTTAATTGAGATTGAAGTCGCTTCAACTTTTTGCAAAAAATGTTTTAACTCTTCTTAGAAAGTGATTTTAACTGAAAGGGTTGAAGCCAATCCTTAAAGCAAATTTAGAACATTACCTTCCACATAACTTTTATCATGTCATTTATAGGAAATTAGACACAATTTTTTAAAAATATCATTACTCGACTGAAATATTACCCGAATAGCCCAAAGTTGGTTAATCGAATAGAAATCCGGAACGAAGCTAGCGTAACTCTGGCATGGTGCTAGATTCGAATTGAGCCCAGCATCATGCTCAAGTTATGCCGGCTTGGTGCTGGATTATTATTCGAATAACCGACTTGTGCTATTCGGGTTAGTATTCTACTTACAAGATGTAGCGACTTTCTTCTCAAAAATCATTCGTAATGTAAGTTTTATCATAAATTACCTTCCAAAACCATCCAAACCCCCAAAATCAGGTGATCCCGGACCTTGTAAAGGAACTTACATTTACAAATGGCGTTTCGAAACAACAACTCAAGAATGCACACAATTTATATGGTCCGGATGTCAAGGAAATCCACAAAATCGTTTCGATTCAGAAGCTGAATGTTTAGCACATTGTATTGGAGGGAATCGTAAGTTTAAATCTCAAAAAATTCTGTTCTTAATCTTTGAAAATTTCAAATATACTTTCAGATACTCTTCCACCTCATATAACAACCACTACACCGAGTTTAAAAGACATCAATCTAAATCAAACAGCAAAAGAAATTCCAGAAGTAGAACAGAAAGCTACACCACCAAAAAATGTCACAATCCCACCGCCAAGCTCATCTCCAGAACCTCAAAGTGAGGAACTCATCTTTCAAGACAGCGAAAGCAAAAAACCTCACAAAGAATTCATGTTTGCACAAAACAACACGTTCATCCAAATTGACGGAGACACGATAAAAACATTCCAATTAAGATTGTGTCGTGAGATCAGCTTTCAATTTCGTACGAGACTACCGCATGGCTTGCTAGTTTATCACAACGTTAAAAATCCCGATAAAATTGAACTTGACCCATACGCTTTGTATGTAATTGTCGAGAAAGGGCAGCTCAAAGTCGTGCATGTATTTGGAAAGCATTCAACTTCGGTAATAATGATGAATTTCGGCTCTGTAATAGGTTTTTGATGAGTGACTCATAGTCTGAGTTGGTTTTTGATTGAATTTTGCATGTTTAATAGTCTTGCACTTCGCACTTTGACATTGTCATTAAATTCTGCTTAAAAATATTAAAATTGAGGATAAAATGACAATTCTAGATAAATTAAGTAATAACCACGTAATCATTGATTTGATTCACATTTTTGTTTTACAAATAACATTTTAAGTGTTTTCTTGTTTAAAACATTGACATACCTTCAAAGCTTTAGTATTTACAATCCTTCTTGTGTATATCAGAGCCTTTTTAATCCTTTTAATTCCAATTCTAAGCCACAAACAATTTATATTCACGATTTTGAACAAATGAACACAACTTATTTAAAATTACGTACGTTTTATCTAAGCCTACTAAATTCAAATTTCAATGAACCGTTACAAATAACAAATTAAACTATTAGATCGCACTTGACCCATTTACAAGCTTTAAAGCCTCAAAAAGACATATTACTCATCAAAAACACGCAAACTTCTTTACTCAGCATTCTCTAAATTGCTCAAAATGACAATTCTACACAAATTAAGTTTTAACCACGTAATCATTGATTTGATTCACATTTTTGTCTTAAAAATGACATTTTTAAAGTTTTCTTGTTTAAAATATTGACATACCTTCAAGTCTTTAGTGTTTAGAATCCTTCCTGTGTATATCAGAGCCTTTTTAATCCTTTTAATTCCAATTCTAAGCCACAAACAATTTAAATTCACGATTTTGAACAAATGAACACAACTTATTTAAAATTACGTACGTTTTATCTAAGCCTACTAAATTCAAATTTCAAGAAACCGTTAAATACCAAATTAGACTATTAGATCGCACTTGACCCATTTGCAAGCTTTAAAGCCTCAAAAAGACATATTACTCATCAAAAACACGCAAACTTCCTTACTCAGCATTCTCTAAATTGCTCAAAGTGACAAAACATTTAATTTAAAGGTGATCGTGGGCGAGGGTCTGAATCGTGATGAATGGCATAATGTGACGGTTAGAATTGATGTTCATGGAGCAAGATTAATAGCTCGAGTTGATAATCAACAAGAAGAGGTCTACTTGAAAGGCTTAAATCATGATACAAATTATGGAGTCAGCACTAATTTGCCATCTGTCGTATTGGTTGGAGGTAATCATGTCTATATTTCACATCTTAGTGCTATTAATAATCTATCATAATTTGTCATTTTATAGGTTTGAGCTCCGAGGAAAGGCTACATGGTGTTAAATATATAATTGAGTCATTTGTCGGATGCATACGAAATATTGTGCTTAAAAGTGGCAAGGCTGCATCCGATTTACTTCCAATTAGTCCACTTATTGCGTCAAAGCATGAGAATGTCGTCGAAGGATGTTACAATAAGTGTGAATCTAGGGAAAATTTGTGTTTTGTTGGATCTCGTTGCATTAATCATTTCTCATCGATCTCATGCGATTGCTTTGGAACGAAATATGAAGGAGAGCAGTGCGATATTTACTGTGAGTTGGTGCTTTTATTGATTATTAAAATTTCCGATTCAAATACATTCCAAAAAATTTAATTCAACCAAAATTCTCCTTAACTGGGGATTTAAACTCACTGTCAGCATCAACAGTCAATATCTTGACATTATTCTTAAATAAAATCAGATTACTTCTGTAAATTCCTTCTGGAAACACTTCAGCGTCCTTCAAATCGTCACTGACCACTGAAATGTTCTGAAAATCCAAATCCTCAATATAAGGACATTTTTGAAATAATTTTGGAACTTTGTTCTTAATGTTGTTGACAATAAGTTTAATCATTGGATTTGTGTCACTTCCTTCCAACACACTACACCATTCAATTAGCTTTGTGTCAATAACTGGATGAAATTTTAATCCATAACGATAGCTGATGATTAATTGGATGTTAAATGGTCTTGTTAGAGGAACAATGAACTTCAATCCTAAATAAGCAGCTACAACGTTTCTTGATAATGGTTTTATGTAGCAATATTTCACCATAATTGTCTTATTATCACTTTCACAGTGAGTTGACTTTGGACGAAGATTGAATTTTGGAGGTTTTTCATATTTTACTGCACTGACTGAATTCTGAATTGACAAAGCTGTAAAAATCCAATAACAATATAAATATTGACAATACATTTTATTTTTTGACTGCTTTATTGAACAACATTCCTCAATTTAAAATAATTTTGAAGTAGCCAAATATAAAGCCAAAGTTAACAATTCCAAAATAATTGATTGAAATTAGTTTAAACTGTTCCTGTCGGTTTGCAGACAACAAAAAACTCTTTTTTAACAGTTTGAAGACTGAAAAACATATTCAAAAGGATTCTAAAGCTTTTCAAACTGAGGTTAAATAAATATTTTGTGGACAGAAAAGATTAAATTCGACATCTTCCTTGGTTATGTTCTGTCTATCCAAAAGACTCTTTAAAACTTGATGTGATTTCACCTTTGAGCTTTAACGAAAAAATTGTAATATTTTGCTTCCAAACCATGAAGACTAATTTGTAAATCCCTTGAGGAAACACAACAGATGTATGGGGTTTGGGATCAATTAATGTAAAGTTGAATAAATCTAGTTCTCCTTCATATGGACATTTATGAAATATTTGCGGAAAAGTTAAATTAATAAATTTGGTAACGTGCTCAATCATTGGAAATGTCTCGGATCCGTCCATAAAGTTACACCATTCATTTTGCTTAGTGTCTATAATTTGACGAAAGATTGTTCCATATCGATAATAAAGAAGCATTTGAATGTAGGCTGGCTTTTGTATTGGTTCTGGAAATTTAATTCCAAGACTAAGAGTCACAAGATATCTTGAGTAAGGCTTTATGTAGCAATATTTAATTAAAATTGTTTTGTTATCAGCTTCACAATTGATTGCATTAGGACGAATCAAGTACTTTGGTTGTTGTTCCTTACGCCTAACAGCTCTCATTTTCTCGACGAAGAATGTTAAACACAAAATTGAAAAGATTTTGATTAGGTTCATTTAAGATACTTATTCAGACTGACTGATTTCAACAAACGTTTGTTTTATTTTTTCAAAATAAGTTTTAATAGCTTGAAATTACGTAAATGCTGATAAAAGATAGCAAAAGAATTTTAAAAATTATGGCTTAAACCGAACAATCTCTCCAATTATTCACAAATCTAACTGAGCCTGTTCTGATTTCTACTTTACATTTGCGTATTAGAAAAGTTTAAATTCTGATAAAAATTAATTTTCGACTGAATGATTTAAATGTCAAATTTGAAGTATTGATAAAAAGTTTGGTTGAAATGTTAATAACTTTTAAAATTGCATATTTAGGAATGAAAATATTATAATAGCTTCCAAAATATTGTCGTTCAAATTGTTTAGTTGTAATAATTTTATTAAACATGACTAATCCTAAAAATGGAAGCTTTTGTGATAAAACAATTTAAAACAATTTTATCACAATCTTTACAAATTACAGCAGCAATTAAGCTTAATAATACATAAATTCATCCAAAGCTTTCCTTTATTGTTGATGTATTTTCACCTTCAAGTCTGATTTTTATAAAAACACTGTCCTTCTTTGAAAAAGCAAGAACAAGTCTATAATAACCTTGTGGAAATACTCCAGCGTCATCCCTGCGTGTATTTAATGTCAATGAAAAATTTGATAACTCCAATTTTCCTTCATATGGACATTTATGAAATACATGCGGCATAGATTGATTGAGTAATCCCATCCATGATGCAATTAAAGGATTTGTGGCACTTCCTTCCATAAAATCACACCATTCAATTTGCTTTGTATCAATTATTTGCCGAAAAATTGTTCCATATCGATAGAATAACAATAATTGAGTATAAATTGGCTTAGTTATTGTTTCAAAAAAACTAAATCCTAAATTTACAGTCACAAGATATCTCGAGTAAGGCTTCAAATAGCAATATTCTGTCGAAACTGTTTTATTGTCTGTATCACAATATATTTTATTTGGTCGAACTAGAAACTTTGGTGGTGGCTCTCGAGATTTTGCTGTTTGGATGATCTTGATAATAAGTATGAAAATTAAAATTTGTGCAATTGTTTTTAAAAGATACATCGGGACTTTTGTGGTTCTGTTCTAAACAAATGATCAACTGAAAATGTTAAAATTCTAAATAATTTGAGAAAAATTATTTCTAATTCAGAGAAACTTAGTGCTATAATTATCAGCTATTATTAAAGTAGTTTGTTTAGTTTTTTCAATTAGAACAGTTATTTTTAGCTTTAAGCTGTGCCGTTTTCTTTTTGTGAATAATCCAGCCCCTCCACCAAATCTCTAAATGTCAGTTTATCCATAGCTTTCCTTCAAAACTGACGTAATTTCTCCTTTAATTTTAACTGTGACAACTTCCTTATTATTTTTATGAACAACAACAACAAGTTTATAATATCCTTGTGGAAATATTTGTGCTTGGATAGGTAAACCTGCAGATAATGTGTAATTAAATAAATCCAATTCGCCTTCATATGGACATTTATGAATTAATTGTGGAAATGTTGAATTTATATAAACGACAATAGATTTAATCAATGGAAATGTTTCAGTTCCTTCCATATAGCTGCACCATTCATTTTGTTTTGTATCAATGACTTGTCTGAAAATTGTTCCATATCGATAGTAAATCAATAACTGAATAAAGAATGGTTTGCTCAGAGGTTCCAAAAACTTAAATCCCAGATTAGCTGTCACAAGATATCTTGAATAAGGCTTTAGGAAGCAATATTTTGTTAGAATTGTCTGGTTATCAGTAATACAATAGACTGCATTGGGACGAACCAAAAACTTTGGTGGTGGATCTTTATTTTTAATAGTTTTAATGATATTGATAGCAAATGTTAAAGTCAAAAATAGTATAAATTTCATGGTCTTCTTGCTACTGACTGTTATTTATGAATGATTTACTTTAATAAATAATATTGAAAATTCATGGACTTTAATTGTTAAATTTTCCAAATTTTATGTTGAAATGAGCAAAATATGCAGCAATTTATCTGTTTGTCATTTTTTGGTTTCAATTAGCTTTAAAACTCGTAAAATATAGTTTAAATCAGATGAAAGTTCATTTTATAAAGGGGCCGTTCACTTATTACGTTCGCATTTTAGGGGGGAGGGGGGGGGGGGGGGGGGGGGTTGAAATTAAATTTTGTGGAAATTTTCAAAATTAAATCAATCATAAGTTTAAAAGTAAATCTCTCTAAATCTGTCATTCATATGATGATTAATATGATCCCATCATTGTGATATTTACATTCAAAGTTGATTGAATTTTTAAAAATTCGATCGGGCATAATATTTTTCATGACATTTTTGAATTTTCTTCAAAAAAAAACAAATTTTTGCTTTATATCTCAATCCAGTAATTCATGAGAATACTAATAGTATCAATCAAAACATGACCTATTTAGCTGTACAGTAATTTGATATTTAAGAAAATGCAACAGAATATTTTGATGAATTATGAATAAAATTTAAATGTTCTTAATAACTACCTATAAAAAATTAACCAAATAAAAGGGAGGGGGGGGAAGTATGAGTTGTAACATATTGTAACAAGGGGGGGAGGGGGGTAGTGAAAAAAAGTCGTTTTTTTACGTAACGTAATAAGTGAACGGCCCCAAAGTAGAAATTATGAGAACAGCTTAACAAACAATGCTTTAAATAACTTTACATTTAAAACATTTCTGATCTGATTAAAAAATCTGAATTGCAAATAAAAGCACATGCTGAAAATGATCAATAAATAGATTTGAAAAATTGCTTCCGTTTCGAGTCTTTTTTCAAACAAAATAAAAAAAAACTAAGCTTGGAACTTGATAGCAACGTGCGAATAGCTTTCAAATCCGACAAATTAAATTATTGAAAGATCAGCTATTGAATTGTAATCACAGAGCTCGAAGTCGACTTGAGATTTTCATCGGTTTTGTATGAGTCGACTCGACTCCATACAAAATTTCATCGACTTCGTACTTGTAATCATAACAAAAGAATAAGTTTAATTGGATTGTTATATTTTAATCGTAAATGTTTTTATTTAAATTTTATTATTTAACCTTCACCAGTTAAGTTTAACCTCTAAACACTGTCATAGAGCGAATCGAAATAACTTTACTAAAAATAAATTTGGGTCGACTTTAAAAACCAAACCTTTTATGTCCATATTACCCAAAATTTTCTTTTATTGGTGATTGCTTTATAACTGTAACTACAACTCTGTAGTAACCTTGCAACTCCATTGGAGTCCTGCTTAGTTTGCTTAGAACCTGGCGACAGGCAATTGATATCCATTTTGCCATGACTATCAAGTTAATATCTTTTGTTTTTAAGATAATTGTACAAAGCTTAGCCAGAGGGTTCGAACACTTATCCCAAACCCAAATTTAACCCAAATCATTGCTAATGCGCAAATAATTCAAAAAAAAATATCTTATTCATTTCTTTGTCTACAGCTGCAACTGCTTTAACCCTCAGAGGATCAAGTTTCGTCAGCTACAGAATCTACGATTGGAAAGACAGAACTCACAGCTCAGTCACACGAATCAGCTTAATGTTTAAGACTTGGTTTGATGATTCAGTGCTATTCTATGCTAGTGGTGAGTCAATCAAGCCACAATACATTGCAGCATCATTGAAAAGAAACAGGACATATGTGGAAATGGAGTTTGGAGATGGTCCAGTGAATTTCACATTGGGTGAAGACTTAGCTAGTGATTATTGGCATAACTTGACAATCTTTCATGATCATAAGACTATCATGGTTTATTTGGATGATCAAATGAAAGTTTTTGAAGGAGCTAAAAATCTGTTGTTTGATCCTGAGATTTATTTTGGAGGTAAGTTACTAAAAATGAGACTCAGTTCCTTTAGAAATTAAATTTAACTTAAATTTCAGGTGGACCAGACTTAAACAAAAAGAAAGGATTAGCATCCAATAACAATTTCGCAGGTTCCTTCAAATATGTCTTCTACAATGACGTGTCAATCCTATACGAACTCAAAAAAGGCAACCCAAAAGTTCACTACATCGGAAGTCTTAAGCCAGAATTTTATGAAAAGTCAGTTAATGTGATTCCAATCACATATCCGTTCGCTACAAGTCATATTTGGTGGCCAATTGAGAATGTTCATTATCTTAGTGTCAAGTTTGACTTTAAGAGCAGCAAGAACACAGCAACATTAGCTTATGGTGACTTTAAGACAATTCTGGATGATGTTGAAGGATTTTGGGAAATTAAATTGACAGAAAGCAATATCAGCTTTGAGCTTACGACTGAAAAGAATGTGACGGTGTTAACATCGATTCCTATTGAAGAGCCAACGGCTTGGCATGCAGTGGACTTCACATACAAAAACGGAACTGTCACATTGATTGTCGACTATCGAGCAAAGGAGACGAAATTGTACGGAATGAGTTTTATCACACAGTCGAAGCTTGTTATTGGAAGTAGCATAAAGAATGCTAGTGGTGGATTAGTTGGCTGTATGAGGGATTTAGGAATTAATGGAAATGACATAGAACCTCGATTTGTTGTTAAGACTGAAAGAGTTGTTGGTGAAATTGCATTGGACAATTGCCAGTTTGTAGATCCATGTGCTAGGCCAAACACATGTGAGCATGGAGGCAAATGTCTTGTGAAAAATGGCAGAGTAACTTGTGACTGCACACAAACTGGTTATGTTGGAAAGAATTGTCATTTCACAGCTTATAGAAAGACTTGCGAGGAACTAGCACTTCTGGGTTATACAAAGACTGATGTCTATCTAATTGACATTGATGGAAATGGAAAACTTCCACCAGCTCATGTTAAGTGTGAGTTCCAGCATACAGAAGATTCCACAAAGACATTAACGATTGTTGAGCATAACCTTCCATCACAAATCGATGTCCGATCGACAGCTCTTGATGACTTTAGCTTTGACATTAAATATCGTGAATTTTCACCGGAAATGTTGCAGGAACTCATCTCACATTCACTCTACTGTACGCAAAATATTCGATATGACTGCTTGAAAGCTCCTTTGGATTTAAATAGTGCAACATGGTTCAAGTCATCACATAAAAACAGCACGACTATTATTGATTTTATTGGGGAAAGTAAGAGGTAAGTTTGGGATATTTTATGAAATTAATGGGATGCTGCTTAGGCAGGGATGAAGCCAGAAGAAGGGGAAGGTTAATTTCAAGAATAACATGACACCAAACCTTCATTCCAGAGGATCATGTACATGCAAACAGAACAAGACCTGTGTAGACCAGAACGAGAGCTGCAACTGTGACAGTGGAAATAATGATAAATGGAACAGTGACGAGGGAACATTTTCAGATCCAAACTCATTAGGTATCACAAGTATGTACTTCATGCAACAGAAGAACCTGGTTGAGGAATCACGCGGAAGGATAACATTGGGTCCACTTAAATGTGTGGAAACTAGTAAGTATATTGTGATGCTTCCTTAATCTTAGATCAAGTTACTTTACAAAACATTACATTCCAGATACTCAAAAGTACGTCGTCACATTCACAACATCCCAAAGTTACATTGAAGTTCCTGGATGGAGAAAAGGTGACATCGCATTTTCATTTAGAACAACAGGAGAAAAAGCAATCCTTCTTTTCCAACCGCCAATCAGACCAAACTTCCCTAGCTTCTTGGTAGCATTGACTGGAGATTATGAACTGACATTTGCATTTACACTGAATACAGGAACTTTAAGAGAACGAGTCATTAATTCAACTAGAAAATTGAATGGCGGAGAGTGGCATAAGATTTGGATAGATTACAATGATTATCATGTTAGGTTTATGATTAATACGAATGTTGATATGGTTGATTTGTTGCCGGAAGAGCAGTTTGGACCTTTTGAGGTGAGTTGATAATATATTTAAGCTTGTAGGTGAAGCTGGCATCTTAAGAAGCATCTCTTTTGCATTACTTGGCATATCTAATAATTAATAATAATTCCAGGGAAGCATGTTTATCGGAGGAGCCACAGCAGATCTACTCAAAAAAGCACCAGTCAAGCAAGGTCTCATTGGATGCTTCAGAGGTCTCGTAGTCAATGGAAAAATTCTTGACATTTACAGCTACATGTCAGTTCATCTCTCTGAGATTATCAAAGACTGTAAGCCATCATGTGTACCTAATCCTTGTAAAAACGGTGCTCAGTGTAAGGAGTTATGGTCAAACTTCAAGTGCGAATGTAAGAATCCTTGGGCTCATGTCGGAGAATATTGTGAAATCAGTAAGTTATTCCTCAATCCTTGTTATGTCCAAAATATCAACTGTCTTATCTAATTCCAGACCACAACGACAAAGCGTTAACATTCACAAATAGTCAATCATACCTGAAAAAAATCTACGTCAACAACAGCGACGGCGAGTTCTTGCGAGCTATTTTAAAGGAAAACTTTTTAGTCAACATTCGTACTTACGATGATCGCGCCTTAATATTGTATGCTCATGACAATTCAAACAATTTCGTACATCTACACATATCAAATGCTGACGAGGTTATTTATCTTTACAATTATGGCAATGAGATTGTAAACTTGACAGTTAAGAGTGCTGGACTTAATAATGGAAAGAGCATACAAATTGCTGTGATGAAAACTGAAACGTCAACAACACTTCATGTCAATGATCTAAATGTAACACATGATAAGGGCAATCTACTATTGACTGAATATTCAAATAAGCCATGGACGAATCCACAGCTTGAGGTTATTAGTCCACACAGACCACCGGCACCAACTATATCTTACTTCCAGTTTAATATTGGTGGATATGATCAGACGAACTTGTTGAGGGTGAATAATAATACATTGGATGGATTAGTTGGATGCGTTAGAGGTTTAAGAATTGGAACAACAACAATTGATCTTGCTGAACTAGCTAAGACTAACGAGGCTGATCATACTGATGGTGTCCTTAATGAATGTCAAATGATTTGCGACACTGAGCCTTGCAAAAATGGTGGAATCTGTTTTGAGAACTTTGCTAAGTCTGCAGAGAAGCCATTGTGTAATTGTGAAGGCACAAGCTTCACTGGCGAGTTTTGTACTGAAGATCGAGGTGGTGAATTTTCTGGCGAGGCTGGTTTGGAAAGAAAGTTCGTATTTAATGGAACTATCGACCAGATTAAGTTACAAATGGCTTTCTCAACTGCTGATGTAAGAGGCATGCCAAGAATGATGTTGTTAATCCAGACAGAATCATCTAAGCAGTATTTGAGAATAGCTTTAAATCCTGAAGGGGAAATTGAGTTTCATGAAGAACGTGAGCATGTCATTTACACTCACACAGCTAAGAGATCAACTCCAGAAGATAATTTTGCTAATGGCAATCGTCACTCGATTTTATATAAAAGAACACTCGATGATGCTGCTCTGTTTATCGACCGAACTATGGTAAATCTTACAAAAATGACAAAACACCCTGAACCTGAGCAATCAGTGCCAATTCCTGGAATCACAAATCGTTTATTAATTGGAATTTCTAACTCAACTCTTGACCCACGATTCAGCATTTACAAAAGTTATAGTGGCTGCATTTCGAATTTGTTCTTAGTGATCAACAACGAGACAATGGATCCAGTTGATGAATACATGATGTTTAAGAAAGATGGATCAGAACATACAAAAACATTGAATCCATCCGGTGTACGATCGACGCAATGTAACGTGCAGTTTGATATAATAAGAAAGTTGATTGATGAACCGCTGTTGAATATTAGTTTAGGTAAGATTAAAAGATTAATCCTTGTGGTTGATGACTAAGGTAACTCCCAGGTGCTGGTTATTTAAACTATCCTATGCACTGGAAGGGGGTTGAGTTTCCCGGCTACTCCTAAAAGCCAGCTCATAACTTACGAGTAAATTTTAGACAGTTTCGAAACCACTGATAAGTAGGATCTCAATTGGTTCTTGATGAGCCATTTCTTGCATAAACTAGACTCCAAAACATCAAGCCTCCATTTACGTAAAGTTCATTCAAATAATTATTTTACACGTCTTCTCAAATATTTACAAGCTTCTTTACCTCTTTAATTAATATATATCCACAATTAATTTTCAAGGTACAGATAAGAACTGGGTGGAAGAGAGTCCAACACGTAAACCATACAAACTAGACTACGTCGATAACGGAGAAAAAGAGGAGCAAACACAATTTGTTTTCATAATTTTAATTACAATCTTTGTCGTCATCATAATTTGTTGTATAATTGAGGTTTATAGAACCGACAGAGCTCATAAAAAGCGAGTTGAGAGAGAAACGGATGAGAGTATAATTTGGGCAAAAGAACAAGCTACAAAAATGCATGAGTCATCGAGTGCTAGACTATCATTTAAGTCTATAGCATCAGATCATGATAATGAGGCAAAGATTAAAGTCATCAATGAGCCAACACCACCGCTTGTTGGAATTTTAAAGAATGGAAGTGCAAAGCCAAATGTTGAGTATGATAAGCCAAATAAGGAACATCCAGTTATAAGAGGTAAGTTAATTAATTTAATTTTAAGGCATGGGTGCTTGAGATACTTTTGGGATATACATCAAATTTTTATTTACTCAACTATCCATGCCTCAATCCTCCCACTGCATCCAAATGACATTTTTTTTTCAAATCCGCACAACCATTTTCTGATTCTTAATAGACAGCCAATTAATTGATCACGAACCTGGTTGGGATTCATTTATGCACGGATCCCAAAACTCTCTCAAATCACCAAATTCTGATGATGATGCCACTGAGTCAGACATGTTGGTAAGCACGAATCCAACTTCACTAATGAATGCTGCACCACTCTCTAGTATATCCGAAGTTACATTAGATAAGTTTGGTTTAGATGATTGAAATGGAATGGAATGTACTTAAGTAGATAGAAGTCAATTAATATATTGAGTAGCGTTATGCTGCTTAAGCTCATGATCCTCGATTTTTTTTTTGGAATGAGGATTTCTAGTGTCATGTTAGTTTTAATTTATCAGTAGCTTCTAGTCAGTGTTGATGTAAATTTTAAATTAGTATTGTAAAAGTGCGTAGAATTGAATTTATAGAACAGCCGATCTTTAAGATGCATGAAAATAAAGAAAATTTGTTCAGAACTCTTGAATATGTTGGTGGACGTTAGTTAATGACGCTCATGAAAAAGTCGTTGATTTTCACAGTTTGGACAAGAGCTCAGAGTACAAGGAGTCGACTCCGTCATACAAAATCGATGAAAATCTCAAGTCGACTTCGAGCTCTGGTTTAGACAGTTTGATTTTAAACTATTTCAGTGATATAACATTGCATGCTGTTAAGTTTTATAGCTTGAAATGATTCTTTAAGGACATAATTGGATTTTTCTTGGCATGTTAGCATGAATTTCCTTGCATGGAATTTCTAGGTAAGTTCTAAGATATTGCAGCGTACGTTGTCACTCAAACTTAAGATTTTATTAATTATCCAATTAAAAACTCTCCAACAGGCAAGAAGCGATGATCCAATCGACAAGTCAATCAAGCTTTCATTCAAACCAGCAAGACCACGACAATTGTCGTTTCCACCTCCAACATTAAACACCCAATTACCATTTAAGCTTGAAGAAGAAGCTGACGAAGAAAGTGATTCTGAACCTAAGTCGAATGGTCTTTGAAACTTTTTATAAAAAAATAGTATTAATCCCTCTTGAAGGAGGTTTGTCAGACTTTAGATGAAGATGTTAAGGGTTGTCACTGATAAATGATGTCTCTAAGCTTAATTTTTGACTACGCAGCTGTTAAGTATGCTTAAAAGATTCAAATTCATGCACAGCAGCTTCATTAAATTCTGACAAAACCTTACAAACTCCTCAAATCAATCCTGTTGTTGTGATAAACCTCGAAAAAAGAAAATAATGAAATTTTTTTTAATAAAAACTCCAACTGATTTTTCCAGATAATTTTAAAATAATTTTAAGTTTTATTTTTTTTTGTATTCCATTCATTTATATCCTTTAAATTTTAAAGAATCTTTTTTTTGCCACAAATATTTTTTTTATTCTTTCGACTTCTTCAGCCATCCGGCCTGTATCAAATGTTTCTTGATTCGTTTTTCAACTGGGTCCATATCATTAATCTTTGAGTTACTTAATAAAACAGTTTTGATGGTTATATAGCGGGTTGGTGGTAGATTTAAAGAGGAACAAAGCTGAAAGAATTGAAAATATGGGATATTAGTGCTGTTATAAGGCTGAGAGGATGGTGAAACTCACCTGATGTTCGTTAAACGTTAATAGTGGAGCAGCGACCTGCATCGGATCAATTGTCTGCATATTATCCAAGGAGTTTTTGCTGTTGGATGATCCGGCGCATGATTTGAGGAAGTCTGTGCGGGGCATGGATTTTGGGCCTGTGGAATTTGAGCTTGTTTCCTTTTCGGCGTCTCTGTTGAGGCAAAGAAGGTTTAATTAAAGTTGTGGAATATTATAAACTTGCTTAGGAAGCTCGGTAGGCTCTAGGCTTCATATTTCTCAAGTTAGAGCAGTCCAGAGCTGTAAAAACCCAGATAACGACCCCCAAAACTTACTCTTTTTTTAGCAGTTCCATTTGATCCAATCGAGGCTGCTGATATTTCATTGATGTGGTTGCTACTGCCATTTTGTCGTCTAGATGCAAAATGGCTTCTTTTTGGTGCTCCTGCAGAAATATGTCGTACGTAACAACCATTTGCTCCACTCAAACATGCAAGCTGTGAGTTTTAAGAATAAGATACCGATATAGATATACAGTCATCAAATTTTTTGTTTCAGAAAGTAAGAAAATTTTTTCACAGAAAAATTTCAAAAAAAAGTTAAAAAAAATTCGAAAACAAAATTAAAAGAAAAAGTTTTTTTTACAGAATTTGAGTATTGAGAAAATCTTTACAATCATTGAAGGATTCAGTGAATTTTTTTCATTTCAACTTTTCCACAATGCTTAATTCTCAACATCTCGACAGCTTACATGTAAGAGAGTTTTTTTTTTTGTTAAATTTTTAAACGTTTTTAAAATTTATTTAAATATATTTTTCATCATAGACTAGGAATAGAAATTAATTTTTTTTAAAATAAAAATTGTGCGAAAAGTTGAATGAAAAATATACTTTTTTTGTTGATGGGCTTTATGGTATTGGGTCGTTCACTTATGACGTCCGAATTTAATGGTCATTTTTCAAAAAAGAACAATGGATATCCAGGAATTCCTTTTGTTCTTTTCTTGATGACCATCAACCTCCTGGACGTAATAAGTGAACGGACCCTAAATGAAATGGATATAAAGTCTACCAAAATATTATATGTTGGAATTAAGCGCATTTTCTGAAGTTGATGTTTTTAAAGCATTGCTAGCTAGCATGACACTTGAATCTAGCTGATTTCGATTTATGTTGACACTCCATTAAGTAAGGTCTTTAAATCCAATTTTGTAAATGAAAAGTGATCACGTAAATGGCTAAAGAACTCATGGAAAGAGGCTGTTGATAGAGACAGTGTTGCATTTGGAGTCGGCAATTGGCAGGCTAGCGATAGAGCTAGTTTAGGAGACTACTAAGGGAAGTCATAGATCACAATTGATCTGTCCGAACAGCAAAGAAGAAAATATTGATTTATGTTTGAACACTAATCAATGGTTGGGATTCGAACCCGTAATATTCTTAAAAATGATAATTTTCAGATATTTGATCTATAAGCTAATAGCTCAGGTATAGTTTTAATCTTAGATTGGCAAATTAGCCTTAAAAGGAACGTCCTCAAAGATGAAATAGTAATAGTACTCAATAATTAAATCTGTAAGTGCAGATCAACTTAGTTGTGTATTCAAACTACTCAATCTCATCTTAGCAACATCAAATCAACCACCATCAAAACTTAATCCACATTGACAAATCATCAGCATCTTCCATCAAAACTTCATAAAATGCGCCCAAATAAAAAAAATTCCAACAAACTACAAAAATGTGCATCAAAAATAAAAGAATTCCAACTCACTTGTTTATAATGACCAAATCCAAATGGACACGATGTTCGATGATGATTGGCTGCTGCATGCTTCTCAAAATGTTCACACTCGTCGATCTTAGTCAGTCCATTCCATCGATATCGACACAATTCCGTAAGTCTTATACGTAAAATTCTCTCACGTTCCAGCGAATAAATCAATCTCTCAAATGCATCATTTGAATAGAATTGACGAAAATTTTTCAGACTTAGTCGCAATCCTCTCTCGTCTTTCGTTTGATTAATGCCTTTACCTTTTCCATTCTCAAATTTTCTAAAGAATTCTTGTATTAATCTATAGTCTCGAGCAATGCGCTTCTTTCGTGCACGCTCCCTTAATCTTCGATTATAAATATCAACTACTGCCAATTTTAATGCCGATTCTATTTCATCGTCATCGGACGTTAGTGCTAAATTCGATACTAATTGTTCTGCAGTCACATCGTATTCACGCTCAAAGTCATCACGGTATGGCATGTAGCCGAGTTGAGCTGCATGCTCTTGTGTACAAACTTCCATACTTGATTCTGAAAATTTCTCTACTTGTAATTCATCTATGGATCTATCATCAACGGTTGTGTGATCTGTTAGTGTTAATTTTTGTTCCTTTTCAAACTTCCATGTATGCTTTCCTATTGTTCCATTCAGGAATTTACTAATGTATTCATCCTTCGCCTCCTCTGGACTCCTTGTTTCAATATCTTTTGAGATATCATCCCAATTACCAAAGCCATAGTGCTCAACTGCTTTTAATAATTTTAATTCTTCTAATGCTGAAAATGCGCCTTTTCCACGAAATATTGTTATTGCATTTGGGTCCTAAAAAAAAATGTGTGTAAGAAAGGTCAATGAACTTATTACAGTCATAATATCGTGGTTAGATCCAGAGATTCTCAAACTTTTGTTAATGTTTTGGATGTATTAAGTGTATTGTTATTGTGTGTGGGATGTATTTTTTGTTTATAAACGTAAGGTTTGTATTTGTTTGTGGCTTTGTTTATGTTTGAGAAATTTATGGAACCGAATATAACAATTGTGATGTGTGGGAAATATAGTGGTTCGCAAATAGTAAGTTTATTCTTGATAAATATTAAATTTGAGATTAATCTGTCTAAAAAATCAAATGTGTTCACATCTGTGAACTAGACTTATTCTTTTTGTACTGAACTTATCATTTTGTAATGAACCTATTCTTTTGTACTGAACTTATACTTTTGTACTGAACTTATTATTTTGTACTGAACTTATTTTTTTTGCACTGAACTTATAATTTTTGAACTGAACGTATTCTTTTTGTACTGAACTTATCCTTTAGAACTAAACTCATCCCAAAACTTATAAGAATATTGTAAATTCGTGAACAACTAAAATATTATTTGTTATCTCATTTTTAGGGTACCTGACCCTTGTCACTAGTGCCGAAAATAAATTGCCTTAATTACCCCTTGAAACCGAACAACTGATCTTATTCCAATAATTGAACATATCCCAACACAATTTTGACATCAAAGATTAAAATTTTGACGATTTCATCAAATTTATAAAATGGACGAAACTAAACTTATCCAAAATTGTAGAATAGACTTAATTTAATGCTGATTTATTGGTGTGGAATCTCCTGAGCATTACAATCTGATCTATCGAGGGATTGAACTGCCATCAAATACATTTTCCTGTTCATAGTTTTTCAAAACTAAACGTATCCTACATTTTGATCTTATTTTGACAAGTTCATTTAAAAGGATAAGTTTAGAATGAAGGACACGTTTAGTTTTGAAGAACTATGAACAGGTAAAAAGATCCGTAATTTTAAAACCTAGAATGATTCCGAAAAAATATCCAACAATCCTTAAAAAAAATATAAAATGTTAATCGTAAAAGCTTGTAAGAGTGTTATAGCTTCGTAAACTCTCACGGTTCATTGAGAAATCATTCAACCAATTGAATTATTGAGAAACTCCAAAACAACAACAACAATAACCGCAACTATGCCGCAATATTTTTATGAAAAGAGTTTGAGAATCACTTGTTTATAGCCTCAGATACGTACATTAAAACTATATGGATGTGAATTTTTGTGAGGTCCTAATTCTGCGCCCGATGCAAAACACTGCAAACACAATACAAGCATAACATCTTGACAACTCGGCTCATGACATTGAACTCGAACACCAGAAATTGTTTCTTGACAATTTGTACATTTATATGTTGCAAACAGAAGTTCTGTTGTACGCAGAGGGGAGGAGAAGAACATACGTTAAAAATGATAAAATACGTTGACTTGACGTATAATTACTCACCAGCAGACATTTTTTATTTTTTGGTATATTCCAGAAAAATTTTATGAATTTTTGTTTGCAGAAATGAACTTTTTACATTAACTAGCTTTTATACATAATTAGGTTGCACGGGAAACATTTTTAAATTAAAATCAACATTTTTATATCGAATTTTTTTACAATTTTAGTGAAACTGTACTTTCGGATATTCCTCAATAATTCTTGCACTAGAGTTGTAAATTTCACAAAATCATAACAATAACCATCACAAATTAAAAGTTTATAATATAAATAAAAACTATTTTAAAATAATAGACACAAATTTTTATTTTTTAAAATTAAATTTCTCTTAGTCAAATTAAAACAAACCGTTCAGTCGCTTACGTGTATGGCGTTTACATATGAGAAATACGTACGTAAAATATTTAAAAAGTTTATCATATTTGAAAATATGGTTGAATTTTTTACTGCCGTTAAAGTTATTATGTTGGTTGAAATTGTATTTTAAATTGTGATTTCATTGATTTTGTTTTAAATTCGACTTTCTTTATGCCTTGATGACAATTTTACAATTGCGTAGAGTTATAAGGTCTTCAAATCCGATTTTGTAAATGGAAGGAGATCACGTAGAAAGCTAAAGAACTCATGAAAAGAGGCTGTTGATAGAGACAGTGTTGTATTTGGAATCGGCAATTGGCTCACGGTAGCTAGCGATAGAACTAGTTTTAGGGGACAAGTAAGGGAGGTCATGGATCACAACTGATCTGTGCGACCAGCGAAGTAAGTAAGTAGAGTTATAAGCTACCGAAGAAAGTTTCTAATAGAATTTGACAGCAATTTAGATAAAGAAACAATTCAAAAATCAAGTTTTAAGTTCATAAAGTCGTCTATTAAATTTAAAACCTTGTTTCAATGCTGAAATAAAATGAGTCAGAGTTAAAGCTTTGATTAGAAAGCAACTGAATAATCAGATCAATACCTTAGTCAATTATAACTGATTCCACCCTTTAGACTACTGTTGTCCAAACTGTGTGCCGTGGCACATTGATGTGCCGTACAGTTTTTTTGTAAATGACGCGAGCCACATCCTGTCTGTGACTTTGGTAATGGCTTACCTTTAAGGTGTGCCGTGGCTTAAAAAGTTTGGACAACACTGCTTAAGACCTTTAATAGACGTAATTAGTCAACAAACCCATCGGCACACATAGAAATTCGTTGAAATATTGGAAATGGCTTAGAAGCGCTTGCCGCTTTGTGCCCGCTGGATGTGCAAACATTTCAATGTGTGCCGATCGGGAAACCTATTCAAATTCTTTTGTTATTCATAATTTTTATTTATTCTTAAAACTTTCTTTAATATCCTAGCAAATAAGGAATATCATCATATGGCACTATGTAATTTATCGCAGTGCCAACTGATCATTTTCTTTATCAGCTACGATTAACTTTTATTATTTTAATGAAAACAATTTTATTAAACTAACAATTAAAGTTTTGTCTTTTATGAAATTGAGCAATAATTTCTCATCAACAGTAATTTGTTAAAGAAAGTAAGGTAGATTATTTTTTATAGTCGGGTTGGTTTGTCTTGTTGTTTGGGAATGTCATGCAAGATTGACTGCTGATATTTTTAAGCCATATCGGCTGGGTTTTGAGATGAACTGTTAAAACGACCAAAGAGGTCGTTCACTTATGATGTCCATGGGGGGGGGGGGGGGGGGGGGGTCAGCTAGAAAAGAACAATAGAAATTCATGGAAATCCATTTTTCTTTTTTTAAAAAATTTCCGTTAATTTTGGACGTCATAAGTGAATGATCCCCAATGAAGATTAAGGACATCACTAATTTTAACTCATTTAGCACTTTTTGTCACTAGAGATGGGGTTTTCTCTTAACTTACTGACTGTATGATTATAATTTGGATAAGTACTTGTAATGTGCTACTCATGAATTGCATATGCTTATCATTTCCTATTTATATTGTTAAAGATTGTCACTTAAGTGTCTGCATTTGCATCACTAAACCCAACAACCAGCATTGCCTCAAAAAATTGAATTCTTCAAAGACAAACCAACCCCAAATCTCACTTGTGATCATTAGATTTTTTTACAGGAATGAATAATTAAAGCATTTTTATGTACAAAATTTGAATGTTTCTGTAAAAATAGCTATAACTCAAAAAGTTAACATTAAATCTATCATCTATAAGACTTTTCATCCTGATATATATAAAAAGGCTGTTGAGCTTGCTGCTGCTGATGTTGTTGTTGCATTTGATGCTGTTGCATTTGTTGCTGTTGCATTTGTTGTTGTTTTTTTTTTTTTTTTTTTTTTATTATTATTCTCCTTTTTATTCTTTTTATTCTTTTACACAGAGGAAAAGCCTCCTTAAATGGTACTTAAACCATTTAAAAAGGCATAAAAACCTCTGCATTAACATGCAGTATAGTATATAAAAGAAAGTTTCAATGTACAAATACCTTGAAGAAACTTAAATTTAACAAACAGAAAAATTAACGGTCATTCTTAATTTGAAGAGAAAAATTATAACTGACAAAACAAACATTTGAAACATTTTGTCATCTCAGAAAAAAAAAAAAAAGTGTTAAGAACGTAAACAAAAGTGCATTTGTGTAAATAAATAATCTAAAGGATGTTAGGAATTGAAAAAGTGAGCTGAATAATACAGAATCGGAAGAATTGAGTACTATGGGAACATCTGGATTGTGATTTTCTGCTTAAACTGGACATTAGATAAGTTTTTTTTAATTTTTCGTTCCCATTTCTGTTTTGTTGATTGCGACAATTCTCTTTTCCTCAATTTCAGATTGAATTATGTAAACTTTGACAGGAAATCTCCACAAAAGCAGCTATCAATGAATACTGGATCATTCATATGTCTTCTTAAAGACCATTTTAGAGCATGAACATGTCTGGATTCTTGAATTTCTTTTGACAAGCTGTTGAAGATTTTTGGTCCGATCGAATTTGAGTTTTTAGTTCCGTAAGTTGTTCTTGCCTTCATTGGAATTATATATTTTCTTCTTTTAGACTGTGACATTACGAAGGAGACATTGGTGAATATATTTTTGTGAAGGATATTGTATGTCATGACAGCTGACTTTAGCATAAAGATGCCTCGTATTGGGAGGATTCCATCAACTTTTTCAACATACATTACTTGTCTTGACATCAGTCTATCAAGGTCGAAAACGTTTCGAAGAGCTCTATTCTGGATGATTTGAAGAGGCTGTATGAGTGAGTCAGTGGCACTTCCCCAGATTGTTATCAAATATGCCAGGTGAGTTTCGAAAAGCGATTTGTAGATAAGTTTTTTAACATCAGTTGGTAGCGTCTTCTTTAACTTCCACAAAATTCCTGCTGTACTTGCTAATTTTGACTTTACATGATTGATATGCTCATCCCATTTAAGACATTCATCTATTATTAGACCCAAGTATTTCATCTTGAATACTCTTTCGATACTGCATATAACTGATTCATTGTTTGAGCAAGATCCACATTTAATTGAAATCTCTTGTATGCTTTCCACTTTCATTGTTGGCGGATGCACAATCATAAATTTAGTTTTATCGACATTTAAGAATAGACTTTGATCATTTAGATATTCCATAACTTGTTCCATATCATGACATATTTTATGCTTCACATTTTCATTTGGTGCATGTTCATTGACAAGAACGCAATCATCGGCATACATGAAGAACTTTCCATTAGTGTCAAGATTTGCTATTGAATTTATAAACAGTATAAATAACCAACTACCAACCGTACTTCCTTGTATGACTCCTCGCGTGAAGGATCTTGATTCACTGTAGCTATTTCCAATCTTGACTTTTTGCTTACGATCAGAGAGAAAACTCTTGAAGAGACTTTGTGCTCTGCCTCTTATTCCATAGATTTCAAGACATTGAAGTAATTTATCAATACATACAGTATCGAAGGCCTTCTGCAAATCCATGAAAACTAGCGATGCCTTTGATTTATCATCTATTAATCTTCTAACATGATCAACCAGTTCTTGAGCTGCTGTTTCTGTGCCTGACTTCCTAATATATCCATATTGGTGACGATACATTATCCCTGCATATTCAGTATAATTGACTAGTCTTTTGTGAATAATTTTCTCTACTATTTTATTAAACGTCGTAAGCACCGATATTGGTCGAAAATTGTTGACCATTATTTTGCTACCTGTTTTGTGGATTGGAACGATTACAGCTGTTTTGAATACTTGTGGGAAATATCCAGTTGAGAAGATTCTGTTAGTAAGATGAACAATGTATGGTGCTAATTCAATTTTGAGTTGCTTAACATGAATTGACGTTATTTTATCTATTCCCGCTGCTGATTTACTTTGTAATGATTGAATCATATCCAATACTTCGTCTTCTGTTGTCTCATCGAGAACCATTGATTGCTTTACCGATTTTGTAATTGGCAGTTTTGTGCTGGCAGTATTGTGTTGCAATGTGGTAATGCAATCAATGAAATATTTGTTGAATGTCTCTGCAATTTCCTTGTTTTCGTAAACTAAATCACCATTGTCATTGCTAATTGCTCGTATGCTTGAATCATCTTTATTCCTCCCTAGTACCTCATTTATATTGTGCCAGAGTTTCTTTTTATCTCTTATTCTCAAGGATTTCTGAATATACTTAAGTTTTTCTTCTTTAATTATCCTTTTTAGTTTTAAAGACGCATTCTTGAGGCGCTTCTTGATGACTTCATTCTTCTTGTTTCGTCTGTGCTTTCTTGCCAGTTTGTCTTTCATATTCAGTGACCTTAGAATTTTTAAATTGTACCACACACAAATTTTATTTTCATTTGATATTTTGAACTTTAATGTCTTCGTAGACTTATTGATTGCTTTCTGTGTGACTTCAATTAGTTTTGTTGCAATTTCTTCCGGTTCAAGAATATTTAAAATGTCAGCATCTAATGAAAGCATATCAAAAACTTCTCTGCACTTGGTCCAATTTGTAACTTTTTTCTCGATGATCTTAGGTGTCCTAGCATTCGTCTTTATGCTCGAAATTTGCGAAATGATTGCATTATGATCACTAAGATGGGTTTTTATAGTAAAGTTCGATACACATTGACATTCATCATAACTAATAGTCAGGTGATCTATTATTCTTTGACTGGCATTCCTTGTTACATTGGTGTTCGTAATTTTCATGTCATAGCTATTTAATAAATTCAGGTAGTCAGTAGAGCTTTTATTATCACCACTTGCATCAAGATTTACATCTCCTATTATAATTGTATGCGAACTGCCATCTATTAGTTCTTTTTCAACATCAGAAAGGAACGGTGATAGGGAAGTTGGGGTCGGTTGCCGATAGTAGCATAATACTTTATATTCCTTTCCATTAATGCATGCAACAATTTTGATTTTTTCAAAAGTACTTGATTCTTTAGTCATGCTTCGTATAACAATTTCCTTTTTCACGTAAACTAGGAGACCTCCGCCACTATTTTTTGAATCACGGCAGCAATTGTATTTGACATATCCGTTGATGTGATACAAATTCGATGGAAATCTTGTTTTTAATTTTGTTTCGCCAAGTATAATCATATCACATTTAAAATTCAGGTTATTAAGCACTAATTTAATTCTGTCGAATTTGTGGGTGTTATTGATTCCTCTTGCATTTAGTTGGAAGATTGTAAGTAATTTGTCATCAGTCTTGTACTTATTAAATTCATTGAAACTATCAAAATATTTATCAATTTGCTTTTTATTTAAGGATGAAGTTTCGGTTGACATAGGACAAATGTTGCTGTTTACCAATGACACTGAAGATGCAGAAGATATTGATTGCTATAAGTTACTTGTGGATGCTGATGTTGATGACAATGTGCTAGTTGATTTGGATTTATATGTACCATTGTTTGGTGGCCACGATTCTATGATGTTTAAGTCAGACTCAATTTCAACGGTTTGGATTTGGCTGTCCGATTTCTTAACATGAATCCTGTTATTATTCAGGTAAACTTTGAAATTTTTTTCTTTTGCTGTCTTTTTTACTTTTCCCATTAGCGATCGATTTGCTGGAGTATAGCAGTTGTCAAAAAATATGCCTTTTTTGCTTTTGCAATTTCGTTTTTCCTTCAAGACTCTGATTTTTGTTTGCAAATCTTTAAAGTCTACAACTATCAGTGATGCTTGGACGACACTACCGTTCTTGTTAATGTTTATTGATCTTGTGTATACATAATTAATATCTTCATTTTCAATTTGAATGTTATGCTCTCTGATAACTCCAATAACTTCTTGCAAAAGACTATTTTTATCTTTGCCCGATTTCGACTCATATCCAGTGATTTCCATTCGATTCATTAACTTTTCTTGCATTAAGTAGTTCATGGCTCTTTCTCCATTATCAATCCGCTTTTCATTTCTGTCAATTTTCTTATCCATTGATGCTAACTTTTCATCAGCCATATTCATTTTGTTACTAAGCATATCCATTTTCGCATCTAACTTATTTTCAAATTGACTGTGATCATTTCTCATTTCCTTAAGTTCACTTGACAGAGTACCGAACTTAGTAACAAATATGTCATATAAGTCATTAATTGATCTTTCTGCTTTAATTTCAGGTCCTCTTTTAGTGCTGACTTTGCTTGGTGTATTCACCGTACTTGACAAATCTTGCTCGCGAAAAGTAAACAGGTTCCTCGGAGTGTGGATCGAATTCGATGTTTGTTGATTGAGCGGTGTACTAAAGACATCATTTTTGGACCCTTCCATATTAGGTGGTGTACGCTTCATGTTGAGACTCCCACTTTATTTCTTTATCTGAAAATAAAGACAACAAAATAAACGCAGCAGCAAGCACCTCTTCAGTTTTATTCGTATAACGTACCGTGCAAAGCACTAGACTGTTAGTGAACTAATCGACTAACAGTCTTTTCTGTGCCTAGTGGGAGTCTTTATACTAATGCGATGGAAATGTTGTGCTTCGAACAGTATTTGCTACTCTTAGAAGTCAGAATTAGTTCCTTTGAGATATTGCTGATAAAACCGTTAATTTGAGATTCAAATTTTATTTCACCACAACACACATTAACATATATTGACAATTCACCACTTTCAGCGCGCGCGTTACGTTTGTGTTAGATTCTATTCAAAGACCTTTATTCTTAAAATTCTTAATTAAATTACATTCCACGATATTTATTTATAGTTGTATCAAAGAGTTCGAGTATTAAGCTAAGAAGTTGACCACTTTTCAATCCATAATAGATGAAGCTTAACTTAGAAAATTAATGTCAAAGTATTTCTTTTGTTCTCTTCTTTTGTCTTTCAATATATAATCATAAGTTAATTAAATAGCCAGTAATTTTGATATCCTTTATATGATTTTAGTCACTGAACTATAGATTTATCACATTTAAGCACTTTTAATATTGTAATGTATTTAAATCCTTAATAATTTTACAATAACTTTTTCCGTCACCGAGATTTTTTTCTCTTTCGTCTTGGAATTTTTGTTGTTGCTGTTGCTGCTGTCCATTTATAGACATCCGACTCATTGTAGCGTAACTTTGCCTTAGCGATGCTTGTGACGATGATGACATTTTGTGAGGAAGTGTGGCATAGCTTTGTGGTGCATATGGAGGCACTCCATAAAGTGTTGGAGGTGAGCTTTTGTAATTCATTTGTACGCTGCCTGGTCCGAGTGACATTGGTGGAATTCCAACTAAATGTGTAGGATAATGAGGTCCAGTCATCCTTAATCGGACGATACAAATGACAATAATTAAGATGGCAATGAAAGCAACAACACCGCCTACAATTCCAATAATCAATGTATCATCATTTGTTAATGTCTGCTTGACTGGCTGTGATTTTGTCTTAATTTTTGCTGACTGTGTAATTGGGACACTCCAAATAATATCAGGCTCAGTCGTTGTAGCTTTTAATAAAATTCGTGATGATGGTCTTGGCTGTGGGAGTAAAGTTTCAGGCTCGTCTTGTTGCTGCTTTGTTGTTGAGACATCTGTTGTTGCTTTCTTTGGATTGCATGTCAGTTCATCATCTCCAACTTCAACTAATAACCGTCCATGAAGGTCATCTGGAGTTACGCATCTAATTGTCTCTGACATAAGTGAATTCGGTAGCCAACGCCTTAATGCTCTTGAATTGCAGTCACAATGGATTGGATTGCTTTCTAAACCTGACAATGTTAAACTGTTTCTACGATCTTCAAGGGCTAGTAAAAGTTGAGGTGTAAGGACAGTCAACATTGAACCTGAGACATCGAGATGAAGATTTGCAGATCGAGGAACTGGGAAGAGAATTGCTGGCGCTAAAGTTGATAATGATGTGTTTCTAAGCTTAATGTACAAGTCTTTGGATTTGAGGCCAGCTAAGGAACTGCTGGAAAGTGATTTTAGTCTATATCCACGAAGTCCTAGTTCCTTTAGTCTTGGATGATTTGATGGCTGTAATTGGTCACTTCCAACAGCTGTATCCTTGATTTCAATATCTAAAACTTCAAGTCCAGGAAGTTCGTTGAGGATTCCTTTTACATCCATATAGCCAAGTCTTGGATAATCATACGCTTGAAGATTTGACAAGTTTGGTAAGTTCTTAAAAGCCATTTTCTCAATTCTTGAGCATTTCTCTAAACTATGGATTGACAAACTCTTCAGCATCTCCAAATTATCAAAGTCTCCTTGCAGAAGTGTCTCAAATGGATTATCTGACAAGTTCAGAGCTTGAAGAAGTGTCAATTTCGGCCAGATTAGTGACAGTTTAGTGAATGATGAAAGCTTATTGCTTGACAAGTCCAATGACTGCAATAAACTCGCTCTCTCAAATATTTGTTCATCAATCTTCTCAATGTTATTGCCTGACAAGTTCAATGTCTGTAAGAATGGAGTTTCTAGTGACGAAATTTCTTTGATTCCAGTTCCAGCTAAATTTAATTCCCTGATTGTTTTTGGTTCACTAAGGACATTCTTTATAGCTTGTTCAGATAAAGGATTGTAGGATAGGTCGAGTTTCTTAACATTAATCATGACGCTGTCATCACTCGGGATTTCCCTGATTTTATTGTGACTTAAATCTACAAAGCTGACAAAGAAGTATTGACGATGAAGAGCCTTAAGAGGTGGATTCTCGAATTTATTGTTGGACAGAATGATATTCTCAAGCATTTGAAGTTTTGATCTTTCAAATAAGCCATCCGGCAATTCACTTAGGTGATTGTTGTCAAGATTCAAAACTTCAATTCTTGTCAATCCCTCGAATGTTCTCTCAGCAAGTCGTTCAAGCTTATTATGGCTCAAATCGATATACTGCAACTGTGATGAGTTATGGAAGGCCATTTCACTCAAAGATTCAAGACTATTCATTGACAACAACAGCTGCCTTAATCGAGGTAATCTTGCAAAGTCCAATTCCTCAACAGTCTTCAACTGATTATGTGACAAGTCAATTAATTCCAAAAACTGCAGCGATTGGATATTTGAAGATGGGAAATAACTAAATTTATTGTTTGATGCATACAGTTTTTTAAGCCTTGGATGAATACGGAATGATGTAGGAAACAGATAAGTTAATTGATTTTCTGAAATGTCAAGCTCTTCCAAGCTTGTACCCGTATTGAAGATTTCGCCTTTAAAAATACTAAGTTCATTTCCTTTCAATGAAAGTTGCTTGATATTCATGACATTAATGAACGATGCAGGACGGATTGTTGAGATTTTATTGTCCGATAAGTCGATGAGCGTCAAGTTTCTCATGTTTGTGAATGTTCCTTCAGTCAGTTCCTGAATCTTGTTATTTTTCATGTAGATTGCCTTCAAATTTGGAGTTCGTGCAAACATCTCTGGGAAGATCGATTTCAATCCAATATCAGAAAAGTCAATGACCTGTAGCTTATTCAATGAATGAATCAACTCGACTGGAATTGGAGCTAAATGGTTATTATGACTCAAATTCAAATGAGTTAATTGCTCAACACCATCGAATGCATTGTCGGGAATGTCAACGATATTGTTATGACTCAAATCAAGCTTCTTCAATCGCTTCAGACGGAGTGGATTGTTGCCAACATTTGTAATTTTATTCTGTCCAAGTCGGAGTTCCATTAATGAATTTTCAAGACCGAAAAACATTTCAGCATGAATTGTTGCTAAGCTGTTACCAGAAAGGTCTAAATAGAGAAGATTTTTGAACATTTGAAAGCTTCCACCTGGAAGTTCTCGAATGACGTTTCTTGATAATGACATATAGCGGATATCTTCTGGTTGTAGAGAGCCTAGAATGTCTGATGAGAGAGCAGCAACACGGTTGTAGTCGAGATAAAGGTTTGACAGCTTCGGGAGACGACCTAGAGCACTGCCTGGGATCAAAAGAATGTTATTGTCTCGAATGATGAGGGTTTGGAGGTTGTTAAGACCTTCCAAGGCATCGTCTTCAATCTAGAAAAATAAATGGATATATTAAAGACCTAGAAAAGTAACAGAATAAGATAAACTTACTGTTCTCAAAGAATTCAAGCTCAAGTCCAAGAATCTCAACATCTTTTGTTCTCTGAAGGTTCCTGGTTGAATAGAAGCTATGTCATTCCTACTAACATCCAAAATCTGCAACAACTTCATTGACTGCAAATGTGTAGAATCCAAATTCTTAATAATATTTGATGACAAATTCAAGACTTTCAGATTTTCCAAATCCTTAAGTGCCACAAGTGGAAAGCTCGCAATGAAATTTTCAGACAGATCCAATTTCTGCAACGTTTTAATTCCCTCAAAGACATCGCTGTTCATGCGGCTGATCAAATTACCAGACAAATAAATTTCTTTAATTTTCACCAATTGTCCAAATGCATCGCCGTCAATAAGATCAATTCGATTATTTCTCAAGTCAATTTTCTCCAAATCCGATTGTGATGAAAAGGCATCGGATTTAACATTTTGTATGAGATTTCCACGCAATGATAAGACTCGCAATGATGTTGGCCCATTTAATGAGTTTGTTGGAACTTCGGTCAAGCTGTTTTCATCCATTATGAATTCCTGTGGAGATTTAAATTAGCAATGTTGAGAAAATTAATGGAAATGTTGGATATAAAGAGTGTTTTTTGAGAATTATTTTCCATTGTGGACAAATTTTGAAATTGTTGAGTTATTTAATAAGTTTAAATGAAAATCAATTCAGCTTTATATCGAAAAGCAAGTGATTTAATATAACTGACTTTTCAAATTCAAATTTTTGCAGTCTGTCATTTTGAAATTTTCTCCACTTCAAAAAGTATTTCACAAATTAAATGCATTTCAATAATCAATTTGCATCTTATTAAACTCAATAATTGTGTAAAAAGATGGCAAAAGCTCATCAAAATGCATGCATCTAGTTTAAATTGCATTTAGGTCAAGATTTTTTGTGTAAATAGGTTTGACTGTTTTCGAAATTCGTAGAAATTTGCTTCTTACTTAATAAAAATAAATAAAACTCACCTCCAAGTTCTCACATCCTTTCAATAATCCACGCTCAATTCCACGAATCTTATTAGCCGACAAATCCAACACTTGTAGGTTAGAAAGCGACGTAAACTCAACCGTGGAAAAGATTGGATTCAACGCGTCACCTAATAAATTATTTGTCAATCGAAGTTCCACTAATGTGTCCTATAAATGTGTTAAATAAATTCAAATTGCCATCATAAATAAAAAAAAGTCACAGACAAGTTGCATGCGTATAAATGCGAGAGAGAAAATGCAAAAAAAAAGTTGTACCTGTATTCCATTGAATGCTTTATCTGACAATCTTCTTATGGAATTGTATGAGAAATCGAGTTTTGTTATCGGTAAACTTGATGATGCTAACGTCTGTGATGACCATTCATTAATTCCAATACATAAAGCAGAAAAAAATTGATGCCGCAAAAAATGTCCGTGCATAGAAATAAATATGGATAGATAGAAATAAATAAATAAATGTTTATTCACATAAGCCATTGATGGACGATCATAAAATATTATGGAATGTAAAAAAGAGATGACATACAAAGTAGAGATGAAAGCTTTCACTCGTGTGTTCATTCACACAACAAATAAAAATTATATCTCACGAGGTTCATGTCAATCATCGGAAGCTAAAAAAATATTAGCAGCAATAACTTACTTGGACAGGTAGCAATTGACCCGAGTGTCTTTGTGAAAATGCACTAATCGGTGCTCCTTTTGGAATGTTTGGTGTTTCTGTTGTGAAAATTATTCGATCACAATCCATTCCGATTGATGTTGACTGTCCAATTACTTCTGTTTGTTCAACTCTGCATTTACATGGTATTCGAAGGACTGGACTGAGTTCTGGACATGCCATCCATTCTGATTTAGCGTTCGCGATGAAAATCGTCAGGAGTATTGAGAGAATTTGTGACTGCATTCTGGAAAGACATGAAAATAAGGTATAAAATTAAATCTTATGCAAATTTGAATATTTTTTAATACAAAAATTGGATTTTATTTTTATTATTTTCTCGGAGTATCTCCAGCTGAGCATTCGCAGTCGAGCCTATTTTTATCATTTTTTTATTATTATTGTTTGAAATGTAATGACCAAGAAAACGTTTGAAATCTTTAAAATTAGCTTTCGCGTTATTTTTTGTCAGGTTTTTTGATAAAGTTTGTAAATAAGTTACAGGGTGCCCAAGACGGTCAATTGTTTTATTCAAAAATAATAGTTGAAATTGGACCGAATTGAGCTTAACAACTTAATGAGCGATGATGTGATGCAGTGCATTAGTAATGGTTTTTGCCAGGTTTCTGGTGCTTGATCAGTTGGTTTACATTTTAAACAATTAGCCACAGCTGCTCAATTGCTGTTCCCAGATAATAATGTTAAAATCTATCTAAGCATATATGCAGCCTTAACCCTTAAACATTAAAAATATTTTAAATCTATCATTTCACCCATTGTCAATCAGTTCAACCAGCAGCTAAAAGACCACAACAAAAAAATAAAAATTTTACGGCAATTAAGTTTGAAAAACTTTACAAAATTATGAAATCTGATAAACCATAAACACCAAAGATTTCAAGGTTGATAACTTTTTTCTCGTTAATCGAAAGTGAAAATAATTTGTAACTCTCTTTTTGGAAGTCAACAAGTTTACACAATTGTTTTGGCGTTTTAAAAATTCGATGTAAAAAGTGCAAGTGAAATCATATTTAAGATTGTAAATCCATCGGAGTGGAATACTAGTCATGATGTCTAGTTAATTGATAGCTGTAGTATCGACTAATGATAAATTTGATCTTATGTCAATCTTATGCCTAGTTATTGACTAGTTATAATGTTTATTGAAACTCTCTGAAAGGTTGGTGCAAACTATGCATGCTTGAAAATCCTTTTATTAAGTAGTTTTAGGGTTGTGTGATCGTAAATTGAGGATTGAGCTAATCACTAGCCATAATTCAATTAAATGAATCATCAAACGTATCTGAACTAGCTCTAAAAAAGAAATCAGCTCAATTCCAAATTAATCAGTTCACACGATCTTGGATGAAATTGTGGGCATCAAGTCATAAAACCCAGTAAAGCACACATAAGATAAGACTTTATAACTGCAATAAATACCAAAAAATTTACAATATTTTATCAAAATTAACGTGAGAATTTGTTAAAAGTGAAATTGAATTTAAAAGCTTTAAAGCTAGCTTGTCTAAATTGATTTGGAGGATGTCTTTGTCTGCTATATTCAAGATGGCATGACTGGTCAAGAGGTTGAGTTACCTCCTCTCAAATTAAAAACTTGAATATTCTGATTATTTCAATTTATTTAAACATAACAACACGCACGATTTTGAGCCTTATGATTGAATTGATTTGCGTGAATTGAACATCTTTACTTCCATAAAGAATCTCATGTCAGAACAAATTCTAAAGCAAATCAGAAAATACAAAAGATTTAAACGCCTTAACCTCACACATCCGAAAAACTCATTAATAGGTCAATTGGAAGTGCAAAATTCCTCATCATCGATTCATGAAGCACGATTTCATCCGAAAAGAGGAAAAAATGAGGTTATTTGCGGAAATGTAAAATTAATTAACATCAATAATAAAACAAAAGAAGAGGTAGTTTTGCACAGATTTGTTCAATGACTTGAGAAAGCCGGTAAAATTTTTAAGCATGTTATTCACATTATGAGAGTATGTAAACAGACAAAAGAAGAAAATGGTAAGTAAAAATAGAAGTAAATAAGTGGTTTGAGTGGCCCATCAATTTCCTACTTTTTACAACCTCTTTATTACCTCACATGTGCCTCTTTAGCAGGTGTAGGTAGGAAATGTATCTTGACTGTGTTGTGAATTGATGTCTTAAGCGCTTTTGAATGTTAAGGAAACTTATCCAATCGTAAACAAAATTTCTAGAAGATTATTATGAATTTGACAAATAGATTTGATTAAATTTGGGTAAAATCAATTAAATTTGAGCGAATTCAATTAAATTTGAGCGAATTTAATTCAATTTGATCGAATTTAATTAAATTTGAGCGAATTCAATTAAAATTTGAGCAAATCCAACTGAACTTGAGCAAATTCAATTAAATTGAGCAATTTCAAATAAATTTGAGCGGATTCAATTGAATTTGAGCGAATTCAATTAAATTTGAGCGAATCGGATTAAAACTGAGCGAATTTAATTAAATTTAAGCAAATTCATTTAAACTTTGAGTGAAATTAATTAAATTTGAGCGAATTCAATTGAATTTGAGCGAATTCAATTAAATTTGAGCGAATTTAATTCAATTTGATCAAATTCAATTAAATTTGAGCGAATTCAATTAAAATTTGAGCAAATCCATATGAACTTGAGAAAATTAAATTAAATATGAGCAATTTCAAATAAATTTGAGCGATTTCAATTAAAATTGAAGCGAATTGAATTAAATTTGAGCAAATTCAATTAAAATTGAACGAATTTTATAAAATTTTGAGCAAATTAAACTAAAATCATGTAAAATTGTAGCAGATCTATTCAATATAGTATAAATCATAGTTATAGTTCATCCAATGAAGTAATTATTTAATAGATTCAACAAAAATTAGGTGAAAACTATTATTAATTACGCAAATTAAGCTCAATTAGAGCTCAATGAAAATTGCAAGCCGTTCCAAAACTCCAAAATACTCTACAAAAACTATGCATGAGTCGTCAAAAATTTCAAAAATATTTACAGCAATCATGACTAAACTCAATTATTTGCGCATCCACAAACTGTTAAATTATGATTATTAAATGTAATAAACAATAATAAAATTGATTACAATAATAACAAATTACGTAACTGAGCGAAAAACAAATTCTTCAAGTCATCAAGTAATTCGGTAGTTAAATCAAGCAACTGTACCTAAACAACAAGCCCAAACTGTTCACACAAGTGCATTTCTCTCACTTAAAGTTATTTCACCCGCCATAAAACTTTTTTTTACTACAATATTTACATAAAAATCTACTCTAGCCGCATTTCCTTTTCAATTCATTATACAATAAATATTTTGGAAGTACTTCATCGATCAAGTGAGTTGTTGAGAGTCAATGACAATTGAAATATTTGAATATATAATAATCCATCAATACTGGGGGTCCTCGATTTGAGTAGTTGTTTTGTTCCAAAAAATTTCTACTCAAATCGAATCTATTCAAATCGAGGCAAAGAATCAATACAAAATTACATGTTTTGTTCCAGAGTCCAAAAAATATATCAAAACAATGAAAATTTTGATCATTTTTTGCACATTTTACCTCGTTGCTTAACTTTTCCTATGTGTTTTAGATAACTTAATTTATTTCAAGGCACATTCATATTGTTTTTAAACAGAAATTCACAAAAAATATGTTTTTGAAACAAAACAAAAATATGAGAACCTTGCAAATGTTAATTCACTGAACAATTTGTAAGGTTTTTGAATTTGAACTTTTAATTTTATAGCGATTTTTTAAATTTTTACTTTAATTTTGTAACTTTAGTATTGATTTTTCTATCAATATGATAAGTTCACGCTTATTGCAGTAAAATTTATGTTTTAAAAATATTTTCTGAAATGTTTTTATCAAAAATGTTTGTTTTGTAAACAGTTCAAATCGAAGAAAACAGGAAGAAATCTACTCAAATCGAATATTTTGGTGGGTAAAAATTTTTCTGTTCAAATCGAATCTACTCAAATAGAATCTACTCAAATCGAGGACCCCAAGTATATTAATAGACAAATATAATGAAGAGATTAGGAAATGTTTAATAAGTATTTTTTATATATTTTTAGTCGAACATAAATAAAAAAAGCGTGTAAAAAGAAGACGATTTGGATGATAATTTCATTAAACAAGTTTTCTCGTGTAGTGATGTGTTGGCACCATCATCCCATTGGTGTTTAAGTTCAAAGATAAACTTATGTGATTAATTTTTATATAAAGAATCTATTCAGTAAGACGATTGAAGTCAGTTAGTTTGCTAGATCTCCATCGAGAGGCCAATTGGTAAGGTTAGAAGTGGATTTTTATTCCAGTCAGACACACGAAAAAAAAAAATGATCTTCACAAAGGTGAGTAATAAAATTTGCGATTATTCAAGCTTATTACTTATTAAATTTTTAGAAATTTCTACGCAATAATTGCATATATTGATTATATTAACAATAAATTTACTTACTAATATGTCGGTTGAGTAATGAAGTGAATATTGGAAATAAATCGACTTGAAAAGCACTTAATGAGATGAAATTCGAAACTAATCGGATTTATTGGAAGCTTTTCTTGAGAAAAAGAGATAAAAACTTGATTTTGGAATGACTAGTCACTTAGATATTAAATTGACAATAGTGTGTGGTTGTTCTAGGTGACAATGTGTGGAGACTCGAATTTTTATAGTCAATTTTGAACTCTTGCATTTTAAATGCTGTAAAAAATTAAACGAGAATTTTCAAAAAATGCATTAGTGGTGCTATAAAGTTTCATAGTGGTTGAACTTTTGGATGTGACTTGGTGGGGATGATTTGAAAATTCAACAAAAAATGTTTGAAGCATCTAGATTAAAGTTGTCTAAACTGTTTGCCTTAGGACATCCTTAGGTGTGTCGTGGAAAAATATTAAATATCACAATGTTGATGAAGGCACTGAAATTTAACCTTAAACTCATTGAAGTTGCTGCTCTTGAGAGGAAAACCTAGAAAATTTTAATTATTTGATGTCATTCAGCCGGTATGGCACATTCAATATCCAAAACCAGACGTCTTATACTTTTTGTAAAGAACTAAGTCTACCAGCCAAAAAAATTTGGAAATTGAAATTCCTACCAAAAATCAGCATGTAAATAAACATGCAACAAAAACATGCATTTATAATTTATAGACCGAAACTGTTAGTGCCTTTCCAATTAGCAATCAACTGTGTGAATTTCACTGAATCTCAACCATTTCCCTGTAAAAATTCATTCAAAATATTTTGTTGATTTCTTAATCAAGCAAGCTTAACATTCTAGACGCATGCAGCAATCAACGAATGTAGTTCATTAGTCATGATTATAAAAAATATATTTATGTGTGAAAGTTCCCTGATTAGAATTCTCTGGAAGTGTCTAATCCCCAACTGGATTAAATTTCTAAATTCTCTTTTTTTTCAGGTTTTTATTGTATTATTTACAATTCATCACATATGCTGCACACCAGCCGTGGATAAAAGCCCATCAAGTGAGGAAGCAAATGGAAGCTCATCTCAAATTCTTCAACTCAACACACCCGATGAATTTGTAATAACGAAACCTTTGGTATCCGATAAAGTCTACAATGAATTTTTAAATTTCCTCTATCGACATGATTCATTAAAAATACAGTCAAAACAAAAGAGAGAAATTAAGGGAAATGGAAAAACATCAAGATGCCAACACAGGTTTCAATGTTGAATCAAACTCGATTCTGTATAAGCTGTAAGAGATTTAAATTTAAGTGAATACAAAAAAAAGAAGAAGATTCTAAGAAAAAATAAATGATAGACAATAAAAGAATGGAGATGAATAATGAAGAATTTGTGGTTCTGGTATGCTTGAGTGACTAGAGCGCATTTCCTTTTCTAATCGATTTGTAATTGTCTTACGAATTTCTACTGTGTAGTATGAGAATTTTTTTCAGGTTGACGTTAAATGGGTAATTAGAATTGGAAATGGAGTGACAACAAGAAGATTGAGATGTTATGAGGTGGAATCATGGATATTTTGCATTAAGAGCGTGAATACTGTGGGAAATTGTCGTTGACGAAGCTAAGAAATTAGAACTTGCTGTTATGTGTTTCCTATGTTGAGTTTAAGATGGGTAATGTTGAAGCTTTTTGAATGTCAATGTTTATATTTTTAATTGATACTTTAATCTTAAAATCTTTTGAAAAATGAATTTATAAGTAACGGAAATTTGAATTTGACATTCTAGAATTTAAATTTTTAATCACCATTTTGAATTTTTTTCTCACTTCGAAAAGCATTTTTCAAATTGAATGCGCTAAATCAACTCAATTTACCATAATGTTTGCTTTTTCTGTGATAAAAAAGTGGCAACAACACATACATTCGATTTGAACTAAAATTATATCAATAAATTAATGAAATATGCAAATTTAAGTAATTCTGAAGCGAAATTAATTCAGAAAGTATTTTAAGGGTTATGAACTATCCAAAAGAATACAAACTACAGTTTAAAAGAGAAAACATTTCAACTTATCATATTCATATTCATTTTTCCCTGGAATTTCCACTCATTTCGAGTAATTTCTCGCACATTTATCAGCATTTAACAGTTAAATCAATATTGTTAATAGATTAGCTAACGTTTAAAAAGTGGCAACGGTTAAATGGCACAAGATTAATAGCTACAAACACTTTTGCTTTATGATATTTTAATCATGTGAATTGTAAAGAAGAATCCAAAGTGAATAACGCGTCACGTTAATCTCGTGAAAACGAGCTAAACAAATTTATGAAGGGAATAATCATTAAAATTACAGAAAAAAGAGAATCATCATTAAAATAATCATTCTTCTGTACATCTCTTGATCTTTTGTTATGACCACAAGTAAATACGAATTTTTTTTCTGTTGTCTTTCCAGTTCCAAACACACATATTGATGGCAATGATCATTTAAATTTTTTATTCACACATATTTTTTTCCTTCTTTATTGTATGTAAACCATGTAGAAAGTTTTGAGCAATTCTTCTTGTTTCCAAATCAATTCGTGCTATTATGTGTATGCATACACATGTAAGTGAAAAGTTGGTGAAATTGTATTCGATTGATTATAAATTGTTACAGCAAGTGTTTAATTTATAGCTCAACATATATTATGCGTATTTAAAAATCTAGTTTTACGAGCGTGGCACATGGTTATGCTGTTAATTTTATGATTGAGCATGAAAATTCAATTTTGGTTTGGCTTGTAATTAGATTATTTATAGATTTTTGCAGAATTTGAAGTTATTTTGGAATAAATCACATTTGGAGTTAAAATTCAAAAACTTCTTAGTTTGAGGTTAGAATTTTTAATAAATCAAACTTTGAGGTTTAAACCAGTTTAAACCTGGATAAATTAATCTTTGAGGTAAAAACTTGGATAAACTATGTTTTGAGGTTGGAATTTAAAAGAAAACATATTTTTAAGGTTAGATTTTGAAAAATATAATTTTTCAAAATTAATATTGTGGTTAGAATTTCTGAAAATTTTAAAAATAAAAATTTTGAGATTAGAATTTTAAAAAATTAAAATTTAAGGTTAGAATTTCAAAAAAAATTAAAATTGGATGTTAAAGTTTTTCAAAAAGTCTAGTTTTGGAGAAGTTATTTTGTAAAGATATTTTTAAGGTTAAAACTCTTAAAATAATTGCTTTGAGGTTAGAATGACTAAAATCATCATATTTTGAGGTTATAGTATTTTTAATAATTATTTTCTTTCAAATGCACTCTAGTCATTCACACCAAATCCTAATTCCCAACTTCCATTTCAATCAACAACTACCATTCATCGCTATTCATGTATAAGCATAAGCGAAAAATAATAATATATAATAAATTTTACAGTTGATGTAATTTGAGGTATGCGTACAGATATTACCATAAACAGATAAAATCCGTGAAGAATTTCGTTATTGTATTCCGAAATTTGATATATCTTTCATTCACACACAAAAAAAACACTTAAAATTTGACAAATTATGATTTGATTTATTCAATAATGAGAATAGGAAATTGTGATCATTTTAACCTGTAGACTTAGGTAATGAGTAGAAATTCTCGAGAAAACAAAAAGCAAAAAAAAATGCAGCAACCTCATTTACGGAACGATCGATCATAAAAGTTGAAGGAAATTAAAACATCATCTGCTAGTGTTATGATGCTTGGTTGTAATGATTCCTAAATTATGGAGATTATTTCTAAGTATTGATGGGTGCGGTTTAGGGGTTCTGGAGGTTAGTTTTTGGAATTTTATGATACCTAATGCTTGAAATTTAAATTTGCAGACTCAATACTGCAATTTGGTCAATAACCAGATAGTAAACGCACAGTGTTTAGTAGTTAATCACCAACTTAACCTTTACTTCTGATAAAACCTCTCACAAAGCACCAAACTACTAATTTCAACAAAGAAGTCATCATTTCTTTGGAAAATGAGAAAGTTTGATGTGCTTCATGTTCAATTCCATTCAAAACTTCATTCTTGAGAACGAATAAAAAGCGTGTGTAATTTCTTACCGACTATTTATGTCAAATGTATAAGTTTTCGAGCTGAAAACCTCAACAGCATTGTATTTTCTATTTTATTCATAATTACTCTTAGTCATTTTTAAGTAATTTTTAGGTACGAAAGTGAAAAAATGATGGAATGATATAGAAATGTTGTTAATTGATGGAAATTGTGGAGAGGAGCACTTCTGCGAGGTTTTTCAAACGTTATGGCTAACTTTAAATGGTTTGTAGTTTGCAGGATTCAGAGGAACACAAAAAAGAAGAAGGATATTGTTTCCAAATGGTTCCTCGTGTCTAATGAGTTCCCTTCTCTTCAATGCAGTGTATCAAAGCTCCTGACTACTTTTATAAAAGATTAAGAACTCCATAGAATGTATAAGATTAAGGCTCATCAGAAAAATCAAATATTAAGGACACGATCAATGAACACTTCCCAATTTTGAAAGTTTTAATGCAATCTAGAGATAGATACGCTTGAAATCTCTAAAACTTCACCAACAACTACAAAAAAAAAATCAAATCACACCGATTCAAATCACCAATAATCCCTACTCACGTCAATTAACTACCAATTTTAAGCTCATGACCATTAATTCCCAAGCAAAAGCTTTAAAAAAATCTTTAATGTTAATTTTCATCCTTCCATCATTGCAACGTCTTACGTGCGTATCGACATAATAAAATTTATCGCCCATAATTTTATTAATTTTTATTTTTCACTACTTCAATTCCCTATCATAATATGCCTTCCAGTACAATTATATAATGCATATACTTTCAAAAAAATATAAATATATTGTTTGATACGTCTCATTTGACATGCATATATAAACAACAATTAACCATTTCTTTTCTTTACATTTTTTTTCTAGTCCAAAACGCTGTAATTTCCTTCTCATCATCATCTGTGATGGTCTCAATGATTCATTCATGGTTACAGACGACAAGTGGCATATGTAGATGTTTATTTATGAACATTGTAGCTCTAATGATTAATTGACACTATTTTAGCTTCGATTAATCGGATTTGATTGAAGTGTCAATGTTGAGAAATGACTTTTTTGGCGGACTGTCTTCATGGGCGGTCGTTAATTGATTTAATTAAGGGATTTGCGAATTGAAAATGTGTGACAATTAGAGGGATTTATTGGTTTTTGATGCGATAATGAAGTTAAAGCTCAATTGAGATATTTCGAACTTTTGCTGGTCGTTCTGTTTCTTGTTTGAATTTAAAAGCTTAGCTACAATTTTGGAAGCATTGCGCCATCTTGCTTGCATTTAAAAGACATGCTTTCATTCTAGAAGATTTACTTCAATTTTGAAGCTTTGATTCAATTTTAAAAGCCTTGCTTCAATTATAAAAGCCTTAAATTCAATTTTTATAAGCGTTGCTTCCATTTTAACAATCGTTGCTTAAATTTTGAGATGCGCTGCTTCAGTTTTGACAAGCGTTGCTTCAGTTTTGACAAGCGTTGCTTCAGTTTTGACAAGCGTTGCTTCAGCTTTGACAAGCGTTGCTTGAATTCTAGAAGCAATGCTTGAAACTTAAAAGTCTTGCATCGATTTTGGAAGCGTTGTTTAAGACTTTAAAGTGTTTCTTTAATTTTGGGAAGCGTTGCTTCAATTTGTGAAGCATCGCTTTAGTTTGCGAAGCATCGCTTTAATTTTGGAAGCATTACTTTAATTTGTGAAGCGTTGTTTAATTTTTAAAAGCCTTACTTCAATTTTAGAAGCTGCGTTTTAATTTTAGAAGCTGCGTTTTAATTTTAAAAGCCTCGTTTTAATTTTAAGAGCTTTGATTCTAGAAGACTTGCTTCAATTTTGGAGCTTTGATTCAATTTTAAAAGCCTTGCTTCAATTATAAAAAGCTTGGCTTCAATTTTTATAAGCGTTGCTTCCATTTTGACAAGCGTTGCTTAAATTTTGAGATGCGCTGCTTCAGTTTTGATAAGCGTTGCTTCAGTTTTGACAAGCGTTGTTTCAGTTTTGACAAGCGTTGCTTGAATTCTAGAAGCAATGCTTGAAACTTAAAAGTCTTGCATCGATTTTGGAAGCGTTGTTTAAGATTTTAAAGTGTTTCTTTACCTTTGGGAAGCGTTGCTTCAATTTGTAAAGCATCGCTTTAGTTTGCGAAGCATCGCTATAATTTTGGAAGCATTACTTTAATTTGTGAAGCGTTGTTTAGTTTTTAAAAGCCTTATTTCAATTTTAGAAGCTGCGTTTTAATTTTAAAAGCCTCGTTTTAATTTTAGAAGCTTATCGTCAATTTGTTGGAAGCTTTGCTTCAATTTTAAAAGCATTGCTTCAACTTTGAAAAAGTTTCTTCAATTTGAAAAGCTCTCTTTCACTATTACATCTCCAAAATAACTTCTTCTTTCATATATTGACAGTAAGCCGCTAAAAAAAAGAATGTAAATACGCCACCAGCCGTTCACTTTTACATAGCTTATCTCACTTGTTTACGTTCTTGTTTTGATTTACATTCACCAACAGATAACTGTAAAATTATTTTCAACGCACACAAGATGCGAAGAAAGTTTCTTTAAATTCTCTTTTTACAGCAACGAGATGTAGAGAAAAAACAAGACAAGACATGAAAATGTGAATGAGAGACATTCCTAGAATATTTTCATATAAATTATTACAACAGAAATAGTAATGAAGCTCTAAGTCAGTCAGTAAGCGAAGCTGTAATTGTTGCTTTAACTGACTTTTTTTTTTGCATCAATGAATTTACAAAAATTACAAAATGAGAGCTTTCTCTTGATAAACTCTCATAGTCAGTGCGTCGTCCAAGCACGTTGCGTAATTTTAATTTAAATATACAATTTCCACTTATATACGTAATAAATAATCAACGTACAGACAGAGAGATAAAGAAATGTCATATAATTTTACAAGAAAATTACACACCTGACCATTTTGAGATTCGAATAAAAAAAAAGGCCGACTTCAATAGTCGTGGCTATTTTGGCAACAAGCTTGATGTTTAAAATGTAGAAAATATTTAATAACGGAACTTTTATGAATGCTGTTTATATTCTACATTTATTTAACTATAGCTGTTCTTCTTATATCATAGGCTTCAGCATCATCTTTACAGATTGTTTGACTACAAATGGCAAAAATCTACAGTTTTGTTTATTGATGCTTTTTAAATTGAGGAGAGTTTTGTTGGATTAACTGGAAGGATTTTTTTTTGTGTGTTGGACGTCAAAAATTGCTTTCGTGTCACATTCCAAAATATTTTCGCACAGACGAAAGTTGCTAGTTAATTAAATTTCCATCAAAAAAAGTTCATAAATGTCAACACGTGTCGAATTAAATGTCAATTTAATAATTAATTGCAGTATAATTTTGTGAAATCAAATCTGCTTTCTAAATGTTGTGACTTTTTGTTATCATGAGGTTTGTTAACAGATTTAGAGCTTATTATGTTTCAAAACAGACACAAATTTGTGAATTTATTTGCATAATGTGCATGAAATTTGAATTGAATTTGTGAGCTATGGCATTTATTGGAAATGGAAGTTAAATAGATTTAAATGTATTTTTTAAGGCCTCAGCTGTCTGCTTGTCTGGTCTAAATTAGGATGGTTTCTAAGGTTCCACAGCTGTGTACAAAGTCCCTTCCCTTAGTTACAGTCAAGCAGCAGCTTATGTTTCTAAGATAAGAAAACCTTTACTGACCCGAGATTTAGCTGCTTAATAAGGTTGAGAAACACTGCCCTAGAAGTACAATTAAAATACCCGTTGCCTTCGCTATTGAGATTCAATTAGTTCTTCCATTTTATCGACATTTTGACTATGGCTCTGGTATAGTGATCAGTTGAAGGATGCTCAGATGTACCTCAACATGAAAAAGGTTGCAAACAACTGCTGTAGAGATCCTCCATATAACCTTTTACCAAGGCGTGGAAACTCAGGATTAATCTTGAAAAATCCCAAAAATCCTAACAAAATCTCTGATGCAATTAATGAATAATTTCGGGATTTAAAATGGATTTCACATTTTCATGTCTATTGGCACAGGAATTTTTGGGATTTTTCAGGATTAACCCTGAGTTTCCACGCCTTGCCTTTTACTAATCTTAAACAAACTATGTCAAATTCATTCCATGATCACTTACATGATCTTCAAGCTCCAACTGCTAAATTCATTGCATAATAACAAAAATTCTCCCATGATCCAAATTTATTAACACCCTATTTCTTGTCATACACATTATGATGTCAAAAAATACGTTTATAGTTCAATGCTATACATTCATTATCACAAGCCCAAACTTCTACTGTATAATTTTTTTCTCAGCCTTGATTCTCGCTTACCATCTGATTGTGAAGTTTCGTTTTGTTAAATAAGGGGATTTTGATAAATGATGTTTTTAAAATTATTTCAATGGTTATGACTTAAAGTTTCCTGGATCTTTGTTTTTGGTTCCAAATATTATTAAAGTTCTATCAAGCCTTCAACTTTGTTTTGACTAAAACATGACATTTAATGCAAGGCAAATGCACTTAATTCTTCCGTTCACATCTGCAAAGATGACTTCTTTACAATTTTAAATGAACGTCATTTAAAACATCCCCCAAAAAATAAACAACAAAAAAGACTGCAACTGAATTAAAAAATTTATGAATTAAATAAAGGCAGTAGCAGCATCAACAATAGACACAGCAAAGAGCTTCTTTAACTCAGACAATTAAAAGTGATTAATCAACAGAAAAAAATGGGCCTTTAAATAGACATAATTGGAAACTTGATAGCTTAATTTGAATGATGAAAAAATACAGTAAGCATACGCCAAATTTTTTGAATGATAATACCTTTTGGTGGTTTAGCTTGTGTCGCTTTATTTAGCATAAAATTTGTTAATGCAAATGATCTTATAATTTGAAAAAACTGACTGAAACGACACCAAAAAGGAGAAGAGAATTGATTTCTAGTTCTGTGGATTTTGTGACCAAAAAGTTAAAATATGAAATGAGGAAGTGGAGGTAGAATAACCATAGTTGCAGTTTTTTGCTTGTCACTTTTGATTTGTTGATTAGGAATTGATAGAAAAAAAATGGTTAAAAATTGAGATAAATCAAGATTCGCATGACTAATGAGCTATTTTGTTTGAGTTCTGGTATGGAGTAATAGGTTGGCTCATAATTGGATTGTGACAGTGAATTTTGAGGCTGTTGGAGTCAACTAAGAATTATTTTTGAGAATCAGAGCTATAGAGATATTAAGGTCCTTTTTAAAGCCATTTGAAAGCTTCAAATTTTGAGCTTTGACTACATTGAGCATTCTAGTAGAGTGTAGCCTTTCAAATCATTCCATTTTTACCTCCAAGCACCAGAATCTATAATTTAAACCAATTTTTAATACAAGCCCATGATAGCCTGTCCCCTGATGACACAACACATTGGAAATAGCCATTAAATTCCCCAATACCTTCAGCTCTTCACCCATAAAAGTGAAATTTTCCATCCAACATCCATCAAAACACCTCAAAAAAATCTTCCTGAATTAATTCATCTCGTTCAGCTTATGCACAAAACAGAACAACTGGAAAAATTTTCTCTCATAATAAATTTTGATTATCTTTACGGTTTAATTATTAATTATTGAGCGGCGCGAAAGAGTTCAAGAGAAATTTAAAAAAAAAAGATTTAAAAGCTAAGATTTCATCATTAATTTGTCGATGATCGATTTTAATCAGCACAGAGGGAGATCTTAATGCTATTATTCAACTGTACTAGGGTCTTTTAAATAATTATGTAAATGAATGTTAATTACATCTTGTTAGAGAGCTACACTCACTTTATGACTCTTTTAATTGCAATTTGTTTCATTTTTAAGAGCTGTTTGTGGCATTTTCATGTTGTCAGGTTGATTTTTAATTAAAACATTGTCAAATTTTAATGGACAAATGTCCAATTAATGCCTCACTTAATTGATAAAATAACGGCTTCTTAAAATTCAAAAAACTTTAAATTTTAAATCTTTTGTTTACATTCCTCACATCAAATACTTTTTTGAGAAATTAATTACAGTTAAACCATTAATATTGACACATTTTCGACAATATTGATTTAAAAAGGCGGCACAAGTTGAGTGGAATTTGTCAGATGATATTAAATGCATTTGTTTTTGATTAATGAACTACTTTGAGTAACAACCACACACTGAATCGATTTCTCTAAGGTGTGATAATTGTGAAATCGATCTGAATTGATGTATGTGGTTGGATTTTGGATAGAAGTTGCTAGGTTAATGTTTGGTTTGAGTTAAATTCTTTGATCTATAAACTACTGAGTGAATGAAACAATTAACATTAATCATTGAGGAAAACCAGTCACTTTGAATTCAAATTACATCAATTTAAAAAAAATATAAAATGGTAGACATTTTTCCACCTCAAAAAGTATTTCTGCAAATTTTCATTGATAGCTTAAAGATATCTTCAATATTTTTACCAGTAATTGTTCAAAAAAGTGGCAAGCATCTCTCACAATTAAATTCATTGAATTTGATGCTTTATATTTTGATTTAAAGTCCATAAAAAATTAAACCAGACTCGAAAAGCTTTTCGCATTTCTACCCGAACAAAACCAAGATTTGAGATAAAATCTCCAACATATTTCATTCATAGAAACAGAAAGATTAAAGAGAAACCAAATCAAGACACAACAAAGACAGAAAAGACTTAGAAATCTGATCGCTAATTTTTTTTTTGTCTGTGAAGGCACCACAGCATCTAATCCACATAAAATGAACATAACGGCAAAACAACTTTGCTAATTTATGCTGAAATAAAAAAAAACTATGAAAAATGTCATTTAACTACTTACATGAAAATAATGAATTAATCCGTATAAATCAATTGCGCGTTGTGGTCTCGCAAGGAGACAAGTGAATGACTGTAAACAATATAAGATTATCGCAATTAGTTTCTTGTTTGAAAGGCGGCAGTTGTTGATTTCAATAAAATTAAATTAAATGAATTAACATTTAAAAAATTATTATTTTTTATTATTATTGTGATTATTAATAATAGTCATGCGAGTTCATAAGAAGAAGAAATGATAATTTTCATTTTTTAATTATATTATTTTTTGTATACACTTTTAACATCACATTCGAATATTCACTACACATGAGTAACTGCTAAACGATTGAACGAAAGTTATTTTTTTCCACTTTCGTAAGCAGTCGCAACATCATCATCATTCTTTCATTATCTTTATCAGAGATTTTTTTTTACGTTTTGTATATGCACTAAAGATTTTTAAGCCATGGATGCTGCATGCTTCAAATCGTTACTTATTTCTTCATTATATGGAGATTGTTTGCGATTTGTGATCTTGAGTATGGAAAAATGTTCATAAATCTTTATTTATGATTGAGATTTGAGGGGAGCTATGCTGGGGAGTAGCTCCTAGCTTGTAAATTTTAGAATTTCAATTATGATTTTTTTGAGACTTGATTTCAATGAGTCAGACCATAGGAGAAGCTATAGAGGTCAGACGGAGTCCGGAATTGTTTTAAGGGGGCTTTATAGCCAATGACAGTGTAAAGTTTAAAGGTTCCCCAAACTACAGCACACAAACCAACATTTGCATTTTAATGTGATATTCAAACCACTCCTGAGATGACATTTCTACCAAGTTATGCCTGTTTAACAAGCTGTTGAATCATATGCACTGTTAATAAAGCGTATGGCATATTAATCAGGCTCCAAACAAAAATGTTATGATTGGATTTAGTTTGGAATATTAGCAAATTGACAGAGTGAGGTGAAGTCGCTCGGTGGTGGAGTGGTTTCGTTCTTGGGTACCTAATCATTGTAACATTGATACAACAATCATGGGTTCAAGTCTTGACGAATAAACTGATTCTCATGTTGATTTCTCGAGCATTATGCACTCAAAATGAAGTCTTTATTATTCATTTGAAGGTTTAAGCTAGCAATGTCACCAAGATGGAAGTTCTAATTCCACTCTAAACTTTAGGTCTAGATTTGGATGTGGCTAAACTAATCCTCACTCTTGTTCAACTTTCGAAAGGCCGTAGCACAGCTCTTGATCAAGTTCTTTAGTAAAATTTTAAATCTGTCAGACTAGTTGTTAGATTTGGACATTCAACATTATATCGCGAGATGATGTAAGTGTCAAAAGCTGTAAAAAACTTTTTAAAAAATTTGTTGACAAAGTTGAATCCCAATATTTTAAAGGCGACTAATTTAATTCAAATCTAGGAATTCCAATCATATTTTAATCTGAAAAGCCTCCAGCCATTCATCATTCAGCTTCTCTTAAATACCTCATCGCAAGCTTATCACAAACTGACATCAGATACATGACACCTAGTAATTATCTTCATATAAAATTTATTAAAATTTTATGTCGTGACACAAATTCATCCAGGATATCATAAACAAAAAAAAATCTCCCAATTCTCGCTTATGTAGGCCGACCCGATCATTGACAAAAAAATATTTATAAAAAAATAATCGCGCATACAAGAAAAAAAAAATATAATTTCAAAAAATTGTTAAAGATCACATGTGATACGTTTCATCTCCGAAGGCATAATTTAAATCGCATCATGAAAGTCTGTAAATATGTTTTTTTTGGAGTGTGTTACACTTTTTTCTTATTCGATGATTTTTGAGAGATTTAACCGAAATTATTATATATTGCAAAACATCACTTCACTAGCTTTTATAAACTTTGTGCTAAATTCACTAGAAACAATAATTAATTAAATTCAATTCAGTTCTCTGCTGCTTATAACCGAATTTGTAGAACGAATATAATTAAAAGCTACTAAAAGAGAAATTTTTTCTTCTTCTTCTTTCTGCGTTTCTTCATCTTTTTTTTTATATATATTAAGCATCGCATCATATTGGAACTTACTTCAACTATTAACTTTTTTTTTCTTTACTTTTTGCTTCTTGAGCTGACGGATTTTTTTTTTATTATTTTATTTTTCTTTTTTCGAACCGAATCGCTTTGAAGTCTCTCGTAAACTGACAAACGAACTCAATTTGTAAAAATGTGGAGGAAAAAAAAAGTCAGCCTAAGAAAAGAATTGTTGAGCAGCCGCGCAAAGTAGATCGCGTTGAGAGTAAAACAAGCTGCGTGAGTGAAGAAAATAGTGTGTAAGTTTTGCAGTTGCAGTTGATGATTTTGAGGTGGAATTGGGCGCATTTTTAGGGTTCATGGTTGATATGTTGCTATGAGTTGCGATGGACTGGTGAAAACTTATATTTAAAAGAATCATTCTTAAGATTTGAGCTCGTAGGTTACATAGCAGCACAGTTCTAAATGCAAAGCTATTGAAACATGGAAGTAATTGCTAAAATTGCTGTTCATGAATTAATTCATCTTCCGAAATTAGATTTGACGAGAATCGAACCCAAGATTCAAACAGAAATCTTTCTTTGGACCTTGCAGTTGTTCTTACTAATTTGGCTATTATTAATTCACATTCACTTTATTCAAAGCTAGCATTTCACTAAACATTTACTTAAATACCTTAAAATCCCAGCAAAAAATCATGCCAGCCAACCCAAATTACAAACCATTGAACTCAAATTCCTCTAAGAAAATAACTTAAAAAATATTTTATTGATGGACTTGAAAATGGAAAACATTCCACAGCATGCATGAGTTTTATGGTTGTGGTCGTGCATTTCTCTCAACTCTTTTTTCTGTTTTTAACATTTTTGTACCTTCATTCAGTCAGTTTTGTGTGCTTTCTTTTCTGTAATTTTCTTTCCGCGTCTTTCTCTCACCTTCTTCTTGTAATCTTTCATTCTACTTGTTTGGTCATGTTTGTAAATGCAGCACATTTTGTGTATGGTTTAGTCATTAGCATGAGAATGGAGTGAAATACGTTGGAATTATGTTAAAGCTTGATGAATTTGAAATTGAAAGCTTGGTTTGAATTATTTTTGGCAGTTAATTTTTTTTTTTGGGAGTTTATTCGGAATTAAAAATATTTTTTTAATTTAGACTTGCATTCTTAATTTTAATTAGAGGTCGTCTAGTTTTTTTAAAACTTAATTGTAATGTTTGGAAGTAGCTATTAATATTTAGATCTCTAGTTGACTAGGTTTTTAGTAATACTAAGTCTAAGTGACTGCTTTTCACTATAAAAGCTAGTAACTCTAATAAAGCTAATGATTTGATAAAGCTAGTAACCTTAACAAAGCTAGTCACTATAACAAACCTAGTCAATTCAACAGAGCTAGTAGTGTGCAGAAATTACTAATAACTGAAAATGAGGAAGATTGATAAGCTACAAAATTACAAATATTAAAACTGAAATTCTCAATAATTCAAAAAAAAAATTTGATCATATTTTTGTTAAAATTGTTTTTATTAATTATCTCATTTTTGTTAAGGGATTAAAACTTTATTTTACATTTAAAACATCAAATCCCTGAGTTAAAACAGAACTTTTGTCTTTAAAATTGAAATTCTTTATTTATTTGAGTTTAAAAAAAATTTTTTGTATTCTTAATTTTTTAAATTCGATTTTTTAAAAAGAAAATTAATTTTGTACGAAATTATATATTTTGAGATCTCTTAAAACATTACGCAATAAGTGAACGACCTTTTCTTCGATCTTAGCTGTAATTTGTCAGGTTTAAAAATTTTCACTTTCAATTTTAATCAATTTTTTTTAAAATAATAAAAATAACTTTTGGGTAGTTCACTTATGACGTCCGATATTAACGGTCATTTTTCAATAAAGAACAATGGATTTCTAGGAATTTCTATTGTTCTTTTGTTGCTGACCCCCCCCCCCCTGGACGTCATAAGTGAACGGCCCCTTTTTTTATTTATTTTATTTAAACAATTAATAATATTTTATTTAATTTATTTTATTTTTATCATAATTCATTTTTATAAAGATTACAAATATTACAATAAAATGTACATTACTATGAAATCATAAAGAGACTAGCTTATTTTTTGACTCACTGGGTTTTAATCTTTATTATGCTGATCAAATAAGGCTATTTTTTTGTTTGTGTCTTGTTGAAATTAAACAACATTTTACAATCTAAGGTTTAAAATAGCTTTTTCTAGTAAAGGGGGTTGGGGTATGGCTGAGGTCTGTAAATGAGTTGATCTAGATGACTTCAACATTGCTAAACTAGCAATTCTCAACTCGAATCCATTGATCCTCATCTAAAACAAATTTTCTAACATTTCTTTCATCTCATTTAATATTGCTACAGTTATCAATATAATAATATTAATAGTTCATATACAAATGGCATCTCATCATTGACACTATAATAAATTTCTCAAGTCTAATTAGATTCTCTACTATTTTCACAACTTCCTGCTAAATTAGTTTGATCATTTGGATTACTGCTGTTGCTTGAATTAGTACTCGGGTTGTTTGGTGATTGGCTGAGCGATTCTGGTGGGATGAGACCTTCCTTTACTCGCTTTTTGAACTTCATTCGGCGGTTTTGGAACCAGATTTTCACCTAAAGTGATAAATTAAAATAAATCATTAAGATTATGTCCACAATTAAGTTTAACGGTATTTTGAATTTTAAGTTCTAACGGATTTTCAAAATTTGAATTTCAAAAGTTCAAAATTTGAACATCAAACTTTACCATAGCTTTGAAGTTTCATAGTTCGAATTTTGATATTTTAAAATGAATTAAAAGTTCAAAATTTGAACTTTAGTAATTTTGAAATCTCAAAAAACCGTTATATTTTAAAAACTAGAAGCGCCTTAAATTCCGAAAAGTTTTCCTTACCTGCGTTTCATTAAGTTGTAAAGCATTCGCAATCTCGATTCTTCGTGCTCTCGTGAGGTACTTATTGAAATGAAATTCCTTTTCAAGTTCAGTGAGCTGTTTATTCGTGAAATTTGTTCGACCCGTGTTGTTATTGCCTGTAGCTCCAGCGATGAAATTGTTATCTGCATAACAAAAATTCATTAATTAGTTTAATTAAGCATTTATGTTTGGGACATTATAATTATTATTTACCCATTAAACTGTTGAAGAGACCCGTTCGGCAAGGATCAATCGATGATGGAACTGCTGTGTAATCAATTGTCGGCGCAAGTTTGGGTGCTGAAATTTTATAAAAAAAAAATTAAGATGAAAATTAATGAAAAGAGCATAAAAAATTATTTATAAAAGTGCCGTCGGTTGATAAATTCATTTGGGAATCAATTGTAATGTTGAAAGATGTAAGAGAATTGCAGGCACACATTCTGCATGTTTTTGACCCATATGGAGAAGTTTTTTGAAATGAATTCAATGTGCTTATGCCGATCAATCATGCTTTCATGATAGTTACGTTTTAATACAGAAATACGTTGAATTGTGAAGCTATTTGAGGAGGATGGAATGAAATAATGCTGAATTTTAGACATTTTAATATAGAATTTTGTAAAATACATATTTTAGGAATTGGGATGGATTTATAGCAGTTACATTAATTTCGTACAGACTCCGAAATTCCCACGTGAAAGATCTCAATCCATAAAATTCACCATATTCCCCTCCAAAAACTTCCATAACTCCAAATCTACATCCTCAAAACTTTTCGAAAGCTAAGAATAGAAAAAAAAAATCCCTAATTAATGGATTAGTTGTTGTTAAATGTCAACACATCATAGCTTCTTAATACACAAGAAACTTTTTTTTTATATTTTCAAACATTGAATGGAGTTAATTAATTTAATTAATTTATACTGACACATTACAAAAAACATTTGTGTACATTAGCGAGATACAAGTTGACTGCTTTGTAGACTGGTAACATGTCGAATGGAAAGTATGTATTTTGAGTAATATCAAAATTGTGTTTATCATTTTTTTGGAGTTTTGTTGTTTTTTTGGAGGTGCTGGGGTGTTGAGAGGGGTCCTGATAGTTGTGGTTTATGAATTTTAAGAGCTGAAGTTAGATTTGATTATTTTTAAAGAATTATAGATTTAAAAAAATTAATCAGCATTTTTTGACAGCCATAAAATTGAAGAATGTCAGTTTTTAGTGAACCCTGCCCCATCCTGCTTTTACACGTTAATTAAGAATGTGAATTTTTTAAGAATTTTAAAGTCTATTCGAAATTGTTAACTTAAGTTCAGAAACATATTACAATAAAAAGTGCAGTTTAACAATGAAACTCAAGCAAAGCAGAGTTCGAATCTCAATCAAAAATTCGATAGTCGTAAGCCACTTATAAACATCCTTTTTGGAACTTTTATGCCATAAAAACTCAAAATAATAAAGTTAATCCCAATTAAACCAAAAACATTAATTAAATCACCAATAAAATCTTAAAATTAAAATCCTTTCACTATCATTTTAGCCTCCCATCCAATCAATCAACCTAAAGTCTCTCACATTTCATAAAGGATTTAATTTTAAGCACCAAGCACAATTAATAAAAATTCTTTAAGAACCCCAAAAATTAACTTTTTTGCAATTAAGGCTCAAAAAAGTTTCCAACTGAAAAAAAAATCAATTTGTCTTGAGGATGATTTATACTTCAACAGGTTAAAGACATAATTTTAATCAATCATTTTCATATGGCGCCAGTGAAGTTTAATCAACAGTGCTACTGTTCGTAATTTTTGTCTGTTACTATTTAAATATAAAATGAAATATTGGAAGGAGAATTTTGTGCATTAGACAAATATTGGTTTTATTAGCTGTTGATTTATGATTTGTTGGGAGGAAGTGATATGGAATGCAGTTAAGTGTGGGATTGAGGAAGGGTTGTGATGTGAGATTTTTAAAGTAGTTTTGTGACTTTTTCTCATGGAAATTGTAGTGGGGGTCGTGTGTAAGTGATGTTAATGGCTGATTGAATTTTTGGAACTTCAAATATCAGCTTCTATGCATAAAATTGCAGTAATAATCGTGTTTATGCAGTCAGATGCTTTCTGGATGACACTTCTTAATCATGGTCGTGTCCTTTTGACTTTGTTATAGTGCTCAATGTCATTTGAGCTATTTAAACTA